TGGGACACCATTATATGTACATTGGAGGCATGTTTTTCCTGGGCATATTCAACATCATAGCTGCTTCTGTGGAAAACGTATATGTGGTGATCGTGTTTAGGGCACTGCAGGGTGTTGCTGCTTCTGCCACAATACCATCTTCCTATGCACTGGTCAGTAACCTTTTCACTGGTAGAGCGTTGCATTTGGCAATTTCTGTGCTCACTGTATTCATGACTACCTCGTATGGATTGGGATGCGTCATGGGTGGTGCATTTGCATTAACATCGATTGGATACAGAGCCGCTTTTTATCTTTTGGGTGGCCTGGCGTTTCTGGTTGCATTTCTGGGTTCCTTATGTATTGAGCCAGCTTCCGTGAAAGGAGACAGCCTGAAAGACCTGGACCATATTGGGGTTACTTTAATGCTTTCGGGATCGTTGTTGTTGGTCACTGGTCTGACAGAGGGGGGCACCTCTTGGAATTCTCCGTCAGCCTACGTTCCAATTATTTTTGGGGTTCTGCTATTATTCACCTTCTTTGCCTGGGAACTGTATATCATGCGGAAGTTCAAAAGCTTCGACAGCGTGAATCTGCTCATACCGTTGGAAACGTGGACTATTCCAAACATTGTTCCGTATTTGTTGATAAATGGCATAGGCTACTCTAACATCTTTTCCATAATGTTGATGTCAGTGGAGGTTTTTGAATATGTTGCAATGAACTCTCCTCTGATCGCAGGTCTCAAAGGCTTAACAGGTGCAGTGGGCCTATTCAGTGCTTCAATACCTGCTTCTCTTGCTTTTGGCAAACTACCACCAAAGTACGTGATCATTGTCGCTAGTACTTTCTCCCTTGCTGGCTCGATCGTTATATCGAGATTGGGTTACACGACAGAGTCCTGGTGGAGGTATGGACTAACGGGCATAGGACTCAGTGCCTTTTCTCAATGCTTCATCTTCTACTTCTGTCTTAACACGGTGATTGTCTCAGCACCTCTTGAAATGCAGGGAGTTGTGTCTGGAATGGGTATGACCAGTGTTCAGATGTTTATAGCTATTTCTTCTGGTGCTACTTCCTCGATTGTGGGTGATGTCGAACTTGGTACCACTTCTGAGATCCAAAAGCAGATGATGGGACGGTACCGTCACGCCTTTTACTTCATGATTGCCACATCCGCTTTGAATGTTGTTCTAAGTTTGTTTATCAAGGATACGGGGTTTGGTTCTTTGAAGCAGAAAAGGGAAAAGAAGCGCATGGGGAGTGAAAGCAGGGATTGTACAGAGGTGGAAGTTGGAGCTTCTAAACAAGTCTCGGAATCGTCTGACTGTGTCTGAAAATTACTTGAACATTGCTAGCTGGTTTTCTTATTTTTCAAATTACAATATCTCCGAACTTGACAGATCTGAGAGTTATTAAGTTGATAATAAATGTTTTCCAGTACACGGCTCCCTCACCGTGGTTGGACAGAAATTTTCATCCATATAATCCGAAAGCTTGAGATGGCTCAAGCTTTCTGAGGCTAATATTTATTGCACGAATAATCTTCATATGGTTTGCAGTCCTTCTCACTTTTAAAACCTCGATTTTTTATGATAAGCGTTATCAGAGCATATCGTGTACCGTACAAATGCATTGTTTCCCCTTATCAATCTCCTCCCTCATATATGCTTACTCTTTATTCATTGGATATCCCGGTTTTTTAAGCCCCAGCCTGGGAAATTATGAGGGCTGAAGACGATTATAAAGGACCATCGACACAAGAACATTTGGAAAATGAATCATCTCAAACCGAAGAAGAACTATATGCCAAGCTGCAAAGAGAGTATCGTGAACTGGATGAAAAATATACTAAGTTGAAAGCTCTTCTGGGTAAAGTTAGTACTGTCTTGAATACTGAATTGATTACTGAATTGAGCACTGCATTGGAAACTGGTTTGAAAGATGATTCGAAAGCTAAATCGATACCTTCGTTTTTCGTTTCTTATCCATCGGAACTTGAAGACAGCAGTTTGAGCTTAGCGTCGTTCATTTATGACTGTTTCAGTGAAAGTGGTAAAATCTTTGTTGTTCTTATTCTGGCAGCTTGGCTCTTTCATTTTTTGTTCTTCGACTAGGTTTGCGAATATTTGATGGAAACGATCGCTTAGTTGACTTGTCATTCAATATGAACACATCAGTCCAGAGATCACAGCGCTGTGGTATATGTAATTTTACGGGACTCAGTACAGATACTTTTGCACTAATTTCAACTCACTCAATAAACTTTACAGATACCATTTAGGATAAACCATTATTCGTGGCTGTGTAGATCGAGATCTGCTTCTTTCCTCCTCTCTTTTTCTTGAGACTTTGACGGTTGTTGAAACCAATGAGAGAAGAGTGCACTAAGAAGTTCACACTAGTGTCTTAGTAATAATTTCAAAGTAAACTATCCATTACTTAAATCATTTTTATCCCATTTTATATCTATTTGAACCCATTGCTTTCTCCATCTCTTCACGCTTTGCATCTGCATATATTTAACCCGATTGGGAAAAAGGTAAACACTCTTGAGATGACTTCTGGCGCTCAAAATCTGGCGCTAAATCTTTCCAAGTAATCTTGGAAGGCAGAAACTCAAGTCTCCTTGTCTGTTTTTACGCCGAAATTGACCCTTTCCTCTACTGCCATGTCCTTCACAACACCACTCAAGCCAAACAACGATTTCATGAACACGCCCGAAGCGAAACTGGAGTTGCACGCAGACGTGGTAACGCCAGCCAACCAGGGTCCTCTTGACGATGATTCTCCTTCCCCTTCTAAAAGAGTGATCCAGCCATTACATCCTTTATCTCAAAACAATCAAAATAAGCTGCTTAGTGACGAAAAACTCAAGCCTAAATGGGGTCAGGAGAAACTGAAGTTTCACTCTCCCAGCGATAAGTTCTCGTTGTCACCCATAAGTTCCAAACTGCTGAACAACAAGAAATTCATGTTCCTCAATAAGCTGCTTTATGACAAAAAACAGATGCCAAAACAAGAGCCCGGAAAGCCGACGGAGGATTCTGCCACCAACAGTTTGAAGTTGAAACTGGAGGCTCTGAGTTTGAATGAATGAGAGGAGATAATCTCGCGTGAACCACTATACCATCTGAATAATCCAAATCAAGCAATAATGATTTACTACCTTCATCTGTATTTCGCAGTTTCTGATCAGATATCGCCATGATACTCGCTTTGTAATGTCTCCTAAGTAAGGCTGTATAACAAGTTTGAAATGTCACGTGCCTATCAATCACGTGACATGCTAAACCACGTCTCCTAAATCACCAAAACACGTAAATTGGTGTTGTTGAAGAACTCATCAGGCCTCACTCACAGCATAAAATCTTCAAAACAAGACAGACATGGACTTCGAAAATCTGGGATTATCACCAGTCTCAGGCTCTCCGTTGCCTGGTGATCAAAGTATAGAAGAGAACTTGGGACTCACTGATGGAGTACCCATGCTCAAGAACAAGACAAAGAGATTGAACTACAACCTGAATACCGAGCTGTTACTTTCGAAAAGGGGGCTTCCTGAGTTGAGACGATATGCATCGAATTTCAAGTTTAAACGCCATCAACCGTCGCGACTAAGACGCGATCCACGACGCGACAAGTTTGTGAACTCGGTCGCGTTCCAGAACCTCACCCGGATTCTGCAAATGTACCAGGTTTGGGGCCACAATATTTTCCCAAAGGCAAGATTGGCGGATTTTATTGATTTGGTGAAGAAAACGGGCAATAAGAAGGAGATCAAGGCATACCGGATTGAGTGCATTGAAGAAGAGGTTGCTAGGATTCGCGGGTTGGAGCATGGGTTTGGAATAGATATTGGTGAGGATGCGGGTAATGGAGACAATTTGAAGAATACAAACTCTACCAATGACAATCTTCCAAACCGTCAATCTCAGAGTGTTGATGAAGACGAGGACGATGAAGAAATCAGACGTCCCACCCGAACCAACAATCTCTTTGTTGGAGACGATTATGATGACTCGGAACCTGCTCCAACATCGACATCTCAACCTCCTGATGAGCTTGAAAGTCTGCTCACAAGAAATAACGATGACAACTTGGACGATTTTGACTTAGCGGATTTCGCTGAAAACGAGGCAGATCAGTATGAGGATGAGATGGATGTCATGAGGGAATTGGGAATATGAGAGTTAGAGCCTACAACTCTGGAATAAAGAGTCTGAATAAAGCTCTGGAGGGCTCCTGAACAAGCGGTATGAAGCACTGACTGCAGGATGGTTGGTCTGATCAACTGCCAGTTCAAGAGCTATTGGTTTGAGGACCACCAGTGTGAAGGATGTTTCAGCATTATATGATCATCATAGTTACCAAGAGCTCCCAGTTGGAAGGTACTGAGTGCAAGTACCAATGTTTCACGGAGGGTTCTAAGAAGTACTGTTTCAAACCACCGCATAACTCCCCCCACCAACCACCTTTCCGCATCATCACCTCTGCATAGTAACTACTGTCGAATTATTTCTTCTAATATTTATTGTGTAGGCTTATGAACATAAATAGACTCTCCTGAATCTGCTCATGGCTTCAAAATACCACGCCCCTCACCCAACTCCTCCACAGTCACCGACAGCGGTCTGCGGTAGACCACGTCCCAGAACCCTTGAGGTTTCTCCAGTGGGACTTGGGCGTCTTCCTGGTTGTTGAGTCTTCCATCCAGCTTCGTCTGGTTGTAGGAATTCTCGGCCAAACCACCGAGTCCCTTACCCCAGGCCAGAAGTGCAAAAAACGATCCTACACCAACCGAGAGCTGCAAGTTTCTCGCAACCCCCTTGGACGCATTAGCAATAGAGGAGGTAATTAGGGTTGCTAGCGAGGCTGCAGCAAACTCTCCTGTGAATGACTTGTCGGTTTCCTGGATGTTCTGTATGGAGCTGGACAAAAAGGCATATGCTCCAATGCCCACTGGCAGCCCCAGAAGCTGTGGCTTCGTCAGTTGGAACATATTCAGGTATTTAGCCAATCCTGGTCTTGCAGAACCTCTTCTGAATTGTAGCAGTCTTCTAAACTGGGTTCCTCCCAAGAAAAGGGCACTTCCAATGAACGACCTGGCGGTGATGTTGATTGTGTCCACCGGTTGGTATACTCCATCCTTTGACACGGAAGCCGATTCCGGCCAGAAGGGCTTTGGATACTTGAATGCTGATGTCTCCAGCTGAGGCGTTTCTTCTGACATATTTGGGCTGAAAAACAAGCAACTGTGGGTGATAGGAACAAGTTGAATGTGTAGCTTCTTGAATCTGAAAAGACCAATGAGAGTCAAGCGAAGACAAATCCACTTTTTGATTTTTGCACGACGTTTGTTGTGTGCGTTGCACAATAGTAGTGTGTAACTCGGTAAAAAACAAAAACAACTATTTTCCTGGGTTCCGGCCCGCCTTTAGGATCCTTACAGGAGAGTACGTCATCTTACTGCAAGACCAAAATCAAAATCACCACAGCGTCGAACATTGATTCTAAGGAAGAAACGTTCAATTACACAAATTTAGGTCTGTGCTAGTCCCTGTATATGCATCAGAGTGCGCTAGTGTAATTGGTTAGAATAGTCTCTTTGATTAACACTTTTTTTGTATGCTTCTATGGCCATGTACAGTATCCCGGAAGGGCACTTCCGACTTTTCTGGAAGGGAGAAAGCTGATGCTCTTTGTTCTCTTGAATAGTGTGGCTCATTTGCATACGAGTGGAACAAAATTGTTTATGGTATTGTTCAAACTTACAGCCACGATGAGAGATCGATTAAAGAAACTCGACCTCCGATTGGATTCAAACTCCGTAATTAACCAATCAACTTTGCAAATCAATGTGCCATTGTCATATACCTTTTAATAGAGCTTTCTTTATTTAAAAGGATGATTGTTCCGAATTGTTGATCAGCACCATTCTCCGTTGAATCTTCAGCGATGTGTATGCTTATGTACTTCTAACGTTGATATTTATGCATGTGCGTTGCATGGCGATCGATCTGTGAAGAGTGCTTTTGCTGTATGTGACATCATCCGCATCCTTCTAAGGAGACCTTTTTAAAGTTCGAGAAAGGATTTCCGAGAGGTTGGATACGTAACTTAAAATCTAAAAAACGTTCAGGATGAATGAAAATCCCGTTTTCCGATACAAAGCGGCCGACTTCTGAACAATGCGGCTTGCGGCTATATTAGAAATAGGCCCAAAATGTACGTCAATCGTTCGTAAATCGTCCTAGGTTAAGCAGCACGTTCCTAGTACTGATCAAGAGCAAATTTCGAAGTGAGTTTGAGTTCGTGAAGATAGGACAGAGAATGGCTCGATCGGTAAGTTTGTCAGACTTTAATCACAACCAAGACTTTTTTGCCTGGAAAATCACTATAGAATCTAAGAACTCTCGGGGCATTAGCAGCGTTTCCCCCCTTCGAAGCCCCTACCCAGTTCAGATCGAAGACCCTTCCCGATCCGGTAAAAAATAGTTCTGCGTTAAAGCGCTTATATAACTGAACCGAGGTTTAATACGCAAACTTGATCCCTTTCTATAAAATATTTAAAAATATTGAATTTCCGTATTGCCCACTTGTTGGTCTCTGAGTCCAGGTCCGAACTCTAGATTTTTATACGAACAGTAGCTAGGCTGTCCTCGGACATCCAGATTGTAATCCGTACGGTCGGGCAATCCGGAGGAGTGCCAGTTGGTTTTGCCATAGTAACCCCTACGGAGTTACCCCTGTCTGCTAAAAGCAGCAGTTTGTTTGAGAGATTGATGTGTGCTCAATGGCGTGTATGGTGACCCCTTCCATGTACGGCATGAGTTCGACCAGACCCCGTCTCCAGAGTAACGCCCTCACATGAAGTACGCATACAAAACTGCTTGAAATTGGGCATATAATTGATATATGCGATGCGCTCTAACCTTGCAGGTTAAGTCTGATCTACATATCAGGTTTAATGTGGCACATTCTCACGTTGACTGGCTATAATGTGGTGAAGGTGCTGATCGATACAGCCAACAATTCGGGAACGTCAGCTGTTCCGAAAATCTGAGAAATTATATATTAGGCAAAGTTGCATATTTTGGCAACTTTAAATTTTCTGTGTGTGTGCGTCGAAGTGGTAATATACTCTACAGTCGCTGGTTGGCCTCTGGTCTACATTGGTTGGTGAAAGGTTCCTGTCTCCGAAAACCCCAGAAGGAACATCTTTTTCAGAAATTTAAGGGATACAAGACATAATGCGCTCAGTTTCCATTTCTGTTCATTCTGGGCTCTCGAATACCCCTTAATTTCTCTCTCATCGGAGCGAAAACTGGCAATCAGAGTTACAATGCATAGTTTGTGATCCTTTGTTTTGAGATATTTCAAATATTTTTTTTATATTTGCTACCGAGTAACCATTTCAATTATCCGCAAAATTATATCTTTATTCTGGTCTTTTTCGCATCAAAATTTGACGCTTTTTGAGTGTGTTACGTTTAGAAAGGCTTTGCACAGGCTTCTACCTCGAAACATTCTGGCCGTATTCGACCCAAAAAAGCACAAATAAGTTAAACACAAAACAATATTTCATCAACATACTTTTTATGACCAAATGGCAATTTTGAAATCTTTTGAAGGCCATCAAAGGACAGATTTGGTAGGGAGAGATTCCAGAATCTCGCTCGTCTGATAGATTTTTGCAGCACACCGGAATATGTTAATACGCCAGTCTGGGCAGTCAAAACATTAATAGCTGAAGAGTAACAAGTTTTGGAGCTTGAAACTTTGAAGTTTTTTGAAGTTTTTGCAAATTTAGCGGGTAAATTAGGAGAGAAATGTTGGACGAAAGATCTCAAAGCTCACACAGGCTTTACAAATCTCTTTCTTCGTTGGGTCGTCCTTCTTTCCTGGCTAGTCCTTGTGAGCTCGTTTCAGTTGATTAATCATATGATGGTTCTGGATCTTTTTTTGTTAAACTAGATTATTCCCAAAATGGCAAGCTTTTAGTATACAATGGGTGGCTATTCGCAAACCAAATCTGCTAGACCAAAGTGTTCGTCCAGCGAATGTCAGATTTTGTCCGGAATGTTTGCTCTTTTTTATCCATTGAACAATATCCTCTAAATGGAATGTATTGAATTTCCTGCCAATCACACTGAAACTTCCCGTTCTATCTGAGTGTGTGATGTTTCAATGCCGTTCACAGTATCTCAGCAAAACACCAAAATAACTCAATCACCTTGACCAGCAAAGCAAAACATTGGACATATCGTGAAATCAATCAATGTCTCGTATTTGTGTTATATATGGAACTCTAGAACTGGAAAGACTCGACAAAAACAGCAGAGAAACAGCAATTCCCAAAGGGTCGGGAAGTTTTTACAGCATGACATTAACGCAATGGCAGCAACGAAGTGAAGAATAAAGAAGAAATAAATGAGAATTGAATAATGATTGCGAAAGAATCAAAATCAATCAAGTTCTGAGAAATAATGTCGAATCACAGAGGGAAGATGTCAAACAGACACTGACTGAGATTCGAATGGAACTTGATGCTATAATGTCCAATTAAATGCAATCGTGCATTTTCTGGTAAGAATAACAAAGTTAATTGTGCTCAGTCCTTTTCTGTTTGTCTGGCTTCTATTTTGCCCAACTCAAAACGGAGGAGGTGGATAGTGGTAAGTAAAGGGAAAGGTTGGTTGTTGATGCAGAACTTGGTACTCCTGTGTCACCATGCTATAATTGCTGGTAGCTGGAGTGGACACAGTTCTCTCTCTTTGAGTCTCACTTTGAACCAATTGTGTTAACTGTTGTGATAGCCTTTCTTCCTCATTCCAGTTCACCAGATGAGATTCGGAGCCAGACACCGAGTGCGAAGCAGATCCCACAGACTGCGAATGCGACGAACGTGACACATTCGTATTATTTACACTCATGCTCATACTAGATCTGCTTTCAAAAATCTTGTGGATGTGGCTATGAGTTAAACGTGGGTCAAAGTCTCCGTCGTGGTTCTTCCCGCGTTGCTGTCTGTCCAGCACCGAGATAATCTTCGGTGGCTTTTGCATGAGCGAAGAAATATCATGGTTATAACATGTTAGCAACGTGAACTTTCCAAAATTGTAGAATAAGCATAACATTTTCAAATCTTCATTGGGCGAAGATAACCGGTTGAGTTTTTCCAATGATGTTTCCAACGAGAAGTAAACCGAAGAAACCACAAAATCGTTGGTCATATTGATGTTTCCAAGTTCCAAATCAGACTCGTATTCTGACTCTGTGTCATCTGTCAGGGATGAGGATAATTTGACAAAATTCTTTACCGATTTGGAGCTCTTCAGAAATTGGTGTATGTGGAAAGTAAGCATCTTAAAGGCCCAGTACTTCCAGATCTTGCAAATGCCGCTATCGCTCCACTTCAAAAGTTGAATCACGTATCTGAGACTCGAGTTGAAATCGTTCCATATCTTTGTGTCTGTAACCGAGTCTAATTCTTGTAGCATTAAAACCACCTTTAAAACCATCAAAAAGACAATTGGATAGAACAAAAACTGCAGCTCCAAATTGGAGTCGATCTTGGAAGTGATGTCCACCTCACCACATTTGAAATCCACATTAAATATTCTCACGATATCCTGCTGTATTGAGCCACATACATCTAGGCATTTTTTCCTCGCTGAGGTTGCCAATCGATGCTGAGAAATCACATCCTGTGCTACCAAACTCAGCTGGCACAGTATGGAAATACAGGGCATGTCCACAATTCCTCGTTTATCAAATCCGTCACTGGTGAACATTGATGGTGGCTTTATGTCCAAACAGGGCTTATCCAGGATGCTGCAAAGAACTTTGTCCCAGAGATACACGCTCCAACGCAGTCTAGAATTTTCGGGCAATGGCATCACCGAGTGGAAGTGCCATAGCCACGCACTCTCAAAGTTCATGCTCATGGCACTCGCCATTGACTCAAGCAGAGAGTTTAATACCTCTGCCTCATTTCCAAGACTGAAACTGTAGTAGTGGGGAAACACAGATGTCAACACTGGTATGGGCTCCTGACTGCTGATGTCCATCATCTTCAAAACAAACTTGGACATTGGCGTCTGTAACAATGGAGAGAGGTCCGGGTTTTCTAATGGAAAATACAACGGGAAACCATGCAAAATAGGATCAAAAGCAGGCTCGAGTAATGAGGGGTGAATTGATGGCTGATCGTGATAGTCCAATTCAAGCTTTGCGTGAATTTCGTCGTCATCATCGTCCTCGTCGTCGTCGCCGCTGCCGTGAGCAAGGTTGCTGATAATCTGGCCGTCAACATGACTATGACGATAGCTGGATCCGGAGTAGACCTGGTTCGTTTTCTCAAAAATTGCAGAGTGTTTGTAAACGATTGCATTGGATGGGAAAGAATCTGAGTTGAGGGCTTTCTCACCCGAAACTTCATCGTTCAATTGGTCAAGATTCAGTTCGAGTTTTGAACTCAAGTACGATATCTTCCTTTCCAAATGACGAACATAGGTTACCGAGGCGGATTTGTCATATTTGCAAGATATTTTTAATCGCTTGCAGTTTGAACAGATTGTATTTCCATCACATTTAGACTAAAGGCATGTTAGTATTGAGTCCATACCAAACGAAGATGGTCGTGAGCACTAAGGTCGTATGCCAAACATCCGACCCAATTCACGCTGGTTGTTTCAATTTAAGTCATAGTCCTTGCACTAATCGGTATTTCCTTCATATTTCAGTTCTAACCCTTGACTTGAGCAGAAACTGAGCAGATGGTCAAACCAGGATCAACAACACTTCTCGGGGGCTAGGGTGAAAAGGGAGTCATAATTCTGGTGGGAAATAGAGTGTTTTGGAACGACCGTGGAATCGGTGGGAAATTGTATTGCCATCTCAAAGAAAAGTCGAGGTAATCCCTAAAACTATGTCACATACCTTCTTTCTTCTGCAGTTGAAGCAGGTCAGCTTGTGGAACTTGGGCAGGAATCTGTCATCCATGACCACCATGCCAATTCAATACAAATAGGTGAAATAAATATGCCTCAATCTCAATCACAATCAGAAAGATCCAAGTCAATAAAAAAGGGAGCACGAAAAACTGAATTTCAGGCTAACACCATGTACCCAGTGTGGAGAACCACTATACTGTGTACGCTGTAGACACGATGAATCAATCACTGATAGGATCCGATATAGATCTGAGGATTCAAAATATGCGAACAAACTAAATCTAATTCTAGCCAAAGTGATGAGAACCTGGAGGGGCTTGGTATATATACAAAAACCCCAAACCGTGATAATTTTCCATATATGTACCTCGAATTTTTAATATGCCCTCGCTCCATCTCTTATCCTGTGCAGAGATTAACATGTCCTCCTGTGCATTTGGGATGACTATCAGACGGGAAAAAAAGGCCATCTCCATTATTGACATTTCTTTTTGCAAAATTTTTTCTTACATATGCATTTGCATGCATCATGCAGATATAGGAAAAAATATGCGAAGATCGAATCACGAACACTAGACCGAATTTTTTGAGTTTGGCACTAATCGAAGATTCTTCAAATCTGTGTTTTTTAAATCACGAATTGTTCAATTCTGAAAATCGGATTCATGTCTCTGCAGATCATGTGGCCGCGCACCGTATGGGATCTAGGTGATAGTCCCATGTAACTTAATGTGATTTATGCCCAGGGCGTTGGGTCTTTGGGCTGGTTCGTGTGTCTGTTACATTCATCGCTAGTATCCGAGGAAGCAAGAAGGAGATTTGTGCAATCGTGCTTCTTGCTTCAAAATGGGGAATTGATGAGCCTAGGCAACATGCCCCCCCTTTCCCCACCATTACTCGTTGCCTATATAACGATGCTAGATCTACTGATCAGCTGTTCACACTAAATTATGGTTGAAATATTATATAAAGCACTAATTATATTTTATATATAACCGACTGGAGCCGGCGAATGCCTCTGTCGGATGGATCAGATATTTTATATATGTAATATATACAATAAATCAAGCATTGGATAACTTAAACTCCCAAGGATAACTTCACATGTTATTATTAAATTTACCTCCCATGAACGTTTTTTGTCCGTTTTCTTTCCGCTTTTGACATCGCCGAGTCTTGTTCTCTTTGTGTGCGTTCAATACAGGTGCTGCGAGCTCTTGAAAGCGGTGCAAAGCGTAGAATACCGAAGATGCATAATGTGCGTTGGGCCTAATTGGGAATAGGGGATGATTGAGCACGTCATTCAAAAGACAAGATTTGATGGATCCTTTGTGATTTTCGAAATATTGTAGATGTTTTGGTGTGTTCTAATTAGAAAATCTATGGCTTTTCAAATTTTTGAGAGTTTCTTGAGTTACTTCGAGTAGCTCTGGGTAGTCCTGAGCCTCTTTAACAGCAGGAAAACCCAAAAACTGAAGAGCTTTGAGTTGTTCCATATGGGCTGAGCCTCGGCAAGAGTAGATACATAGTAATTGTGTCCAGGTATCAATTGACCAAATTCATTCAGGCATTCAGTAATAATTATGACACGTTACGAGTTCAACCGGCTGAGCCCAAATGCGTGAGAAAACATGTTCAAGTTCATACCTACGCGTGGTTCCAAATATCACCTTCTTTTCATCGAAAAGTTCATGCATACAGCTCTAATCCCCAATTTTAATGATCAAATCATGCATGGTAAACTTAAAAGTTAAAATTTCTTCATCAAAACGCAATACTGGTCCATCGTCATCTGCCCCCTTCTGCGTTTCTCGTATCCAGTTGGGTGATGGTAAATCCTGCGGTTGCACGCAAATAAGCTTCTTCTCGAATTGGTGTGTGGCCATGGTGATTTTGCTGACAGTACCTACTCGAGTTATGTCCCTAGTGGTGAACGAAATCGATCATATAGGATTCCGTATACATTATGATTGAAAGCTGAATGGGTCAAACATCAAACCTGTTTTGCAAGTCTCCAATAGATAAACCGCTTCTCAATTCTGGATTTCAAATTTCAAATTTTTACCTTTGGGCTTTTCCGTCAATGAGCGGTCAGAGCTCAGTCTATGGCGAGATTTCAAGAAGTACAGCCTATCGTTTGGATTTGCCATTTTTTCCTTGATGCCCGCGAGTCTGGACGCATCTTAGTCAGATCTGGGTTCCTTTGAACTTCTTCGAAACTTTTTTCCATGCATTTTCGTGCATGCAAAATGAGAGTTTCCGGAAAGTCCCACTTGCCCTTGATGGTTCTGTCTCAGGAAAGACTCCATGCTTACATGTAAGGGAGTGTCGTATGCAAGTAGACAGCAAGTAGGAAGCTTGGAGCTCAGTTTACATGGCTGTGCAACTAAGAACAAGGCGAGCCATGTCATTCAAGGATAAGAATAATAACTTTGGCTGAATTTCATCCAGCAAGAATCGAAGACTGTCGACAAAGTCTTATTGCGCTTAGAAAGCTCCCGCCATCTTTTCCCGAATTTTCGTTACGAAGCAAACCTTAAATTTGCTTTCTCAAGAAGCTCTCAATTCGAGAGATCGGATTTCTGAGATACGGTATCATAAGTGAGGCGTGTACCACCGACTTTTGCTGCGCCCTATGCATCGTTCTGCATATCCAGTTATCGGATTGATTTTGTGGAGACTTTTAAGAGAACGCAAATTTTTGCTGCGATTTCCATGGTGATAGGAGAAAAATACTCTGCTGCAGGACCAGTTAGACGTGACAGTAGTAGTGGGGCTACGAAGGCATGAGTACGCCACTAAGACAAACGTGTTTTTATTTTATCCGAGTTCGCTTTGTTTTGGTCACGCTTCGGCGATTGCGAACATTTGAGTGATTCTTAGGTGGTTTTTATCTTATAACATCTTTCTTCGGACAAAACAAAAATTCTTTTCGAACATGACCCAGTTTGTCCTTTACGGAAAGGCTTCGCTATGGACTTTCGATCACTACAGACCCATAATAAGTTCTTAAATTGCTCATAACTAGAATAGGAGTTCACCGATAGAACAATTTCAATCCTTTTTCGGATCACTCGGTTTTCCATATAATCCCAATATGCACAACCAACATGGAAATCCTCGACTCCCAGCCGAACATATGTAGTGACCGTATCTAAAAGCAATTCCCACTCCACCCGGAAAATCCCCTTGCATCTGTTGCGCGGGAGTGCAGATCTTCTGCAACTGTGCAGGTGGAGGGTACCGTGGCTGGAAGCACTGCGGGCATCCCCTCTGCATTGACTTCCAAGAAACTAGCGTGTGTGCACAATTGTGTGTTTAGCCAGACTGTGGGGTTGAAAAATATGCCAGTTTTGGGTCTGAAACCAACTAAATTAGGAACATAAAACTGCGCCAGTATTCCTAGTCTAGATTGCACAGTTTCTCCACCTCGAATAGAAATTATTCTTCTGGAAGCATCGTATGCATGCAGGATCTAGAAGAAGCTGTAAGGCTGGTTTAGCTTCTGAAGTTTTGTGCTGAAACCTATTTCGCATCTCTTCCGCATGCTCTACATTAAAGTAAATTCAGCATAGAGTAGTTTAAGAACTTTCAAGGCTATTTTTAATCTAAAAAAAAGGTGAAAATTTGTGACTACCGATGATGACCTTCGCATTCTCATCCGCCGGATGTGGTTAATGATCCGCCGGTATTTCCACCGGGATCATGCGGAACCGGAAGATCGAATTTGAACGTTCCCTTCCAGAATATTTGGATCTTCTCGAAGAATTTCAGAATTCTCTCGAAATATGCACAGAAATACTGCGAATGTTACAAGGTGTTTTTTGGTGTGGATTAATGGAAAAAAACCCCGAGATTCGGGGCGAAGTCCCCAGATTAGAAACGAGACTTTCGTGTGGATCTAGAAGCAGCGTGAAACAGGCAGTGCGATTGACGTGTGCAGATATAAATAGAATAAGATAGAATTAAATATAGAACGTTTTATGCTATTGTTAGCACAATTATTCTGTCTGAGCTCTACCAGATGAACGCTTTGGCTGTTATTTTAATGGTGTTCGTTAAAGTACTCGCAAAGGTAGCTCGCTTTGATAGCCTGGCGAGATCGGCTGCAGCATGCGCAGCAGACAATAAAGTGTCGAAACCAATAATTATGTAGTGTAAAACCACTTTTTCGGGACTTCCCGTCGGAATACCCGTCGGAACATCCCCGGTCCCGGTGGGTCTTGCTATCACGCTTCCACCTCAACGCAACGTCAGGTTCACACGTAAATTTTCTCCGATACCATGAGCATTGCAGCGAAATTTTTCACATGCATCTCATAGGCATGTGCACTAGGGCGGCGAATACCGGAAACTTTATTTTTCATGTCTGCACTGCAAGGCAGAACTTGCTTTGCTGCCCAGAAGATCTCTCTGACCCGTCAGGCGCTGCAGGGTTTGCGGACAATACAGAAGAAAAAATTCTGCCATCAAAATTGCGTACCAAACTTGGTTGCCGGCACCGTTTTGGCAGAACCGAAGCACATGGTTCCCATCAGCCGCGGCATGTTATCCTCTTGCGGGGATTGGGCAATGCACACTACCATCACTGAAAGTCTGGGGAGGACTAGGATCATCATGAAATATGGCTTGATTGGGCTCTGCTATGGGAAAAGCAATCATGGTATCATCATCAGACTTATTGTGGCGATTAGCTGATTTGCTGCCGATTTTTAGCTATTCTTGAGGGTTGAGAAGAGTGTAGGCGGCAGTGCGTTCATCTGCATGAATGTGCTGCCTAGAGACATGAACTCGAGCGGGCAATTTCGGGCTGAGATGTTTTTTGTTAGGTAGTTCAATTAGATACATTGATTGTGTTACTCCGTTTCTTTCACTAGAAGGTTCTTTCAATAAACGTCCTAGAGCAAGCGTGTAGTCAGCAGCAGATTTTAAAATAGAGCTTTAACGGAATTAGCCCTCGCACGCGTCCGACAACAGCGGGGTCGAGTTTATTGGTCCGGGTAGTGTTACTCATTTGAGCATAAGAAAGGGTTTTGAAAGCTTTCTTTCAAATATTTTTTTCGTCAACTCTTCCAACCTTTCAACCGTTTTATCTCTTTGAACTCATTTTCGACTTAGTTTCTACTCGGTCGTAACTTTGATTGCGTGCTTACTAGTCGTTTCAGTGCTTGGTTGTTTTTCATCCTCGGAGGTTTAGCCACAGTGGGGATTTTTCAGTTGCTGTCGGAGTAGGAGAAAGCGTTTCAACGTGGATCGTTTTTTTGCTTTCACAACAGAATATTGACATTATAGACTTCTAGATTGTGATTTTCGTGCCTTTGAGTTCAGATTTCGTTTTTTCGACTGTTGCTCTGTTTCGCCATGTTCAAAACTAGATTTTCCAAAACGGCTCTGGCACTTACATCCGTATCCCTGTCAGGACTTGCACTAGCTGCCTATGTTAACTCGCGAGAGGTCACGCAGCTGAAACAGCATTCAGTCAGCAAAAGCGATGACACCAAGGAACTGAGAACGTCCAGGGTACCTCCGCCTACTCGTGAGGAACTTTTGACTAGACTCGGAACTCCATACAAGTCCAAGGGTGATGATTTGGAACTTGCTGATGCCACCAGTGCGTACGATCTGATCGTCGTTGGAGGTGGAGCCACCGGGACGGGAACAGCCTTGGATGCCACCACTAGAGGATTAAAGGTGTTGTTGCTAGAAAAGACCGATTTTGCAAGCGGAACCTCATCCAAATCCACCAAGATGGCCCATGGAGGTGTCAGATATCTCGAAAAGGCTATTTTCCAGGTTTCAAAAGCACAGTTGGATTTGGTGGTTGAGGCTTTAAATGAACGTGCTTCCATTCTCAACAATGCTCCACACCTTTCTCAGATTCTGCCCATTCTCATCCCCGTGTACAAGTATTGGCAGTTGCCATATTTTTTTGCAGGATGCCTGTTGTATGATCTTTTTGCGGGATCTCAGGCCTTGAGATACTCGTATGTATTGAGTGCTCGTTCCACGTTGATCAAGCACCCACAGCTGGACCCACAGGGTTTGGTTGGTGGACTGGTTTATCACGACGGATTGTTCAATGATGCTCGTCTGAACTCCACGCTTGCTTTGACTGCTCTGGAAAATGGTGCGACTATTCTCAACTATATGGACGTGACCCAGCTTTTAAAGGTTTCTGGAAAGGTCAAGGGTGTCAAGGTTACCGATAGAGAAACCGGTAACCAATATCTCGTCTCCGCAGATGCGGTGATCAATGCCACTGGTCCTCTTTCAGACAAGCTTCTTGAAATGTCTCAGGATCCACAGGGATTGCCTCTTAAAGAGCCCGCAAAGCCAAGAATGGTAGTTCCTTCTGGTGGTGTTCATGTGGTTCTTCCAGATTGGTACTGTTCGAAGGATATGGGCCTTTTGGATCCATCCACTCCTGATGGACGTGTGATGTTCTTCCTTCCATGGCAGGGAAAGGTCATTGCCGGTACCACCGACACTCCTTTTGACAAAGTGCCTGAAACGCCGGTTCCCAGTGAGGTGGAGATCCAAGACATTCTGGATGAGTTGAGGCGTTACGTCTCATTTCCAGTAAAACGTGAGGATGTTTTGAGTGCTTGGTGTGGTGTCAGGCCATTGGTGAGGGATCCTTCACATATCGACCCTAATGGTGAGACTAAATCGACTCAGGGATTGGTGAGATCGCACCTGGTGTATGTTTCTCCTTCTGATCTGATTACCATCTCTGGTGGGAAATGGACCACATACCGTGAAATGGCCGAAGACGTCGTTAACAAAACCATCGAGCTTGTTCCAGAACTGCAATCCAAGGTGAAGAACGGATGTGTTACCAAACACTTGAAGTTGGTGGGTGCGAATGGTTTCGACCATACTTTGGTGGCTCGTCTCAGTCAACATTACCACGTTCCAGACCTGCTATCCAACCATTTGGCCAATAACTACGGTGACAGAGCGCCTCTTATTTTGGAACTGTACAAGAAGGATAAGGAAAACCGTCTCCCCATCAGTTTGGTTGGAAAACACGAGCCTGGTTCCTACGAGGACTTTGACCATCCCTTCACAGTTGCTGAATTGAAGTACTCCATTGTGTACGAATACGCTCGTCATCCGATCGACTTTCTTGCCAGAAGGTGTAGATTGGCGTTTTTGGACTCAAATACGGCATTGGAATCAGTTGATGGAGTTGTCAGTATCATGGCGAAGGAGTTGAACTGGTCCAAGGAACGGGCAGAGGCCTATAGTATCCAGACAAAGGAGTACATCAAGCACATGGGTCTGGTGCCTAATGAGACCAGCTTCTGGAGTATGCCAGCATAGAGTGACTTGAATAAAGGAAAGAAATGTGTTTTTTCAACTAGAAGCTTGAAGTAGTTAATAGAGACTGTTTTCGGCAGAATAAAGAAAGGGTATGACATTACTATCTTCCACATTATTGACCAGTAATTAGTAAGGGTGGATATATTCTCACCTGCTCAACAGCACCAGGTATGGAGCGTCATCATATAGCTCAAGACTTTCTGATCGTCTCGCCATTCGCCATCTCAAGCATCACACGTTGCTTCTTTTCGCTTTCTACAACCCCAAAAAGCCCTTGACACCACTCCAATTGTCATTGTTGTACATGTAATCCAGACTATGTCTCAAAGATTTGTGAATATGTTTCGGATCCGTCTGGTACAGATACATGCATGCACCCCACGAAAGAGCAGCAGTCACCGTCCACGCGTTGCTGGTGATCGCTGAATGAACCTCAGAAAGCGTGTTGGGTGACCAGTCGTTCTCCAGAACAGCATAACTGAGTTTCTCGGCCAAAATGCTGCCGAGCGCAAGTACCAGTCGCGAAATCAGATACAAAGTCACCTGATGGGTGATTGCTCTGGCAAATTTCGCATTCTTGAACGGCTGGCCATACACGAAAAAACCAGCAACTGCACCCGCAATAAAATGGACAAACTTGTGAGATTTGAATATGCGGCTTCTTCTCAAAAAATACAGTGTTCCTCGGTATATCACAGCAAATCCAGCCAGCACTTTGGCATGCTGTAACGATAAGCTCGCGGCTCCAGTCACTCTTTTGAGCAAGGGCACGTTTCTGCGAAAGATGAAAGAGACAGCAATTGCGTGCGCAAAGCGGATTCGTGATCCATAAACAACACCATTTCTAGAGGCCCGTAGCATGTTGAGGGCGTCCAGAACTATTTGTGGCAGAGCCAAGTCGAGGTCGTCGGAGTCTGGGTCGGACTCGTAATCAGACATGGTGAGGGAAGAGTGGAGACCGGTGCGACGGACAAGGCAAGTCAAACAAACAACTGTGGACAAGAGAACAAGCCAAATCAAGTTTTGACAAGAACAAGAAGAACAAAAGAGAACAAGAACAAGACGAACACCGAAATCAGTTTGCACCCTCTTTCAGTTTTGACATGTGATTGCGGGGATTCCGGGGATGGTCGTGTGGAAACAATAGGTAGTGTGAGTCACATCCTAAAAGCACGTGACCGTTCCTAACCGGGGTGACAGCTGTATCCGGGTTCTACCTTCAAAGGTTGTTGTAGTGCTTCCCATTGAATCGTCTGCCTGGTGTTTTTCCCGCTTATCTTGCTAATGTCGGATCTCAGTTCTGCCTCACTGGTAGACGATCCGGAAGAGCATCCGCCATTATTGCCCAAAACCGGCGATGGCCCCACCCTCAAGTCTGAGATATGGGGCTGGTGCTTGTACGCATGGGCCTCAGAGCCATTCATAGTGAGCGTGGTTGGGACTTATGTACCGCTTTTACTAGAGCAGTTGGCTCGAGACAACGGGGTTAGGCTCTCTGATCTCACAACGCCGTGTGTTGGTGCAAAGCATCCAAGTCCCGTTCCGGAACCAATACCACCCACACCAGATGACCCAAATCCTAAGCACCCACAAGAACATTCGTGCGTTCTCCCGGTGCTCAATGGCAATTTCAACATCGATACTTCGTCATATGCTCTTTATACATTCTCGTTCTCAGTCTTCGTGCAAACGCTGGTCGTGATATCCATGAGTGGGGCTGCGGATAGAGGGTCGTATAGGAAGTCGCTTCTTTTGGGATTTGGTGCGGTAGGAGCCATTGCTACGATGGTTTATATATTCATAAGCGACTCAAATTACTATTGGGCGAGTTTCTTGGCGATTGTGGCCAATAGCTGCTATGGAGCCGTGAATGTGTGTGGCAACGCCTTTTTGCCTGTGCTAACAGATAATCATCCGGAACTGACGAGGAGGGACTCAGACTCGAATATTTCACGCTCAGAAGCAAAAGGTGCTATTTCCTCGAAAATCAGCGGAAAAGGTGCTTCTGCGGGGTATATTTCCGCTCTGCTCGTGCAACTTTTGACGATGCTGATTTTGGTGAAGCTGAAGAAGGGTATGTCCTCAAAGACACCCGAAATCGCATCCAATTCGTCGATTTTCCCGATCCAGGTAGTGATATTTATTGTGGGACTTTGGTGGTTTGCTTTTCAGTTGCCTCTCCATTGGTTGCTCAAGCCAAGACCCGGTCCCCATCTCCACATGAGCCACTCTCCACCATCTCCCATAGTGTACTCCACGGAGGGACCAAAAACCTACTACACAGGGCTCCTCGTGTACAAGCTAACCGTTTTGAAGGCTTATATCATATACGGCTGGAAGACTTTGTTTTTGGCGACCAAGACTGCGAGACAACTAAAGGACATATCGTTGTTTCTGCTGGGATGGTTCATCGTTTCCGATAGCACCACCACGATCAACTCAGCTGCCATTCTGTTTGCGCGATCCGAGCTTAAAATGTCTACTCTTCAGCTCTCTTTCATTGGAATAGCAACGATGCTTTCCGCGATATTGAGTGCGTCTCTGATACCAACGGTGATCCAGCCTTACTGGCATATCTCCACTAAACGGATGTTCATCTACACCATCGTGTGGAGCAGTGTGATTCCTTTCTATGGTTGTTTGGGTTTTTATTTTGACTCTTTTGGGCTCAAGCACCCATTCGAAATGTACATTCTGGCAGTGTTCTATGGGTTCTCGCTAGGTGGCCTGGCAACGGTCTCCAGATCTCTGTTCTCATTGCTCATTCCGAAGGGCAAAGAATCGGTGTTTTTCTCGCTGTTTAGCGTCACCGACAAAGGTAGCTCTATCCTGGGACCTGCTGTCGTGGGCATTATCGTTGATAAAACCCACAATATCAGGTACTGCTTCTACTTTCTGTATGCTCTTTTGGTGGTTTCGCTTCCGGTGTTTGCTCTCGTGGATATTGAGAGGGGCGCACGCGAGGCATTAGTGTTGGAGCATGTTGATGATAATGAGAGGGAATGAGAATTGTGAACAAGAATTTGGCATTATGTCTTCGCATAGCCTGAAATTCGCCATTTTAGTACACGAGTACTCATCCAATGAGCCTGTACATAAGCCAAAGCTGACTTTTCTGTCTTCTGATGGACATCAGTCTGTCGTTTTTTCTAACGACTTTCCACAGAATATCATATTATTCCCCAGCTTCTGCCACCATTGGAACCCATTTCATTTCATTTCAAGCCTTCAACGCTTGTCTGCAGCCGATGCTATTCCGTTGGTTTCATCGCGCTTCCTTTACCGTCTTTACCTATACCACTTTAAATACTTCATGATCCTATTTCATCCTATATCATCCTATATCATCCTATATCATCCTATTTCCCAGTGTACCCCAAAGCCCGGTCCAATCTGCTAAAGGTCTTTTTACCCGCGATCGACCACTCTTTTTTTTCACTACTTCAGATCATCCCCATTCCACTAGCAGTTCTCACCTGTCTCACACTCCCCATATCTTCACCGTGTGATCGTCCCCAGCTGTAGCAAAAACCCTGGCCCCATATCCGGTACCGTTCCGATTCCAATCCACACAGTTCACCAGCTCCTTGTGTCCCTCCAGGGCATAAATCAGATTACCAAACTCGCGATTCCAAATATAAACCCTGCCATCTTCACTGCCACTTAATATAAAGCTCTCGTCCCAATTACCGAAACACGAGCGAATCACGTATCTCGCTTGCTGCTGGCCGTAGTACTTGCGGATTAACGTGTAGTTTGAAAGATCCCACAGTTGAACCTCTTCAGGTGCAACGTTGATGATACAATGGCGTGAATCTTGCGACATCGTCACCGATGTGAGCTTTTTGCCAATCTTGATCTCCTTCAGAAGTTTCTTGGTGAAAATATCGTAGATATACGCAGAATGGTCCTGATTCACCGTGATGAAGCTCTTCCCGTTCGGGAAAACCGCAAGATCCGTCACCCTCTTGTCGTCAATGGGCCATTCGTACGACACCTCAAACTTGGAGTTGAAAAGCCACAATCGTTTATCAGGCGAACCAGCCAGGAACCCGGAAGAGTCTGGAAGCCACTCGCACGACCAAATCCGCAGTTTATCACCAAAAGACGTCGATTCCAAACAAGTTCCTGATCTTACGTCCCAAAGCCGCACATATAAGTCCAATCCACAGGTCAAAAGCAAGTTATCATCAGGAGACCATGAGCAGTACATTACTGCCTTGTCGGAACCCACCAGCTCCCGTAAAACACGAAAGTCATTTTCCACATCGTATATGATTATCTTCGAGTCTGAAGATGCTGAGCAAAGGTATTTTCCCGTGTTGCTGAAGCGTACGAACCAAACCTCGTCTGAGTGGGAATTCAGCGTTTTGATCACCCTGGACGGGAATTTGTCTCTGTTTGAGCGATAGTCCTTGTAAAGTGATACATTTCCTGTTTCTGTTCTTTCTCTGACGTGGTAACAGTCTTTTTCGCGCTGGTGGGATATGGCCTGGTTTAACAACGTGGCTAGTCGATGCGGCGGTAACAACCGTTCTGGTGGAACAAATTTGCTGATTTCCTCAACTAGTCGCTCCCGTGATTCGACCGGAGTTCCAAGCCAGCCCAGCTCATCACACAATTCGGCGTCAGAGTCATCCACCAGAATGCACGCCAATTGTCTTGACACATCTTCAGGAACACCCAATGGTGTAATTTCGGAGCGTAAAACCCTTAAGGCCTCAGGACGGTTGTTCTGGACCATCAAAAGCTCCAAAAACCGTTCTCTTCTCACTAAATAGAGGATATGACCCGCACTTTCGGCGTCAAAACCTAAGTCAAGTAAAGCAGCCTCCGCATCTACAAAGGCACCCTGATAAACCAGCTGGATAAACCCGTGAATTGCCGGGTCACCAGATTCAAGCCCGGAGACACCTGCTAAATCTCTGGATATCGCTTCATAGCCGAGATCTGCCAGAGTCTGGACAAGTAGTCTTGTGACTTCCTCTCTGTTCAGATTGTGGTACGGGGTATCTGGTGTAGAAGACATGTCCAGCGATAAATGGCCCTGCACAGGAGCCATTGAGGATATTCAATGTGTTGAGTTAAATGGAAATCTGAAGCCGTACTTCGCCACAACAGTCGGGAGAATTGGGCCAAAATTGGTTGTGAAACCTAACTTGTTTCAGAGCCTTTAGCAAGGTAGTCGTATAGCTGATTAAAGCATATTAGTGGTATGAGCCCTGTGCCTGTCATTTATCCGCGTGTCATCTTCTTGCAGCTGCCATTATTTCACGTGAACGCTTAGCGTACGTGGCGGCGATTCTCTCCGCTGTCCTCTTCGTGTTCTCTTATTCTTATAGTGTTTCTTTACTCTTTTTCGACAACTCTACCAGAAATGAAGTTTTCAATTAAGTTACTAGCCGCGTTGGCAGGCATTGTATGCACAGCAGCGGCTGTTGACGAGAATCCAGCCGTTGCTTCGGCTGATTCTGCGGTTGTCAAGCTGACGTCTGACAAATTCTCCGCGTTCCTCAAGGAAAACGATCTCGTTCTTGCCGAATTCTTCGCCCCTTGGTGTGGTCATTGCAAGCATCTTGGCCCCGAGTTTAGCTCTGCTGCCGACCGCTTGCTGGACAAGAACATCAGGTTGGCCCAGATTGACTGCACTGTGGAGAAGGATCTGTGCCAGAACCACGGCATCAAGGGCTACCCTACCCTCAAGGTGTTCAAGGGCCCTGACGCTGAGCCTGTTGACTACAGTGGTCAGAGAACTGCGGATTCGATCTACAGCTATATGTTGAAACAGTCTCTACCACCAGTTTCTGTGATCGCTGATGCTGCTGACCTGACCGACTCTATTGAGGAGGCCGTTGAACCAATCGTGCTTCAGATACAGCCAAAGGGCGCCAAAGCTTCGGAAGCTAACACGAGTTTCTACGAGCTTGCAGGCACCTTGAGAGAACAGTTCACTTTCATCGTGACTTCCTCTGACGAGTACATCAAGAAGTATGCCGGCGACAGCTCCGAACCTGTATTTGCCATTTTCAGAGCTGACAGCTCTGAACCCTCCATCTTCAAGGGCGAAGTCAGTGACCTTACCCACTTGACCGAGTTCATCGAAATCGAGACCAAGCCTCTGTTTGGCGAGATCGACGGAAGCTCTTTCCAGGTGTACATGGGTGCAAAATTGCCTCTCGCGTATTACTTCTGGACCGACAAGGCCGGTAGGGACGCAGTTGAGTCGATCATTTTGCCCCTCGCTAAGAAGTACAGAGGTGTGATCAACTTTGTTGGTTTGGAAGCCGCCAAATTCGGCCCACATGCCAAGAACCTGAACATGCAGGAGAGTTACCCATTGTTTGCTATTCACGACATTGAGTCCAACAAGAAGTATGGTATCAGTCAAGAGAAGGAGCTGAACAACAAGGACATCACAAAGTTCGTGGAGAGCTTTGTCGCCGGCGAAGCTGAGCCAATTGTTAAGTCTGAGGACGTTCCAGAGGAGCAGGCCGAGGCCGTTTACCACTTGGTCGGCAAGGAACATCAGGCCATCACCCTTGACGAGTCCAAGGACGTTTTGGTGAAGTACTACGCTCCATGGTGCGGTCACTGTAAGAGACTTGCCCCTACCTATGAGGAGTTGGCTGCTGTCTACAAGGATGCTGGTGAAGACAGAGTTGTGATTGCCAAGCTCGACCACACCCTCAACGATGTTCCAGTTGAGATTTCCGGATACCCAACCTTGGTGCTGTACCCAGCCAACGACAAGACTAACCCAATCACTTTCGAGGGAGCTAGATCCATCGAGGGCTTGAGTGAGTTCATCAAAGACAAGGGCTCTTTTGGAATTGACGCATTGAAGTTGCAGGCTGAAAACACCGCTGCTGGTAATGCTACCGAGGAAGCTGTCAAGGAGGCTGATGGCCACGACGAGCTATAGAGAGTTGAGTCAAATTGTATGAACTTGAAGTTTGGTAACAAATTCAATAACAAATTGGTTTGGTTTTAAGTTTGTGACTTTCACAAGTTGTGTAGTAATCATATACACAGTATTTTTCATCCTTAGCAAAAACACACAGTCCACCCTAGCACTTGGACTTCATCACACCAGTCCACAAATATGTCATCCTTCGCAGCCGTCCTCCAACACCTTACCAGCAAGTGCCAGGCTCTCTCGACATTCCGAACTGGATACTCCGTGGAAAGTCTCTGGTACAATAATTTCAAGTAATTGCGATCCTGCTCAGTAACACACGCAAGTCCCGTGATGAGGATCGGCCAACAGAGCGAAGACTGGAGTTTCGAGCCAACCAGCCGACCAAGACTTTTCATGGACTGTTGTACTTTCATCTGAATCCCCAGATCACCATGATGAGACTCTTTGAATACCATTTGGTTGTACAAATTGAGACAGTTCTGGTACAGATCAAACACCTCCAGATGGAGCTGCACCAAATCGGCATCATCAACATGTTGCAATTGAGCAGTAGACGGCTTTGCAGATGCAATTCTGCCCTCATTTCTGTGAAAAGCAGCTTCCATTTCGACTTTATAAGCCTCATCTGCCGCATCAAAAATGTCCAGAAAATCGTGGGTTTCTGTGGAGTCTGATTCCATGAGTCCACCACATGACTTCAAGCGAGAAAGACGAGCTTTTTCGTTCGCAACTTCACCAACTACCAGCGAAAGCTCTTGCATACACCCCTGAAGAGGATCGGGCCCATACCCGTCCGATTCCAGGATTTTGGCTTGCTTGAAGATGAGATCATATTGCTCCATGGGGTATAGAGTTCCCGAGATCCAGGCCTGGGTAGCCATCACGTCATGGAACAAGAAGTTGGAAATCACCCACTTCACTTCGTTGGAACCCTTGTGGTCATTACAAAGCTTCACTATGCCACCATACGAATCCAACAGGCTCTTGAATTGAAGGAATATGCCGTACCAGTTCTTGACATCTCCCGTAGATATCTCGGCACCAACACTAATGATGTACGAGGCAAAGAGCAGCATATAATCCGAGGTTGCCAGGTTCTTTTTGGTGAGCTTCTCTCTCGCCATTGCTAGTCCACTTTCCAAGTACCACCGGGAATCATCATCACCAGATCCTAGTAGAAACATGCCTCCCCAGGCAACCACTCCATGGAGGATGGCCTTATCGTAGTAGGCCAGTTGCATGGAATATTTCAAGAAAAAGTTGGTTTCGTCCATGCTCATAGATATCATCCTTGCAACGTAGGAACGGTAATGATCAAGACACAAAATCGCCTTCTCGTCCAGCCCTTGCAACAATGAGTTATTGGGAGTGGTATAGAGGGTATCTGGGAATAAGATATGGAAGGAGGGCTTCCAATGCATAGAGCTCCCTGGTGACCTCATCTCTTCGATTGCGAGATTCAACAGCTCTTTATCAGTCATATTCTGGTTCTCAACCACCTGAGATTCGTCCATGGTGGTGAATCTCTCGGGCTCTGTATGCAGTGACTCGTAGAGCTCTAGTCTTGAGCTCGAGGGCGAAGGAAACGACGGATTCCGCTCCAAAAACTGGAAAATCTCTTGAAGCTGATTCTGTCTTCCTGGAGAGTATGTGATGGCCAGAGTCTCATCCTCACTATGTGGAAGTTCCAGGAATGGCGAAAGAGACATCTCCTCATTATTAGCATCCTTAATGGGCTCGGTTTTTGGCGATGGAGATGGCACTTCCACTCCACGAGCTTCGGTAATTCTTGAATTGGAACTATAGTTCTGTTGCTGGCTCAGCTTCGTATCTTTGGACGATTTCTGGGGTTTTGAAATGCCATTTTGCTTCACCTTGGCGTTTCTTCTGTTGCCCCATGCACACTCTACGTTTCTCTTACGACACAATCCGCAGATCGGGTACTCTTCGTCGCATTTTTTGCTGTCCTTCGTTAGTTCTATAGCATAACAAGGTCAAAAGTCACAATTTTCACTCACTGTTTCGACCGACAGGACAAACACCCATGTCTCGATTTGCAGGTGATCCCTACAAAGCTGTTCACCTTGATGGTGGGCGTATTTGACCCCTGCCAGCTCGCCATGCCCTGGGACGACGGGGCCCTCTTCAACTCTATTGTGGCAAACGATTGGTCAAACTTTGAAAACATGCCGAGAAATCAGTGCTCCATAGGCTTTGATGAATGTGGTGACTAATAAAACTAACACAGTCCCTCGTCAGATACGATTGAAGACGACTTCCCGATATGGATTTTGTCTGGTGCACTCCCCATCGCGAAACCAGATCTGAACCAAAACTCGTCAAGTAAACAAACCATCTCACCAAACACGAGTTCCAGCAACAACACCTATTAGCCAACAATGTCGATTGATCACTCGAAATTCATGACCGATCTTCCGGCGGATGATCTGGACAAGCTGCGTACCATTTCGGATTCCTGGGCAGATGGTGTAAAGACCAATCTCATGGAACAGATAAGAAGAGGCCATGATGAGCTACGCAGAATACAAACAGCACAGCAGAGCACCCGCACGCAAATCGAAGCTGTAAAGGCTCAGCATCAAAGTCTCAAATCTGAGCGTGATTCAAAGGCCCAAAAACTCGAGAAGGAATGGCTCGCTAAACAAGCCGAAGTGGAGGAGCTACGCGGTCACATCGACTCTCTCAAGGCTCAGATGGTGAATTCGGTCGAACAATCAAGAAGTTTGGATCCGCAAATAGATTCACTCGAAAAAGAACTGTTACAAAAGCAAAATGATGTGAAAATGCAGAAGGGAGTGAACACCGTTCTCCAGTCGAAATATCAATCGCTGCTTGGACTGAGGATAGAAGCCATGGAAGAGGAGGACGAACTTCAATTTTTTATGAACAACATTGACGCAAGTGATTATGATAGAGAGGTATCTTTTGTCTTGACGCTTCATGATGATTACTGTGTGAAGAATTGCAATCCCAAGGTTCCAAAGGAGGAGGTGGATGGTATTATCAGTGAGTTGAAGAGCAGCCACGAGTTTGGCAGTTTTCTTAAGCAGATGAGGTCGTTGCTGAAGTCGAGGATTTAGCTTTTGTTCTTATTATGGACCTAGTTTTAGATTCAGATGAGATTTAGGCGTGATCCTAGGTGCACTGAGGTTCTTGGGTTAGTTGAAGTTCTGAGCTTTGGTGAGGACTCAGTCAGGAGTTTATTTAATTTAATGCGATTTTGGTTTTGAACAATTATGCAGTTAAACTGAGTGGATAGTTTACTCTGAGATGTACATGTAGTTCACCATGGTTTGCAGTCCGGTTTATGGCCCACCCTACAATCAAGTCCGCTACCTGATTCACCATGCATTTCAGTATGTTTTTCGGTTATTCATATTATTCACATTATTCATGTTCCTCACTATGTGCAAGAACTGATGGAGGAGGTGGAATGTCTCCATGAGAAGTCACCGCTTTACTGCCATCCATTTCCTTCGACTTTTTTGTCTCCTCCTCGAAATAAGAGCTTAGATCGTTTGCAACATGTTTGGGCTTACGCTTGGACTTGCTGGAATGAGGAGGAGGTGCCACCGAGGCAGGAACAAACGTCTGGGACGTTAATGGTGACGACGTAGTTGGTTTGGTCTCGCCGGGAGTTGCAAACATTGTTGTTCCAGGACTAAAATCGTTGTAGTTCATTTCCTCATCGGAATCGCCACTTTTCGCTTCACCAAATTTCCCAAACACTTCAGGCAAACGGTGGAGCAAACCATATCCAACATCGCATCCAAGCAGTCCTCCACCACCCCACTCCTCGTTGGGATAGATGGTCACCGGCCTCACGATATCAAAATCATGGTTGTAAGCATAAAGAATAACAGAAAGCTGACTTTTCTTCTCGTCTTGGGACTTGGAACGAAGATACAACGATGTTATCACTTTGCCCAAAAGATCCTCACCACCAGTAGCCAGCAGTCCATCTTGGGATCCAATGATATAATCTGCTCCTGGCAAAAGCCCAGCCTGGTAGGCAGGCGAGTTGGCCTTGACATTCAGCACATGCCACACATAGGTAGCCGCTTCAAGAGGTGCATATTGCAAAGACATTCCCAGCTTCTTGAAAGCATCGTTCTTGACGACTCCCTCGTTGGACGGTTTCTCCAAGCTAACGTCATCCAATTCTGAGGTCTTTGCAATCCCAGAGTTGACAATTTCCTCTGAAGGAACTGTAATCGTCCTCAAAGTTCCGCCTTTTGCGTTCCACACCTGGAACCTTATTGGCTGGAGATTATCGACCAGATTCTTTAGAAAGCCCAGCAGCCTTGTGTAGTCAACTTTGCCAACAGCAACGTTTTCTTCCGAGTCGGCTCCGCCAATCAGAAGGTTGATCTCGTAGTCATTCACACCAACTATGAAGTCAAACCAGGACTCGAATCCGTGGTTGGCACATATAGATCCACGTTCCACACTCAGTACTCTCAGACCCCATCCCGAGCCCTTCTGCTTGAAATACGTGTCTGCCTCATGGGAATTGAGCGAAAGATTGGAAATCTGCTCAGTGGCCTGTTGTTCAAGTTGATTGACCAGTTTCTTGGCAAATGCAAACATTTTCAAGGATTTTGGCTTGTTCGGTTTTTGGTTGGTGATGAATGGTCATCTTCAAAGCTTTCTGAGTTCATGAGCCCCATCTGCAGATTGACTGCCAATTGTCATTGTGCCATTAATCAGGCCAAGGCCAACTGCTTCTCTTGCATATATTATGTCTTGATATCGAAAAATGATATCGACTTTGAAAGTGATGACCGATATAAATGACTAGCCATTTTGACTGGTAGTGATGGACTCTGTCTCAGCATTGTCTATGCCTCAATATTAACTACAGCTTGACATTCACTACGGTTCCTGCTTCGTATTCACTATGACTTCATATCGCCTCAATATCAACTAGCAGTCAAAAATTTCCCACTTCATTCTCCAAAGACCTTCCTCAATGAACCCCAGCGATGCTTCAGATCTTTGTGAGTGATCTTGAGTTCCTCAAGCTCCTTCTTGAGCGAGTCGTACTCACCCTCCAGCAAACTCAATTGCTCCTCAAGGCCTCTGTTTTCCTCCATCACCTCCAGATTGCGTTCCATCGTCTTCTTCACTTCCATCTCCAGGTTGGAACTCAGCTCAACTCCACTGCTCATCGAGGTGGCCGAGCCCTTTCTGTCGGGCTTCTGTTCGCTAAGTTCCTTCTCCAGAGACGCAACACGAAGATTTAAATCAGCAACCTCGGCCTCCAGGGATTTGTTCTCGTCTTGCAGGTTGGCTATGAGCACTTTGCCCTGTATCATCTCGTTAGCCACATCAACATGTTCTCTGTTCAAAACGGCATAGGCAGACTCAAGTTTGCGTATTTCCCTAGTCAGTTGGCCGTTGGACGTTCTCAAAGTCTCCATCTCTTCTTCTCTTTCCGTCTCCAATCTGTGTATCTCTTCGTATTCGGCCTCGTATCTTTTCAAGTTCAATGGCAAGAGCTCCACCTTCATTGCATCCCTCACAAAATCGTCCAACCTGTAACTCTCCAGGGTAATGCTTTTAAGTTCTCTCTGGAATCCGGTCATCAGAGAAGGATTGCTTTCCTCTTGAACTATGTCAGTTTTGATCAAGTAGTAGTAGAACAGCTTTTCCTTCAGGAACGAAACAAGATCATCAAACTTCAGCTGAAGGATGTGATCTTTTGACTTCAGCATCAAATTCACAGCAAACTTCAGCACAGATTGAAGGCCTTCAGCAATGACAATATCAAAGATCCTTAGCACCATGTCCAGCGGAAATTTGTATCCAAAGAGAGTTAAAAACCACTGGGTAGCATACATGCTTGATCTGACTCCTGATCTCTGCAAGTACGAGAACAGATCGGGAGCAATATCCTCTAGTATTCTGTCAAACTGGTATAACAGCAAGTGGAGACCTGTCATTGAAGGCATGAAAAGCTCTCTAAACCCGTAGTTCTTCATAAGTGTCACCAGCATACAGAAGGCCTCGGAACTACCCATGTTCATCAATAGGGGAACTGTGATAAAGGCCATTCCCTGTGTATATCCTACCTCAGGATCAAACACCGAGTAGGTCTTGATCACTTCGTATAGATCGTCGATTTTGTTCTTCACCTCCGAGGTAGTCACGAAACTGGTACGTGCCAAGTCCCTCTTTATAGCCTTCTCAAAGGGACTGTCCTCAAGTTTCAGGGTCCTATACAGCTCTTCCAGCGAAAAACTCTTGGAATTCGTCATCAGCTGCCAGACCATCCCCCTGAGTTCCTTGGGTATGCCATCGGTGATGTTCTCAATGAGTTGGTCGTGACGAGTATTCACCACCTCTGTGTAATCGTTACACACAAGCGACCAGAACTCCCAGTCAATAGACTTGATAAGCGACTCATTGTTGGTGTATTGTATCCCGGTCTTGATCTCGTTAAAGGTCATGCGCAGAGTCGTAGCGCCTGTATTGAGAACCTGTCTATCCTTATCAGACTTGGAGAACAAATCACGGTTGTTTCTGTTCAGCCGACTGACCAGCAAGTCAAAATTCTCAATGTCTCCAAGCTCTCTGAGGAACTCCTCCTGATCCAACGTCGTCGCGGGAGTTAGAACCTCACGAGAATTATTCACACTCTTCAGCTTCAGGTTGAACCATTGCTTGAATGACTTGACAGCAGCCTTCGGCTCCACAGCATCCTCCATGTTGATATAAACGGGCTGATCTCTTAGTGGAAGGGGTGGTATCTCTTCGCTGTGTTTCACCATGGAAGCAGAGTCAAATGACGAAACAATTGACTCCTGTGGGTCGTCAAGCACCTCGGCTGGTGCCGCTTCAGGTGCCGCTTCAGGTGCCGGTGCAGGCGCAGATGATGTCGATAGCTGTTGTACTTCCTCAACAGGAGAAACGACACGTTCAGCATCATCATCTATGATTTCATTGGGGTAATTCTCATGTTCTTCTTGTATCTGATTAGCGATGACTTCACGATGTTCAGCGGGCTGTTCTGTCTCAGTCTCAACCTTACTAGTTATCGTGCCGTCTGTTTCCTCGGTTCGAGTTCCCTCGACAGGAATGTCGGCTTTTGAAGATTTGATAGTGGCTGTGTCATTATCACCCTCTTCGACTTCCACACTTTCAATGGCAGGTTCCAAGGATCCAGTCTCATGGGACTCTTCGGCTTCAGCAGATACCACGTCTTTGAATGCCTCATCCTTATCAACAGTTTCACTCTCAGTCTTATCTTGCGTTACTTCCTCGCCTGTCACATTCGCTTTTGCATCATGGAAAACATCCGTGGATGTGTCTCCTGTCTCGTTGTCAGACATGGTGTTTTAGACCGGCTTGTACGGGCCTAGATGCGTATTCCTTTTTCGTCCCTCAATCTCAGTTCAAGCTGAAAATTCCTCAGAGATTCTGCAGAATTGGTGACTTCAACTGGATGGAGTTTAAACTGAATTCAAAGCTCAATTGATCGAACCGATAGCCTTGATTATGGTTAAGCCGGGATCGCCCTTTACCCGTTCTGGCCACAAAGGCAGGTCTCAAAACTTGGTACAGTACACTACTCATCGATATTTCAGAATCGTACACTACCTGAGCTCATTCAGACTGGTCTATTATACAATGGCTGCTTCCCATTTCTCTCAAACATGACCTATGGTAGCCATGACCACATTTGAAGGAGATGATGCTGGATCTTAGATTGTGGTCACCATCTTCAACATTATCGACCTTCGCATCCCCGCCAGTTCTATTTTCAGCCCACAACTCGTAGACCTCACGGTTCAATCCATGACCCCACAGTTTCTTCCCGCAGATCTCACACTCAGAGTTTTTTGTCGTCCATCCAGACGAATTCAGTCTGTTTAGATGCTCCATATCAATGAATATGTCTCCATTCACCAGAATCAACACGTGCCGTATAATCTCTCTTTCATAGGAGTATGCAGCATAAACACTCTTCACCACCTGTCTCACGTCCCCCAGAGTAGTCACCTTAGCAGACGACCGGTTCAAGAACTCGGAGAATATACGCAGGAATGATCCTTCGGTCTCTTCATCCGAGGGTCCAACACTATTGTAGTAGAGGTCGATTAGGCTGACGAAGGCCTCTTGCATCAATCTCTGAGCTACTTGAAGTGCTACTCCAGGGGCATCCTCGTGAGCTGATTTGAATATCTTCACGGGAACTTCCAAAAACCTGAGAAGCATTTTCTCCACAGGAGTCAGAGTCTGGCCAGTTGAGCCCTTCACTCTCTCTGTGGTCAAGTTTTTGCTCAGAAGGATACCCTGTCTGAGATCATCGAACAGCTCTCCTTCTATAGCCTTGATGCTACGCTCATCCTGAGCTATCACCAATTCATTACCCTTGGACTCCATTAACTGAAGGATGAGTTTCACCGCCTCTTTTGGCTTCGAATTGATCACATACAACTGGACAACGGCCTTGGTTGCTCCAGCGGCCCGGAGATTCGATGCCACTTCGTCGAGATCAATATCCTTGAATCTACCACCCAACACCTCTTCCGTAAGTGCATTGTGATCAAACTTGGCAAGTAATTTGACATAAAGTTTTTTCAACTCTAGCGGTAGCGGTTGGGTTAATTTACTGAGCTTCTCCAGTCCAAATAGATAGCGAAGATACTCATATTTCTTCTCGTCGCTCACTTCTTCTGATGTGCACTCGTTGTGCAGGCCGGGAGCATATTGGTTGAGAACGGCAGCCAAAGCCTCTGGGTCTTCGTTCAAGAAAGATTTGAAATGCTCTTTCACAAACTCTATAACACTCTGCTCTTCGCGGTTGTCCGATTTGACGATTTCAAAGCAATTGGTCAACAATTCAGAAGTGGACTTGAAAATCTCAGTAGGTAATAGTTCGCTCATTCCAATAGAAGACAATTTGTTCCACAGTTGCAAGAATTTCAGCATTTTCTTCTCTGAACGATAAACAGTGAATAGCACTCTGTAATAACCTGACGACTCAAAAAGGCTTCCCAGTTCATCGATACTTGGTGGGTGGTAAACCGACAATAGGCTTCGAAGAGCAAACTCTGCCTCTTCTTGGAGGTTCTTTACCGGTGGAAAGCATAGCTTCTTGATCACATCTTGCAACACGCTATCTGAGATTCGCAGGAACTGGTAGTATTTAGGGAAGTTTCTGGCTATGAAAATTCCCAAATAAAAGTGATCTTCTTTGGAGAATTCGTTGCTTCTGAACACTCCCAGGAGAATATCAACGACATACTGCCTAGTAACCTTGAAAGCGGAGTTTTTAACCAAGTTCATTCCCATGACATCGAAATTCAAGAGTTTTTCCTCGTCTCCCTCGTCGTCGTCGTTTAACGAAGTGTCTTCAAACGCTTCGTTCAGAGCTCCCAGCATGCTGAAGCAATCTAATTTAAGAAGGAAACAAAAGTATGGAAAGGCAGGTTCGTTGGTCAGGTCCTCAGTCATGTGAACTTTAGGTGAGTTCTCCGGCCATGATACTGCTGTTCCGTTCAGAAGAATATAGTAAAGACTTCTTTTAGCAGAATACTCCTTTCTATAATCCATTGGCTTTTCGGTTGGATACTGTCTCCCTGTAAGAATGTAGCCAATATATGAATATATGTCTCTTTCACTTGCATTTGTCACTTGGCTAGATTCTTTCATCAGATCCATCAATGGAGAAATGTAGTCGTTGAGCAAGACATTCCAAATATATATCAGAATATCCTTCAAACCATGTTTCTTGCATAGAGATATCGTTAAGTCAATGTCCAACGTTCTGATGTCCAAAAGACATATTATCTCTTCAAGAACCAGAGTCTTTCCCTGGGCAATGTATGTTTCAACTAGTCCCTTCAATATAGTAGGTGCAAGCGAAACCACCTTCCCATCTAGGATATATGCCTCCAAAACATCGTAGAAAATCGCTTCCAGACCGTTTTCGGCGTACTTCTCAAACATATGCTCATAATCTGCTGGTTCGCTATTCATCGCTATTAGCGTTTGGAGTGCTGTGGAGAGAAATTTGTGATAGAATTGGTTCGACGAATCTAATCCCACTGGATGGTCGACAAAGATGTGGTCGGTAGAAGCAGCTATTATGCCCTTTATATGAGGGGTTACCAACAGATGTCTTTGCTCTGCTGATTTTGGGAGACCTCGTATCGCTAGATCGCACTCCCCGGAATATTGCTTGCTCGCAACTTCCAAAGCACCAATGTAGTCTCCTTCACGAAGCAACATCATCAGATTATCTGCCCAGTTCTCAAGAGTTCCCAAGTAGAAATCGTATTTTCCCAAAACAAAAATTTTCCCCTTATATACCTGAAAGGCACTGTAATAGTAATCATGCAAGACTCCTCCATGGCCAAGGGAAACACTCAACGGTTTGATATGACGGGAAACACAATCAACCACCGCAGCGACATTCATCTTTGAACGATCAAGGAAGACAATCTGTGAGCTTGTAGTTAACAGTGCTAACAATCTGGAATTAACCCAATTCACTGAAACTATGGCCTCTTGGCCCTCCCATCGTCTGTGGTGCTCCAGCCTTAAATCCAGACTATCATGACCTTCTTTATCCACAAAAGTCTCAGTTGCAAGCTCAACAACATGCAAAGTTTTGGAAAAACAATATGCTAGCAGAGCCCTTGAGCTCTGACCATTTGCTTCCCTCAGAGCTGGCAGCCATGCCACACAGGCCGTGGGCTTCAAATCCAAGCTCGAGCTCTGGGGTCTTTTGATCTTTGCATGAATTCTGACATACGGATGTGTAGACATCACTACAACTGAACTCACAGTGCAAAGTGCAACAACTCCAGTCCCATCGGTTGGTTGAATGGAAGTTCCCAGAGGTAGAACAGAGCATTGCAAGATGATGGACTCGTTGCTCGTGCTCTCTCCAGAGATTATGGATCGCGAATTGCACTGCAATCCAAGTAAGTTGGAGTATCCATTGTGGTACACCAACTCACCATGGCTGTCGCTTGAAATCAATCCAGTATGACGTTTTCCCAGAAACTGTATTTGCAAGACGGCAGAATTCTCCTTATGGCCATCGCCATTCGACCCTGGTTGTTGCGGTTTGATGATAAGAGCTGGTCTTGACGGCTTGGAAAGTTGCCATAACAGAATCGTTCCAGACGAATATCCAGCAGCCAAAAACGTCGTATCTGCCGATAACTGGACGGATACAACTTGGCCTATCTGAGATGCGACTGGGCCTGTTCCCAAAATGGCTGTAATGTTCTGCCTCTGGTCACAAATAGCTATACACCCTTTTGACATCCCAATTGCCACAATGTTTGCATAAGCAGCACAAGTGGGCTCTCCATGCTCAATTCTGAATTCCTCGTTGTAAATCGAACCGCCTAGCTTCTTAAGCTTCAACCATTGCATCACGTCTTCGGTATCGCCATGACCGTTTTGTGTGTTTCGACTTACTTTTTGGAAATCCACATCCTCTGGCTGAGATTGGAATGACTGGATGCTGCTTATTCGAGTCGTCAACCTCTCGTCGAAATGTTTTCGTATGACAGGCGAATCATGCGGAGGCATGGTTATCGGAGCCATTTCGCAGGCGTTATCAGTAACACTAATTGACCGAAATCCGAGTTTCCAATACTCTTGATGAAACCACAGATGCAGATATGTACAAGATAGGTTTGATCTGGTGGAGTTTGCAAGCTTAAATAGGAGTATAAAAAGGTTGGACTTACAAGTTCGAATCTCCTTATCCAAACCATGTCATCTTAATGCCATGGTGTGTACTTAATCAAATTGTGGCCGCACACGCAGATTCCTATGAAAACGATTGAAGGTTGGATATAATTGGTTTTGTTATTAAGTTCAAAAAGTAATTACCTTGATTCTGCATTGGAAGCGGATACTCGGTCATCGTGTTAGCATGGTGGTTGCAAGCCAGCCATATTTCAGGTACGGTGAAGTTTCCAACGACTACCAAGTCTGCTATGCCTCTTAATGTTCATCCACAGGAAGATCAGACCTACACCATCATGAATTCCTAAGCTTACACTAATTTTTATATTATTGCCAGTTTCTAAGTGTCAAGTGATTTCCAAGTTTCCTGCCATTTCAAACTTTTCATTATTCATACCAAACCGCTGAAATCATCAATTGACTTGAATTTATTCCTATCATCCTCGCTCAACTCAGCATTCCCAGGTCTGCACACTATTATCGAGTGCATGCCAGAATCGAAAGCCGCTCTCACTTCATTGACATTGTCGCTCAGAAAGAGAACGTTTTCAGCCGTAAGTCCTGTTTCTTCCAGGATCTTTGTATAACTGGTTGTCTCATTCTTCATACCCGCATTAAGAGTGTCGAAGTATCCAGAGATTAATGGGTTCAGATCAACGCTTTTTCCGTTCTCCAAAGTATGGCCAAACAAAAGTTTTTGCGCTTTGACAGATCCTGATGAATAGATAAACACTTTCTTTCCTTCGGAAGTCCATCTGTTGATCGCAATTATGGCATCTTCGTACACAGGACACTTGATCTCTCCACTGTCATATCCTGCCTGCCAGACCAATCCTTGCAGTTGCTTCAATAGAGGGTCCTTGATGTCCCTTGCAACCAAGTCATTGAGATGGGCAAGAATTTTATCGTAAGATTCTGTCAAGTCTTCTGGAAACTTCGACAGAGTTTGAAGAGCAGCATCTGAGTCGTTGTGTTGGAGTGGGTATTGGTATTTGCTCAATAGAGAAGGGAGTGCTTTAAGAAAAAACGGAAATAACTCGTCTTTCACAAAAGTAATTGGACAGACCGTTCCCTCTATGTCTAGCAAATAGTTTTGAATTTCTGTCATTGAATTTGTTAAAAATGGTGATACTTGAGAGGAGTGAAAAATATGTGGAGTAGTTGAAAGAGCAGTTGAGTATTGAAATTTCTAGTCACGTGCCATGCGCCATACTAAGACCGTGAATTTGATTCAAACTGTTCGGGTTGAATATAACTAGGAAATTGAATATATGGCTTAGGTCAAATCAACTGAGTTTGATGATATTAAATTGAAAGCTTAATACTCATTGAAAGCAACATTCATGCAAAAGTTATCTGCTCAACATTTGCTGAGAAGGGCCACTATTTTGGTGACTTTTTTGAAAAATCTTAGATTACACGATAAATGACCAAACTCCTAAAAAAACCTTCAATTGAAGCCGAACTCAAAAAACTGTCCCTATATATTACCATTGTCATTTAACATCATCCTTCCAACTAATATTCCATCTTTGTCTCGTTGTTTTGTCACGCTTCTATCACCTTTATGCTACCACCATGAACTCGCGCGGCGTGATAACCTATTCGTGATAGACGTATGTGGAACACTGGGAGTCTTCTCTTCCTCCGAACGATCACTGTCATCATCATAGTAGCTTTGAGGTTCGTCTGTGTCGGTATCTTCATCATCATCATCATGGAATCGAGTTTCGAAACTAACATTTCCATGCCCATCCAAATCTGAGTTATCAAAAGGTGATTCAGATAACTGCGAGAACTGAGCTGTAAGATCCACGCCTGCCACACCCTGTTCCATTGTATTACCTCTGGACTTCCTGCCGCTTTGTTTTCTAACTTCTCTTCTTCCACGCTCTATGGCTCTTTCTATGGCCAGTCTATGTTTGATGAACAATAGCTTGGGATAGGCACATAGCTCTCCACTTGCAATCATCTTCTCCAGTCTCTCTGGAGTAGGATCACTAAGAATATACCTGAAATCTCCCAGTTTGATTTTCGGCCATAAAGTAACTGTCCCACTAAATCGTTGGAGCCAGATGTTCGACCAATCTTGGTCCATTATACGAGGAAGCAAATCAAAGTCTCTAATCAGTTTCAGCCATTTGGTGATCTCTAGCTTCAGAAGGTTCTCCAGTGCAGCACCAATGAAACCACCTCTCAAACCGATCGTCCCCGTTCTCCTGGACACAGGCCGCCCAACAGAACCCTTTGGAGCATAGAAAAACAACGATATATGCGGGTTAACTTGGGACACTATCGAGTACTTCACATTGTAGTATGTATTCAATGCCTCCACGGGTATATCAGTTCTCAAACTTCCATCTTTCCATTTGCTTCCAAACGAGAACGAGGTGATGGAACCGTCCCTACGTTTGCTCATCAGAACAACCGGTGGAAGTATACCGGGAACCGCTGAGCTAGCCAGAAGAGCGGACCAGATCACACAATCTGGAGATGTAATATGATTACACAATATCACAGGCGAATGGGGGTCACTTGGAACCGTGCTGATATTGAGAATCTTTCCAGTTCGTTCATAAGCTTCTTTGAAAGTCAGGCTTCCCATGGTGAACCAAGAACACTTTTTCGCCCAATCAACCGGGTCAAACCTAGCACCAGTCTTCCACCACCGTTTGAACCAAACCGAAAATGGATCACTACACGCCGTGATCTTATTTGCGAGCTCAGGCACTATCAGTTGTCTTAACTCGTCGTTGGTGCGGACACAGGCCAAGGCAGCGACTAGACCACCTCCTGATGTTCCGCTGACGATAGTGGGCATGGCGTCGTTTTCAATCAATGCCTTTAATATTCCAAAATGACTGTAGGCAAAACAAGCACCACCAGAGAGACAAAGAGCACTTTTGCCAAAGTTTTTGGAAAGAGCTTTGAAAAACACCTTTTTGTCTTCAGAAGGCATGCTTTCATCGTCTATGACAAACTCCAGAGCATCAACCACTAGCTTGTTATAGATTTCTATCAGTTTTTTGGTCCCATAGTAACACTGTGAGTAAAGGAGGGGATTCTCTGTGCTAGCAAAATTAGCTTTGACACAGTTTTGCAGTATGCTCACCACCTTTTCAACATCCTTCTTCTCAACACTGTCTGCCAGATCAGTAACTATCCGCCGCACAGTCTTCCAATCATAGCAAAAAAAGCGATCATCCTTTCTCCATTGGTCATACTTCAGAAATTTGTCCAAAGACCTCGCATTATCTATCCATTCCTGGTAGCTTTCCGAATGGCGCAATCTGTCCCTGAGCTTCCTTCTTTCTCCCGTCCATGCAAAAAAAAATTCGTAAAACGCCACGTAAATTCTCACGACAAAATAACAAAGGAATAGAACGAACATCCACAGCAAAATGAACGCGAGAATGGGGAATCTCAAGAATTTGAACGTCCACCCAGACTGAAACACATTGTTGTATGCAGAGAAGCTCTTCCGCCTTTTGTGGCCGGGCGACCCCGGCTTGGTGATCTTTCTGTGAATGGGAAGCCAGTCATTTTTGGAGGAAATCAGCTCTATCGGTTCTTCATTCAGCGACACCATGGAGGGGGAACGCGAGAAACTCCAGCTATCGTCTTCATAATCAAGAGCGTTTTTGAACTCTTCAATGTCTGCGAACAGTTAGTATTTCGAAGAAGCCAAAACGTTCGTCTTCAAAACTTACGATTCTCATTCAGGAAGTCTTCTTCGAATGACATCTCAAAGCGAATGCACACAGTCCTATGATACGGAAAGATTATGGAGAAAAAAAAAGATATGTGTCAGAATATCAGTGCGGTCATGAGGGTAGTGTAATTTAACCAAATTTCCCCGGAAACCAACATGAGGTCATAATTCTTACATGCTTACATAAATGCATAATAGACAATAGTGGATTACCGTTGGATTGATGTTATAAACCATTCACATTCAAAAAAGATCGCTCCACCGAATGTTCTTCTTGACCGCATCCGAGAATCCCTCGTGATACTTCACCCAAATCCGGTTTTCGTTGTTTTTGATGGGTGCCTCGACTATCTCTCCATATTGCTTCTTGAAGAAGTCGGCTGAAACATTTCTCTTGGTCGGCCGTTCTTCCAAGGGCTCTGGCTTTCTCTTCAAAATACGCTCTTCGTTCAACAGAATAAGTAGAGGCTGTTTTTTTTGTTGGTGCTGCCTCAAAGACTGTTCGCTGAAATGGCATAGACTGTCTATCGGAGGATACAGCTCGAGTCCAGTGGACGATCTCTCCACCTTCACGCCAAACTGTTTCATAACGTTCTTTATGGTTTCCAACTTTGCTTTTTCGTTTGGCTTCATGTTGTGAATGCTCACCTTCAAATTCAGCGTTAAAATCGACGACGCAAACGGTATCACATACTTGACCAGATCCAGGGTTGGGATGCTGACTGCGGTGTTGAAATACCTGAGCATTTGAGCATATCTCCGCCTGTTTTCGTAAAACTCACTCAGATTGCTGGTTTTGACCTCGGTGCTGGTTCCACTGAATAAAAGATAGAACTTGAGCACCGCCAACGAACTGTAGCTATCCTGTAAGTTGCCAGCTGCATCAGCAAAATACAGCCAATCAGTCATGGCGTCGCACCTGGTAAGATCAATGTTCTGATATCCCACATTGAGATACGCATTGAAACATCCATTCAAGACTTTTTCATCACTCACCAGCAGTAATTTCTCGAGTTGTGCAAACTGTTGGCCGAGTTTCAGAGAGTTATCTCTGGTGAATGTGGTCTTCACGAGATTAAACCAACTCGTTTGCAAGTCTTTTCCACCACCATTTTTGATGGAACTTCCACCAGAAAATTGCAACATATTCAAACAACCTCTCATATCGAAATTGCAAGTTTCAGCTACCGCTTCCAGGTTGGGATCACTGAATGCTAGGGACTCTGCTTTGCAGATCTTTCGTAGTCTCTCCTTGATGGCTCTTCTAGGGGGGTGTCTCATGGTAATGATCTCAGCACGAGGACGTAACTTCTCCAGACAACTAGCATAAAGATCATTACACACCGCGATAATGGGTCTCATGAGGAATTTCGCCTTCTTCTTGGATTTGACCTGGGCTCTATCATCCTCGTTGAGAATCTCCAATAAAACCTTGATAAATCCGGTCTCTGTACTGCCGTCAATCTCGTCTATCACCAAACATGTTGGTTTTCCGCTAAAAGTCACCGAAGAAAGAGAGTTTCGGATCTTGTCTCTCACGGAGGTACCAGCCCGTTCGTCACTGGCGTTGATTTCTAGAACCTCGTAGCCCACCTGTTTGGCAATTACATGTGCTATAGAAGTCTTGCCTATACCTGGGGGTCCATTCAGCAAAAGAATCTTCCGGTGAGGTCTTCCATAGGGATCTCCAAGCTCGCGATTTTTCTCTGTCATATCATTGGGCGTATTGAACACTACCTTGGACCATTGACTGAGCCACTCCAGAGTCAGTCTATTGATTCTCTCATTGCCAAGTAGATCGAGATACGTTGAAGGTCTCCACTTTTCAGTCCACAAAACTTTATCCGACTTTAACCGCTTCGGCTTGGGTGTAAAACGGGGCTTCTGGACTACTTTTTCAATATCCAGGTTCCCCATAAGAACGTCCATGGAGTTATTATCACTCAGACAAGGCGCGAGATCCACGCTCCGGTCTCGCTGCCGCGTCTTCAGAACAATAGTCTTTCCAGAGGACAACCGCACATTCTCAGACCCTTTGGAGGTGCTCAACACCGAGTCCTTGAAACTCAAACCAGAAAACATGAAGCAACCACAGGTCTTTGATAACTGTCAAGTTGTCACTAGTGCAATGTCGTGAAACTGATAAGTGTCGCGTTCGACGGGTAACCCTCCTGATGAGTTGAGGGCAGCAATGCCATTTTTTGAGTGGGCCAGTCTCAAGCAAAGGACAGGTAATCATCAGGCTGAGTTATAGACGAATCGAATAAACTATCAATGTCAGATCTGAAAGCGACAGGGATTTCTGTGAGTGATATTAGAAGAAATTGAGGAAGACCGCTGATGTTCAAATGGCGAACTAGTTACTAACATTTAACAAGGAGGACAAGATACTGTGAGTGTCACAACACAGCAACATATTGCTTCTACCAGCATTAAAAGATATTAACCTTTTCCAGCGAATCATACCCCCAAGTGACTGCTACTCCTCCGGGAGATGGTACGGGTTATCCGGGCCATTTGACCGAAAGTCAGCAACAGGACATAGAACACCTGCGCACTCTGTTGTCGGCTAGCGGGTTCACACTCCGTTTGGATGAGTCCACACTGGTAAGTGAGATTGGTGCTGATTGGCGTTTAGAGCTCTTCCAAATTGAGGCCTGCTCTTTTTTGCTTGGGCTTACGCTATTTTGGTGTATTTTCTCGATATACTAACCTATTCCAGCTGCGTTTCCTTCGCGCAAGAAAATTCGATGTCATGAAAGCGAAAGAGATGTTCGAGCAGTGTGAAAAATGGAGAGCGGAATTCGGGACCGACACCATATTGGAAGATTTCCACTACCAAGAAAAGCCTCTTGTGGCTAAGTACTATCCCCAGTACTACCACAAGACCGACATAGATGGAAGACCAGTTTATGTTGAAGAGCTGGGTTCCGTCAACATCAACAAAATGTACGAGATCACGACCCAGGATAGAATGCTCCGCAACCTGGTCTGGGAATACGAGTCCTTCGTCAAATACAGACTGCCCGCATGCTCTAGAAAAGCTGGGTTTTTGATCGAGACCTCATGTACTGTGTTGGACCTGAAGGGGATCTCGCTTTCTGCGCTCTCCCAGGTTCTGTCATACGTCCGTGAGGCCTCCTACATTGGCCAGAACTATTATCCAGAAAGAATGGGGAAGTTTTACCTGATCAACGCTCCGTTTGGCTTCTCCACGGCATTCAGACTGTTCAAACCGTTTTTGGACCCAGTCACCGTTTCCAAGATCTTTATTCTGGGATCCTCGTACAAGTCAGAACTGTTGAAGCAGATCCCAGCAGAGAACCTGCCAGTCAAGTTTGGTGGAACTTCCGACGTGAGCGATGCAGAGGGCGGACTGCTGCTCTCTGACGTGGGCCCTTGGAGAGAGCCTCAGTTTATCGGTCCCGAGGGCGAGGCTCCACATGCCTTTACTAAATGATTTCGTACTATGAGCTATTGTTGTGCAATGGACGATATAAGGCAAGAATGTAGGTTTTTTTATTGATGACATCAAACGAGTTGAATTTCTTCCATACAAAAATTCACCTAAAAGTGGAGGCCCACCCGCCAGATTTCAACAGTCGTGGACTATGTGTAAAACGCGTGGGACTTTTTCGCGGAGCCACAACTTGTTTAATTGAGAATTATTGCTCTTACAACCCCAGCTTAACGAATCACATTCCGACCCCAATCATGACAAACAATGAGTTGGAGAGCCGAGGAACATTCGAGAGGGTTCTTTCTTGGAGTTTTCACATTAAAAGCGAAGAGTCTTGGAAGTCTGCTATTGTTAGTATCACCAATGATGGTAAATTACTTGCAGGGTCTGAGGTGTTGATAGACGAGCTGCAAAGGTGCAATATTCAGATTTTATTCGACAAATATTGCGTTCTAATTGAACGCAAAGTATATATCCAGGGCCCCAAGACCGACTTCATTGAATTCATCAAAGTCCTTTCTTCATGGCAATCCCTGGGCCGCGAGGGGTTCTCCTCCAAGTGGCATCCTGCTATGTCGATCACCGAACAAGGAAAAGTTGAGGGAAACCAACTGCTGGTTTGTCGTTTCAAGGTGTTTGCTCCTTTGCCTTTTAAGAGCAAACACATCAAGATTGCCGGAGGTCCAGCCGTGCCCATGTACCCATTGAAGACCCCAGACGCAACTCTACAGGAGGACTGGTTCTATGTGATGGGCCACTTGAAATCGGATGGAATATTGAATTTACTTCACGAGGGAGATGGTTCTTTATTGTATTCAGTTGATGTTTCTCAATTGTTCACGTCGGAGATTATACAGATTGATCATTCGATGTTCCAGAACTCAAACACGCTGTTTGTGGGCTTCATAGACGAGTTGAGACGCCAGCAGTTCCCAAACGAGTATCCATTTCTCAGCAAACAGAGGCTTGTGAGGGAATCTTTTTTGAAGGAGCAGGACTCCAAAAATATCACCAGGTTGTTGATCCAGTTTCCTCTCCACATCGACTTGGAGGATTGGTTCGTCACGCTTAAGGCCTTTGCCAAACGCGAGCACTACTACTTGCAGCACAATCCCGATCAGAAACTGCGAAGTTCCAAGCATGTGACATTAGAGGTAACCGAAGCCAAGTTTTCTCCGACTGCTCTTCCCTCTTCCGATAGCAACTCCGAAGGTCCAGGCCTTTATGCCGAGCTGAGTTTCTGGGGAGCAACGTGGTGTCGAACTGCGATTGTGAAAAGCCGAACGAATCCGTTCTGGAAGGAAAATTTCAAGCTGGAATGTCCGTGTTCCACAGAAAGTGCCAGAATTCTCGTCAAGAAATGCAGTTTCAAGAACGAGGCTTTCTCTCAGAACGATGTGATACTGGGAGAGTCTCGCGTGGATCTGACTCAAAGCGGCAAATCAACAGACAAGAGACTCATAATAGGATCTTCCAATTTGGAGATTGGGTCATTGGATACCACTTTGACCGTTGGTGAGATTCGCATTCTCCCGCACAACGCTTACAAAATATTTGAGAGTATGCTACGAAGTCTACCTCCAAAAGATTTACAAGAAATGGTGATTACGTTACAATCTTCTTCCAATGATTTGGAGACCCTTTCAAGTATTCTGTTAGATTCCTTTCAGTCGCTGGGGATTGAAACAGAGCTTTTTGCAGCGTTGAGGGAGACGGCGATGAAGCCATTGGACTCAATGACTCGCCAGAACAGAGTGAATGCGAAAACAACCTCTCCAAACTCGCTGAATACCGTGTTTAGAGGAAATTCAGCTCTCACTAAATGTCTGGAAATGTACTTCTTACGGGTTGGCCACGAATACCTCGAGAAGGTGATTGGGCCATTTGTTCAGAGGATTAGTGACAAGAACATCGATTGCGAGGTGGACCCTAGAGCTGGCGGTGGTGATGCCGTTGCTAAAACCAATTTGGGTCACCTGACAGACTACGTGAATGAGCTTTGGGAGTTGATGTACTCAACCACAAATGATCTTCCCAGACAGATAAAGGACCAGCTGACCTTTTTGAGGAAGGACGTTGAGAATTCGGTCGAACCAGACGATATAAAGACACCTTTGAATGCGCTATCAGCGTTTATCTTCCTGAGGTTCATGTGCCCAGCATTGCTGAACCCCAAATTGTTCTTTCTGGCCAAAGAACACCAGACTGGAAGAACTCAGAGGACGCTGATGTTAGTAGCCAAGATTCTGATGATGATGGCCAACCGAGGAAAATTCAGCGAATACAAGGAGCCATATATGGTTGGATTGAATACTTTCTTAGAGGAACACGACCAGATGGTGATTGACTACTTTGACAAACTCACGGGGCGGAAAATGGACTTTTCAGAGAGGATACTTGATATGAGTGATGTGGTATCAAGGCTGTCTGTTGAAGTTCCTCCTGCAATTCTTTCTGAGCTGCCCACCAACCCATATTTGATTGATAAGTACCATTCTTTGGTTCAACTAATACACTGTCTCAACGAGACGAGGTCTCTAAAGAAGTCCTCAAGTGCGAAGCATATTTCGAGCGAACCACAGATGCTCCAGATAGATGATGTGGACTTTGGCTCACAGGAGTTTCTGAGCAGTCTACTTGAATCATCGAGCTCCGACCTATATGATACAAATCTCAGCTCTTTCCTTAGACAGAACGTGACATTCCAAGACCTTCTCGAGCAAGCTGCCATTGTGGAGGTGAAATCAAGCAAGCTATGTGAACTTTTCAACAAACCAGAACTGCCCTCAGACTTCACCGCTGGCGGATGGTCTGAGTTCGAGCGGGAGCAATTTTCCTCGGGAATCGTCGACAAAAAGGGACATTTAGGACATATCAACGAGAAACTTAAGGAATGCAGACCTTTGGAGGATGTTTTGCAAAAACTGCTTTTACAAACCTCTCCCAGTTTTGACAGTCTTGCTAGTACTCCAACGGTTACTGCAAAGCCAGAAAAACGGTTGAATCCAATTACAAGGCTGTTTCGCAAGAAAAAGACATAGATTATGCACAACCAATTCGTTATAAATGCAAAAGTTTGACTCAGAATTGTAGACCATTGCTGAAGGAATCAGTCAAGGCACTTATGCCTTCACCACCAACTGCCTGCGATAAAGAAGGCCACTGTTCACTTGTTGGTTTGAAAAGAGGAGTCCAATTATTCTGATCGCCATTTCTATTGGCCGAAAGCCCATCTGCCACGAAGGAAGCCAAGCTGCCTGTCTCCGAGGCATCGTCGTTGGTCGAAACAGCAGTGTTTTTTGGTCTCCAGCGAGTCTTCGAGTTCATCATGGAACTGTTGCCCAGTTTGATAGGACATGGCTGAAGATTATCCAAGTTACCTTCTACCAACGACAGTTTTTCTCTGAAGTGCACCAGTAACTGGTTCCATAGTCTGTTTTTCGAGAGCGATCTTGGATTACCCAGAACAACCAAGCCAAATTTGGCACGAGTCAAAGCAACATTCAAACGTCTTGGGTCACTCAAGAAACCAATTGCTCTCTCCTCATTGGCTCTGACACACGAAAGAATGATGAAGTCTTTCTCTCTTCCCTGGAAGGCATCCACAGAGGCCACCTCCACTTCTCTGTAATTCTCCCTGTTCTCCAGTGCTCCGTTCATCATCATGTACTGGACAACATAGGCCCTCTGACCCTCATATGGCGTGATGATACCAATCTGACTAGGCTTAACACCGTCTCTGAAGAGCTTTGTGACAATCTTCTCACAGTTCATGGCCTCGATTCTGTTCAAATACGAGGTACCTGTACCTGATATTTCTTCCTTTCCGAAGTTGGCCCAGAACATCATTGGGGTCCTAGGAGAGGGCCAATTAAACGTCGAGTTAGGTAACGTTCTCTCTTCGGCTATCAGCCCGTTTTGCAAGCTTCCATCGTAGAAAACGTTACTTGAAAACTCACTCAGAGCAGGGTGCATACGGTACTGGACCTCCAGACGAATGGGCACTTGACCCAGGAAAATCAGTCTTTCAAAAAGAGATTGGTGAAGACCTGCTTCTCCAGCCTGTTTGTCAACGATAACAGGTCCCAGCTGTTGATGGTCACCCACCAAGACCACCTGTTTCGCACCCTTGACGATAGGAATAAGGATCTCGGGCTCAGACGCCTGAGTACTCTCGTCTATCAACACTGTTTTGAAGCGAAAGCCGTCCAGAATCTTTGCACCTGCTCCCACACACGTGGTGCAGATGACATCTGCTTTCCTCAACAGCTTGAGCTCGGCCTTCCTTGAAAGAGCACGGTATTTCTGCTGATCGTTGTGTGAAAGTTCACCAATTTCAGACTTGAGAGCAATCAGCTTCTTTAGATCGCCTTTAGCTTGTTTCCTGACCAATTCGTGAAGTGTGAGATGATCCACGTCAGACTCTGCGTCCTCCCTGGCTTTGGCTGCCAAACGAATCACATTCAGGCCAAGAAGTGAAATTTTTTCTGTCAAATGGTCGACAGCGATATTAGAAGGAGCACACACCAATATTTGCTCCTTATTGATTTTCGAAAGATGGTAAATAATAGTTGCTGAAGTCACCGTTTTGCCGGTTCCTGGAGGTCCTTGAATCAACGATAGAGGTCTTTCCAGAACGTTTCTCACCGCGTTCACTTGTGAAAGGTTCAGATCAGCTATTCCAGGAATGGAGAACTTGTGTGGAAGTTCCACATCGAATACCACGGGAACGACATCGTGGCCCAAGAGCTTATGGTACAGATACGTGGATAGCGATTCACCATCAACTGCAAACGACTTGAGGGCCTCTTGCATTCGATCAAAGGGTATTCCTTTCCACACGAACTTTGCAGAAAAGCCTGTTTCCAAATGAGTAGGAGGCTTCTGCTTGTTGCGCATCAATTCCATGGTAAAGGTTTCACTTACAGAGCTGGGGATCTTCACAATGAAGCCGGCACACTCCCAGTACTCCATCTCGGATCCGGTATATTTCAACACCACCTCATCTCCAATGGCAACCTTGAGATCCGAACTGTCAAATGTAGATAATGCAAACGAGGCCAGATGCCTTTTATTGAGGCCCATTTCCCAGGTCACAGAGAGGTGTTCCAGCCCCAGAGACTCCACCATCTGCTTATCCTGATCAGCTTCTTTCTTCACCAGCGGTGCAAAAGAACGCTGATACTGATACGCATCTTCGTATCTCATCAGAATAGGCACAATCTCGTCCTCGTCCTCGTCCTCGTTGATATCTGCCAAGGTAGCAGCCCTGTCGGATTTCCACTTGGCCTCCAGTTTCGCTATCTGAGCAGGTGTGATTGCTCTGGAGTTGTGGTCATCATCCTGCCAAGGCACTGAGGCTACCCACGAAAGCAATTGACGATCCTCAATCAGCGATTGCCAACTGCTGGTATCCCACCTCACGTCCTTCACCTGCGCACACGGCAGTCTGCAGAGAATCACCACCACGCTTTCCGCCTTGGCCGGAACAAATCCAAGCGCAAAAAGATTGCTGTTTCCACAACTGTAACATTCCAGCGGCGTTTCACCCAACTCCGAGTCCTCGTGTAGACTGACGGAGTGGTGTTTTGAGAGCACAAGATGGGAGATGATATGCGAGCCCGACTTGCTCGTTTTTGAGTTGCAAAACCATTTTTGACACGTTTCACACTTCACAACAGACGTAGGCTCATGAATCCCGCAATAGGCACAAGCATACTCTGGAAGAACCACTGGTTCCTCCGATTTTTCATCGTCCAAATCGACCACCTTGGCGGCATGGCCGGTCGCGGCGTATCTGGCCTGTTCGGGGCAAATACCTGACAGATCGTGATCATTTAGGTACCGCTCCAATAACACATTATCAGACATGCTTCAATTCGTTGAACAAAACAATGAACTGGGAATTTGGTGAAGAAGTTCTTGTGATGTGGTCTCTAGTCTTGTTAAAACTTTGATGGAGCTTCGAGATGTGCTACATGAGCTGAGCCACGCACGCTGCAGCAGACCCAGACTTGAGCCGCACGTTCATTTCTACAGATAGGACGTACTAGTTGAATAGAAGGAAGGAAGGAAGAAAACACGAAAGGAATAAAGGGATTGTGGAATGAACAACATTCAATTTGAATACCTATTTACAACATTATATATACACGATTTGGTTAATACTGGCCGGTCATTGATCCAAATCAACTGGAGTCCAGTGAGGATTGGTGTAGCTGTGGCTTTTAGCAAACAACTGTTTCTCCTCTGAGATATTATCCTGACCAGTAACCTTCAAAAGCACCCGGTCAGAAGGTAGTTCCCACGGAATTGGAACCACCTCGCTGAAGATCTCGCGGTCGTCGGGGACTTTTCTCAGACCCACGTTCCCATCCTCATCCTTGTACCTATAGATGTACTTATGAATGTTATCACGAATGATAATGCGAGTTCCCACCGGGGCGAACAATTCGAACAACCGGGTGGTATTTCTAGGACCGGTGGGTATAATCTTGAAATATCCCACTCCTCCTATGACGATATCTATCGGGCCGAAAAACGGGGGGATTGCGTATCTGGCCAGGTTTTTGGCCGAGTCCGGAGTAACCAGGAACTTGTGGCTGTTTTCTTTAGGTCTGGTCAAACAAACAGATCTCGCCTTGTCAATGTCTTTAAATCTGGCCAATTCTGCATTAATTCCCATTTTGAACAACAGAATGCTGTCTGCTGGTGGAAGAAGATAAACCAGCCCTCCCACTGAAATCACGGCCTTACCATTGTAGATTTTGCGTTGCTTGTGGGGTCCTCTCGTATAAACCAAATGATCCGTTTCTTTGACCAAGGGACTCGTCATTAGCACTTGCAGGTCTTTAGGAGTGGAACTATCCACCAATCCTCGCGAGACGTGTAAAAACCCGGGAGTATCAATAAGTTTGGTACCGGAGGGTAGGCTGAAGGTGATATTTTGCCTGGTGAAGCCAGGGAGATAGGATATGGCCTGGGAATGGGACTTGCTGGATTCCAACTCAGAGCTACTTGAATGTGCGAGCCCACGAACAAGAGTGCTTTTACCAGCATTCACTTCACCAACGACATAAACGTCTCCCTTTGGAAGAGCAGCCATGAGTCTTTTCAAGTACCATTGGTGCTTACCAGAGACGAGAAACACTCTGTCTTTTCTTGCACCCACAAGCCTATGCAAAACATCCATGAAATAAGGCAATGCCTTTTGGTGTAAAGATCCAGACACGTTTGGGTAAAATCTATCGATTTTTGTGACGACGTAGTAGATATTGGCAGGTGGTCGATCAGATAGTAAAGAGGTACTTACCGAAAGTGGAAAGTCCAACGAGTTCACGAGATAAATAATATTCGCGTTCTTGGGGATCTTTTGGCCAATTTCTGAAGGCCCATATAAAAGATCAGCATTGTTTTCGTTCCATTGGTGTTTGTGTATAGCGTCATGACATCTCTTGCACTTGCGGTTCTTTACAAGCTGGGTTTTAGGCTTTGGAGGCATGGCTATATGTTCGTAACCGTCCTCACTGGAAGCCAAAAGCTGTTCTTTAAGCTGTTGAAGAGTCTTTTGTACTCTTTGGTGATTCTCGGCTGATTTTTTTTCATCTGGAAGGTAGTATCCCTCTTCTGAAGGGTTGGTGGTTTGCAGTGTACTTCCACAGGATTCGCAAAACAGGGTACCCATGATGGACTTTTCGTCAGAAGCATTTTTGACTTCGAGTTCTTCGGTGTTTTCATGGTTTTGCAACCGACTAGCACGGTGAAAAGTCCTTGATGTCACCAAGTATGGAGATTGTCTTGTTCCAAACTGATTCCCAGACTTTGAGTGCGTGCGGCCTAGTATGGTAAACCCAGTATTAACCGTGCCCACAGTAGCCACGGCCCTATATACACCAAACCGCACAAAACTCCTCGTAGACTTCAAAACAATCATTTTCAGTATATGGGGATCTTCAACAGGCCTCAAAGCCTTACGAATTCACACTACAAGTTCAGTTCCAATACTTAAGAGAACCTCTTCCCGTGCCAAAATTTCAACGGCTCATCTCTTACATAATATCCTCACTCGATTAGAGTGCACGCGTCTTTCTACGATTTTGGCGTTTGAATTATCTGGTTAATTGGGGTTGTTTTCTTGGGGTTGAAACAGATATTTTGATCCTACTAGACCAAATAAAACGTGCCAGACTATTATACCATCCTTTGAGCAAGGATTTACGCAATTTTTCACAGATCAGCACATGCAGTACACCCAAATGCAGACTCAATGCTTTTCGGAAACGCCTTCACGGAAACGGGGGTTTTACGAGATTTCTGAATTGGAACAGTTAAGCATCCAGGAAACACCAACTAGCTGCACGAATACCCCAGACAAGAAGTTTCAGCGAGAGATGATCCATTCGGAGCTTCATTGTAAGTACCCAAGGGGAATCAGGCTAGGGCTTCGATCTCATTGAACGAACCTCGTTTAATTGCCTTTTTTTCTGCCTACGACTAGGACTAACGGCTATATCTTCTACAAACAGACAAGACTGTGGAACTACTTATGCAATCTCAAAAGAACACACATCCGGAACATATCTTACAAGACTTGGATGCGACTTCTCCACCCTCTCTCACTGAGAACAAATACTATCAGAAGCCATACTGGCCTGTGACGCGGAGATAAGACAGAATATGGGCATTAAATCTATTTATTGCCATATTCCTCGCAAAATTTGGAGATATTACGCTTCTGAAACTCGCCACCACCAAGATCCGATCTTGAGTCGACGAACCAGTGTTCATAACCGCATCTTCACAATCCACTACGATGGCTGGGTCCTGAGGGCCTCCCTATAGGACGGGAGATCGGACCACTAACAACAGCTAATTCGGTAGCGAAGGACGTTTCAGAGACCCGTTTTCGTCATAATTTGGTTGGATTTATCCAATTGTTTGATTGAATTGACAATATGACGACATATGTTCGACTCGTCAAGGTATGTTATTTGTGGCTATGCAATGAGGGAGACTCAGCCGGTCTCAGCGGTCCTCGGAAAATTCTTACGGTTACTAACTCTATTTGACCAATCAGGGTGCTACAAAGCCCAAAGTAAGTTCTCCTACTGAATTTGTTGGAAATGATCTTCTTTTACTAACCTTTCTTCAACTAGGTGGCTGCTCCGAAACCCAAGTACATAGAACCTATTCTTCTGGCTACGTCTCGAGGCTACAAGGATCCGGATTTTGTTTCCGTAATGGAGGCTCTCAAACCGAGACTACGAGACAGGGCTTGGTCTATTGCTTTCAAGGCACTGTTGGTGATTCATATCATGATTCGTGAAGGTGAGAGCGATGTTACCCTGAGGTATCTCTCGGCTCACTCCTCAATGCTCGTGACTCAGAATGTCTCTTCTGAAACTGCCGTTTCGCATGCAGATATCCGGAATCTCAAACACTACTCCAAGTATTTGATAGCCAGAGCTCAGGAGTATGGAAGAGTTCATTTCGATTACATCAGGGACGATACCCGGAGCTCAAGAAACTGGAGTTCTAAAAAGGAAGAGGGCGGGAAGCTGAGACAGCTTTCTGTTGAAAAGGGTTTATTAAGAGAAGTTGAAAGTGTTCAGTCACAATTGGAGACGCTGCTGAAATGTAAGTTCTCCGAGCAGGATATCAACAATGATCTGGGATTGCTGTGTTTCAAGATGTTGGTGAGAGATCTTCTGCCTTTGTACCAGGCTTTGAATGAAGGTCTGATCAACATGCTCGAGCATTATTTTGAAATGAGTAAGGTTGATGCTGAAAGAGCTCTGGAGATCTACAAGGCATTCAGCAGGGAGACTGAGGATGTCGTCGCTTATCTGAGAGTGGCTAAGCATCTGGAATATCAGACTGGTCTCACCGTTCCTACGATCAAGCATGCGCAGACCGGATTAGCAGCGTCTTTGGAAGAGTACTTGAATGATCCAGATTTTGAGATCAATCGCAGACAGTATCTGGCCGGTAAGGACGGTAAAGCCGCGGTTGCGAATGGAAGGCTTTCGCCTGTCAAGGAGACTCAGATTAGAGAAACCTCTCCTGCTATTGAACCACTGACTGGCCAGGTTGAGAATGTTTATAGTCCGTTTGCCCAGCAACAGATGCAACAGCAGCAGATGCAGTCTCAACAGCAACAGTATGAACAGGCTCAGCTTCAGCAAGAGCAATTCCAGCAGCAACAGCTCCAGCAGGCTCAATTTGCTCAGCAACAGCAACAAGCTCAAGCTCAAGCTCAAGCTCAAGCTCAGGCTCAGGCTCAGGCTCAAGCTCAGGCTCAGGCTCAGGCTCAAGCTCAGGCTCAGGCTCAAGCTCAGGCTCAGGCTCAAGCTCAGGCTCAGGCTCAGGCTCAGGCTCAGGCTCAGGCTCAGGCTCAGGCTCAGGCTCAGGCTCAGGCTCAAGCTCAAGCTCAAGCTCAAGCTCAGGCTCAGGCTCACCAACAAAAGTCTGTTGCTAACGGATTGCCTGCTCAGCAGACTGGATTCAACCCCTGGGATCCAAACGGATTTGGCTTCTCCAATCAGCAGATTCAGCCAGTTCAAACGGGTTTCACAGGTCAACCACAATCACACGTGCAACAGCTTCCAAACGCTACTGGCACTTTCAGTTCCCAACCCACGCTGAACCCAGCTTTCACTGGTGCTGGTTTCGGTGGTTATGGAATGCAGCCAATCCAATCGTCTGTTCCATTACCAACCATTAGAGGAGAACCGAACAGTTTGGCAACCCAGGCTACTGGCACCAATCCCTTTACCAATGGCTTCTCCAACCAGCCAATCCAGAGAAACACGACATCATCAAAGAGGAACAGTTACAACCCATTTGCATTGAACCAGCAAGAAGCCGCCAAGTCGACTTCGTTACAGACGCAGTCCACTGGAACCAACCCATTCTCGAACACCAGGTTCTCTACAGGAACCACCACCACACCATTCACTTTTACAGGTCAACAGACCGGGGCCGCAAGTTCCACTCGTCCATTGAGTATGATGTCTACCGGTACTAATCCATTCCGTTCGGCTGCTCCTCCTCAACAACCTCAACAGGTCCAGGTCTCGGCTCTGAGACCTCAGCCTACCGCAGGAGGTCTTGAGAATCTGCCAACCGTGCCAGTATTTCCAGAAACGCAGAGACAATATGTCCAAGACCAGGCTCAGTTGAAGGCAGGAATGGACCTGCAGAGACAGAAAAGTACCATTCTGCAACAGAGTGCTGGCTCTAACGGATTTTCAAGTCAGCCGGTAGGATTCCAGCAGACTGGGTTCACGAACCAGCCAACCGGATTTGCGAACCAGCCAACTGGATTTAACCAGCAGCCAACTGGATTTAACCAACAGCCAACTGGATTTAACCAGCAACCAACGGGGTTCGCTGGCCAAAATGGGTTTACTAATCAGCAACCCAACGGATTCAATGCTCCGCTTCAAAATGGCTTTACCAATCAACCTCTTGGATTCTCGAACCAGCAGACTGGATTTGCCCAGCAACAGAACCAGATACAGCAGCATACTGGGTACAATGGTCCCAGTTTAATTTGACTTCAAGGAATTCTAGAAAAGAAGAGGTGATTGTGGCCGTGTGCTATTTCATTTTTTGTACTCAACAACCAGAAATATATTAAACAAACTGTATTAGACACGGACGGTGTAGATCAGCGAGAGCATAAATATCTTTCATGCAAGGTGGTGAAATATTACATAATATATGGACGGGTAAATGGAAAATGGAAGAATGCAACTTATTCACCTTCCAGAAAAAAATTATAGATTAAAATCGGAATACTACATTAAGCTAGACTTTCAAATAAGAAATTGTATTAGAAAAACGGAACACATAGAAGTGAATTCATCGAGACATAAAGTCGTAAAGGCATAAGTGAATGAGGACAGAGTGAAGATTGACATGAACCTCCTTCAGCTTGACTCAATTGCTTGGTTTAGGCACATAATTGTATCTGGCTAGAAGTCCGTCTTGAGCGTTGTTTGGAGTGTAGACATCATAGGTGAATTCATGTTGCTGTCTTGCCTGTTCCTGTTCCTGCTCAAACTTGTCCTTGACCAGCTTGGAGAAGCTAGGCCTGTTATAAATTGCAGAAACGGTAATTGGAATGACCACGGCAGACATTCCTAGAAACACTTTGGCTGGGGAAAGGGCAGACATGTGAATATATTGGTGGTTGGTGGTTGGTGGTTGGTAGTTTGTAGTTGGTAGCTGGCTGTGAACTGCAGAGAATACTGTATGATTACAATGGCAATAACGAAAAGAACGCCTGTCCACAAGTAGCAAAAATCTAGGGTATTTATACCATATTAATTGCGCTATTAAGATTTTAAAGTTGCCTCATACCACCCCTAAAAATTGTATGACCGCTCAGATACTCCAAACATCATAGAAATCTCATGATCTCCTCTTGGTGGCATGACCCCATCATCGTTTGCAAAATCTCCTGACTTCCCCACATGGTCGTGTACAGGCACGAATGGTGGCTGGTTTCCGACCCTCGGAACTCTAGCCGACCAGATTCCGGTAGAAATGAACGGGGGCATTCACATGGTATTTCTTGATACATCAGTTGTAACTCATTGAACGTTGAACTTTTTGGATAGTTTTCGGATATCGAGAGATTTTTGCTCAAAGAGATCCCCTCTCTTGTTAGCTATCTCATGAGCGGCATCAAAGATACAGTTCTGCTGGACCCCGTCAGACGGCAGAACCCGTTTGAGAACATCACTGAAGGGTTCATCAACCAGCATCACTTTCTTATAGAAAATGCAAAAAGCTCAAGGGAATGGGATTCAAAGTCCCTGGCCTATGAATTGTCAGAACTTTCGTGGAGCAAAGTCGTGGATGATGTAGTTGATGCCACTGCCAAAGTGCTGAGGAACATCCCCATACTAAGACATGTGGTAGGGCCTCCTTTAGAACATGCTGCTCAGGTCAACAAACTGCTGGCTCAACAAAAGGCCGCTACAAGTTATTCAGAATGGCGGGCTACAAGTTTGAAGCTGGACAAGTTACTTCAAAACGATGCCTGGAAGAAAAAGATGCAATGCACTCTGTATGACTACGAGCTCATCAACAACCAGCTGGAACAGCTGAGAACAGCGAGGCAGTCTGGCGACTACAAAAAACTTCTCTTTCTGATAAGAACAGGCATATCCAGAAATATAGGAAATATGGGGAATGTCAACTTATATAGACACTCTCATGTTGGAACCAAGAGCCTGATTGAAGATTTCCTAGCTGAGTGTGAACTATCGCTTGAGACGCTTTCCAGAGGAGACACCGGATTGGACGACTCGTTTGTCCTTGGAACGTTCATACAGACCCGGAAGAATGTAGGAAGAACGGCCTTGGTGTTATCTGGAGGTGGCACCTTTGGAATGCTTCATATTGGTGTTTTGGCTACATTGCTGGAAGAGGGCCTGTTGCCAAAGATCATTGCAGGTTCTTCTGCTGGTGCGATTGTTGCGAGTATTCTTTGTTCGAGAACATCTGAAGGCCTCAAGGAGCTGATGGTTACTCTAACTCAATCTACATTTGAGGTTTTTGACAAAAAACCTGGCGATGGGTTCCTGGGATGCATGGCGAGGTTCTTGAAGTATGGAACTTATTTCGATATCAGTAATCTACAGGATACGATGAAGGAATTTCTTGGTGATCTCACGTTCAGGGAATGCTACAACAGAACTGGTAGGATCCTGAATGTCACTGTCTCAGCTGCCTCTGTGCATGAACAACCAACCCTGCTCAATTACTTGACTGCTCCCAATGTGCTGATATGGTCTGCAGTATGTGCTAGTTGCTCCCTCCCTGGAGTATTCGCATCGTCCACGATTTATGAAAAGATGAGGACAAACGAGATCCAAGAGTGGAGCAATCCAATGATCAAGTTCGTGGACGGATCTGTTCACGGTGACTTGCCCATTACCAGACTTTCTGAGATGTTCAATGTTGACCATATAATTGCATGTCAGGTCAATCCTCATATTGCCCCGTGGCTCAAGATGTCTATTGAATGCGTTGGAGGGGAGATGGAAAACGAAGTATCTGCAAAGATCAAGAGAATGCTCAATAGAACGTACGGTTTTTGGGTAGATGAGGCGATGCATTATCTGGAGGTGTGCAACGAGATCGGAATCGCAACCAACTTGTGCACCAAGCTCATTTCTGTTGTATCGCAGAAGTACTCTGGAGATATAACGATTCTCCCTGACCTGAGAGTTTTGGAATATACCAAAGTTCTGAAAAACCCAACTCCGGAGTTCATTCTGGATGCTACGGTCAGAGGAGCCAGAGCTACTTGGTCCAAACTTTCTATCATCAACAACCATTGTGCTGTGGAATTTGCACTGGATCGTTCGATCACCACCATCAGGTCCAGGTTGATATTGTCCAGAGGAACCAGCGTGGGGTCTTCTCCGGTGAGTTTGTTAAACCTTCACAAAGTGTATCTAAATCACCAGAAGAAGAACACAAAGAGAAACCATGACCGCAGGAGCTCAGATAATATTCCCGTTAACGGCAGTACCCTATCACTGAGGAGAGTCAGGTCGAAAAGCTGGCAAATTGCCCATGGTCGCCGCAACAGCAACCCCGAGAATTCCATTCCAACGACTAGACTTGGTACCAATCGCATGGTGCATGCTTCTTCCATTCCAAGTTCAAGCCCGGTGACGCTGCCGGTATCACCATACTCCACAAAGATCACATCCTCGTATTTCGACGAGACCCACAGCCCTACCCACCATCGGCAAGGAAGGCAATCTGATCTGATGGCAAAGAGGATTGACAGTTCTATCTCCAAGAGTCCTGTTCCGAAGGTGATGATGAATGCCAACGGAATCCCACGGCTACAGTCAAGGCTGAGAGCCCAATCCTTCAGAGATGTGAATGAGCCGGTTCCACCGGCCAGTCCACTGAGGACTCGTTCAGGAAACATGACTTACGGCTCGCTTGTGGATTTCAAGGAAAACTATCAAATAACACAGGGCCAGATAATCGGAACCATGGATGACGATTTCGCCAGAGATGGGGCTGATGACCACCAGGATAAAGAAGACGACAATCCCGACGATCAAATGGAAACAAGTTTTGATAATAATGAGATTGACCAAGTTCAGCAAGGGTTCTCGTATTATGATGAGTCCGACTATGACGATGGCGAGTTTGTTGCAAGCGTGAGTGCCCCCAACTCCAGAGGCAAGTGATATGATGCCAATAATTGCTAATGACCAAAATGAATAATGATTTAATATACCCATATTTTCCCTTTCACTCATACTTCTGGCTGGAACGCGTGACTCTATGAACTATGCATCGGGAGCAGAAGCCGCTCTTCATGAAAAACTCGTCTTCCGGCCTCATGCCAATTCCACCAAGGACCAGAGTTTCTGCAAAGAAAGAAACTGGCTCAGCAAGTTCGGTCCTTCTCTTGACTATGTAGTCGACGTTCTGGAACATGCCAATTAGTCCACGTCTCGTAATATCGTTATACGACAGGTCCAACAGCTCCAGTCTAAAAGAATAGCTTGACCCAGTAGATAGTATCTTGGCTGAGACAAAATCTGCCACAGCATCTCCCAGTTCTTTCAAAGAATGGTCGTTTAGTCCTGCTCCTTCTTGAACTGTTAGTCTTTTCAGATTTGGGGTATTTTGCAGGAACAACTTCCAGGAAAACTCAGAGTCCGGACTGGCAAACAGGAGTCTCGTAAACGAAAAGCCCTTAATATCTGAAAGGTTGATCTCTGTGAGTGTGTCTCTGGCGGTGCTCAAGATTTGATAAATCTTTTTCAGTGAAATTTGAGTTTTGGTCAAATTCAAATACTCAAGCTTATTGAACACGAGAAGCTGAGTCTGTTTAAACGGTTGTCTCAAATGAGTGGTGCCATTGGAAAACGTCAACCACTTGAGTCTGGAAGAACTGGCTCCATTATTTGCGGTTTCCTCAAATAAATCGAAAGAAAGACCATCACAGTTCTGTAAGCATATAGTTTCGTAATATCCGAAAAAACTGTGCCAATCTGGAAACTCACTAAGAGAGTTGAAGTTGAGATGTCTCAATTTGAGAGTAAGTACATTTGGAAACCTCTCACGACTCAAAAACCCACCGAATCTCAACGAAATGCCACTGGTTATGATTATCTCCTCGAGCTGCGGACAGGAGAAGCTGGGGTCAACTGTTTCATCCAGCACTTCACCAAACCGTTTCAACACCGTCTTGTCCTTGGTTTCATCCTGAACAACTCTGAGATCAAGAGTTCGGAGGTTTGGTAGAAACGACATCCATGAGATGGAACAAAGCTTTGGCAAACTGGCCTGAACCGTCAGATCTGTGAGGGTTTGAGCGAAAGAACGCGCGTTCTCCGAGTTCAAAACCATCAGAAAGAAGAGGTAGAGCGAGTCCGGGAGATTTATATGCAATCGCAAGAAGCTGATAGGATATCTCGTTAGCAATGCTCTTAAAGACTCTTCGTTCTTACCTTGCGGAACCACAACTTTGAGGGATTGGAATACCTTTGGGGAATGACGGTCTCCTACCTGATTCAAAAAACTCAAACATGCTTCAATAGAGGATGAAGAGCCATGTCGTAGCAGTTCGAGATCCTGGAACAAGGAAGGCATGGCTTGAATTGCACGTGTCCATCTCTTAGACACATACATACACTTTCGCAGAATAAACTTGGTATTTCCTGCTTTCCGCAAAATTTTCTCCAGGATCTCAAACGGGAGATGCTGAGCAGGATCGAGGCATCTTTTCTCAGTGATGCGGTCAATTGGAACAATGATCTTAGCAGAAAGAGCATCTCTTTCTTCCACCATTCTCTTGAACAGTTTGGCCTGTGGGGATGTTCCCGTTACATCCAAACCCTCCCTTTTGATCACCCTGACTCCTCTTTCGAGAGTCTCAAGTGCCTTTCTGTTCTCACCCCGGGCCAACCTGACTTTGCATAACCTCAAATATCCTCTGCAATTCGTGGGTGCGATCTTCACGATCTTGGTAGCATCAAGGTAAGCCTTTTTCAAATCCTTTTGTTTTTCATAACAAGCAGCCCGATAGTCATAGAGAGCAACCAACTTGTTTAAAATGATCTTGCTCAATGTCTCGTTGCCGGTACTGGCAGCATTTTGCTCTATGTATTTGCAACTGTTCATACCTCTAGTGAAGTGGTGGATAGCCAAGTCATATCGCTGGCGAGCAAAATCCCGACAGCCCTCGGTTATAAGCTGGTCTATTTGTTTGTATTGATCATGTTCCATTGCCGGGGAATTGAGCGAACATAGACGAAACGAAAACCATAAAGATGTCACGTAAAGGTATCACATATTTGGTATTTACAATACGACGCGATGGTTATGTGCACGTACACTCTCCAAATCGGGGCCCTAAAATCTTCCAGCCGCAGATGACTTCAAGCTTTGACCACAAGCAAGGCTTTGTGGAATAGCAGTTCTTCCAGCTAAAGAGTTCAAGATGTCGGTGGCGCCTAAAGAGGACCGTGTCAATGAATTAACGATTTTTGTGCGGAATCTAGATCCTCAAGTGACAGAGAGAATTCTTTATGAGCTGATGCTACAGGTGGCACCAGTAGTTCGTGTTAAAATTCCCAAGGACAGGGTCATGCAAACGTCCCAGGGATTTGGATTTGTTCAATTCAAAACAGTGCAGGATGCTGAGTATGCAGAACGATTGTTCAACAATCTGATGCTCTTTGGAAGACCTATTCGGATCAAAAGGAACTCAGAGCCACAGGCCACCTCAAAGAAAGTGGATGTTGGAGCAGTCTTATTCGTCAAGAATCTGGATCCATTGACAGACTCGGAAACACTGATGAACACATTTAAGGTCTTTGGAGATATAATCAGCCCCCCAAAGATTGTTCGAGATGAAGAGGGTGTTTCCAAGGGCTATGGCTTCATCACGTTCAGTGATTTTGCTGCTAGTGATCGGGCTAAGGAAGAGATGGATGGCCAATTCTTCATGAATAAGGAATTGAAAATTGATTATGCGTTCAAGACGGGAAGCAGGACTGAGAGACACGGGGATGACGCTGAGAGGTTACTTGCGCGGAATGGAGTTGAGAATGGGGCACAGAGCCAGTGACTCGGAACCGAGGAGACACAGCCACTAGACCATGAAAGAAAGGATCTGGAGATGGAAATCTACCGCTATCCGATCACAAAATCACCACAAAGAAACCATCTTTCCAAAAAACTTTGAAAATTAGAAGCCTCTTTGCCTGGATGCCCAGGCTTTGGCTTCGATGTACATTAAGCGAGTTTTTTCGCCAGATAGAGACTGATATACGCTAAAAACTGGGTTTTAACCGAAATGAAATAGGGAAGTAGCAGGAGAATCGGGTTTGTCTATAAAAGTGTAAAAATTGGCATATTAATGAAAATATCCAATACTGGTCATCTTGTGTTTGTCCTCCAACGAAAGCAAACAAATAAAAACTGATATTTCAATGATCTATTGCTATCGAAATACACTCCTATCATATTATACTTTCTCTATAAGCCTTTGATACTTCTCATATTCGTTGCTGAAAAGAGAAATTCGATCACCACCAAATGTGTGTATCTTCAAATTACCCAATATGGTAAATTACGTGCAGGCGATGAGATATTACTTTTCATGGGCCCTTCCAAAGTGGCGAGATTACTCAGTGTGAGACACCATCGAGATAGCTTCAAATTGAACCATTTTCATGCTACTAATGAAGGGGAAAGAAGTGGTTGATAGAAAGGGAGAAAAAACAGCATTTTCTGATGCAAAGTTGCGGGAATATGTCCAATCGTTGATGTTTGGATTGAATGCGGAGTTTGTGAAGACAGATGAGATCGTTGATAAAGTCATTCTGGGGTTACCAGACTTGATCAGCATTGACGAATTGATTGACCTGACTTCTGAGACAGTAGCATCACTGGTGACGGTACATCCAGACCATTCGTTGCTCGCATCGCGCATATGTTCCAAATACCTGCAGAGTTGCTGTGCCAGAAGTTTCAGCGAGAGCATAGAGCTGCTGAAAAATAGGAATTTCTCAAATTTCCGGCGGACCAAGCCTCTGGTTTCTGAAATGTTGTACAACACAGTGATGGAAAACCGAGAGATTCTGGATTCTGCCATTGACCACTCCAGAGATTTTGATCTGACGTACCTGGGGCTGAAGACCCTGCAAAAGTCGTACCTACTGAAATATGAGGGCAATATATTAGAAACACCTCAATACTTGTTCATGCGGGTATCTCTGGGTATTCATGGAAATGAAGTGAATTCTGCACTTGAAACGTATGAGCTCATGTCGAAAAGATACATGATTCATGCTACACCAACGCTGTTCAACGCAGGTACGGAGAGGCCATATCTTTCTTCATGTTTTCTGCTTGCTACAGATGATGATTCCATAGACGGAATATTTAAAACGTTACATAAGGCGGCTCTCATTTCGAAAGCTGCTGGAGGACTGGGGTTGCACATTTCCAATGTGAGGTCAGAAGGTGCGTACATATCGGGATCAAACGGAGAGTCCAATGGGATAGTGCCCATGTTGAGAGTATTTAACAATGCTGCCAGATATGTTGATCAAGGAGGTAATAAACGACCCGGAGCTTTCGCAATATACATAGAACCATGGCATGCTGATATATTTGAATTCTTGCAACTGAAAAAGAACCACGGCAAAGAGGAGAGAAGGGCTAGAGATCTTTTCTATGCGCTATGGATACCCGACTTGTTTATGGAGAAAGTGAGAAATGACGAAGATTGGTGTTTGTTTTCCCCAGACGAATGCCCTGGGTTGAACGATTGTTATGGCGAAGAGTTCGTGAAGTTGTATTCGCGGTACGAAGAGGAAGGGAGGTTCTTGGAGAAGGTTCGGGCCCAAAAACTTTGGAGCTCGATATTGGAGTCTCAGATAGAGACAGGAACTCCTTTCATGCTGTACAAAGATGCTTGCAACCAGAAATCAAACCAAAAGAACCTAGGAACAATTAAGTCGTCCAATTTGTGCTGTGAGATAGTGGAATATTCCTCGCCAGACGAAACTGCTGTATGCAACCTGGGATCTGTGTGTACTCCCATGTTTGTTGAAGATGGCATTTTCAATTTCAAGAAGCTGCATCGAGTAACCAAAGTGCTGGTGAGAAATCTTGACAAAACCATAGATGTGGGAATATATCCACTAAAGGAGGCACAAGCTTCGAACAAGCGCAATAGGCCGTTGGCCGTTGGTGTATTGGGTTTGGCTGACACTTTCATGGCTTTGAAGATCCCATTCGACTCAGATGAAGCAAAGAAACTGAATATTCAGATATTTGAAACATTGTATCATGCTGCTTTGGAGGCTTCTGTTGAACTGGCAAAAGCTCACGGTCCATACAGCTCATTTGAAGGTTCGCCCGCTTCCTCATCGCAACTTCAGTTTGACCTATGGGATGTCAAACCCTCAGCGATGTATGATGATTGGGAGAAGTTGAAGACCAACATTGCAAAACACGGATTGCGAAATTCTTTGCTGGTTGCACCAATGCCCACTGCGTCAACTTCCCAGATCTTGGGATTCAGTGAGGGGATCGAACCAGTAGCTTCCAATGTCTACTCGCGCCGCACCCTGTCAGGCGAGTATCAGATGGTGAACAAGTATCTCGTCGAGGACTTGATCAAACTCAATATGTGGAATAGGAAAACCAAAAATCAGATAATCAACGACAATGGGTCGGTCCAAAACATACACGGCCTATCTGCCAACATCAAGGCCACCTACAAAACTGTTTGGGAGATATCACAGAGAACCATCATAGACCTGGCTGCCGATCGTGGTCCATTTATTGACCAGTCCCAGAGCATGAGCCTGTTTTTGAAAGAACCAACAAAATCAAAACTGAACGCAATGCACTTCTATGCCTGGGGGAGAGGTCTCAAGACGGGAATGTACTATTTGCGTTCACAGTCTGCAAGTTCTGCCATCAAGTTCACGACGGAAGAACAGATGATATCTTCAAAGAAACGAAAGATGTTCAAAGAATTGCTGACTCCAAAATCTCCGGACAGCTCAGACACCGACCCCAGTGTTTGTTATTTTGAAAACGATTGCGATGCCTGTTCAGGCTGAACGCCTTAACTCATACCCTGTATATAACCACAACTATCTTGTAAGTTTAGAACCGAGCGGTTGATCCGGCGACCAGGCCAAGTTAGTGTGTTGAAATGTAGGCGTCCCTACTCCTAAAAAGTGCGGGCTATCAGAAGCAGAAGGCGGTCCAGGAACGAAGTTTCCAAAACCACCACCAGCCAAAACACTTTGCTTGATATTCAATGCTGATCCCAATCCTGAGCTTCCCACAGCTCGCATTGACGAGTCTCCACGTTGACCTAATCCAAAAATTGGTCTGGAAATTGGTATGTTGATGGGTTGTGTAGTCGTTATATGCATCAGGTCGTCATCTCTTTCCTGGAGAGCAGACTGAAGGCTTGTAACTTTAGCTTTCAGAATTGCTATTTTGGACTCGTAACTGGAAACTATTTCAGAAACTTTCTTCGAACTGGAGTCCGAGTTGACACTTCTCAGCTGAACAACCTCCTGCTGTAAACTTTCTACCAAGCCCTTATAGTGATTCTCCAAAGCTTTCGTCTTTACCTCAAAGCTATCATTCGACCTCCTTAATTCTTCTTGCAAAGTAGTAACCTCTGGGCTGCTTGAGTCGCCCTTTGTGGTTTCATGTTCATCCGCTATGACACGAGGTTCTGCATTCTCATATGCTTGCAAATCCGACTCCAGAGTCGCTATCTTATTGGATAACGAAACTATATCTGCCTCACGAGGCTCAGACCGTAGCTTCAGTTTTGATACCTCATTTTCGAATCCCTTAGATTCGGCCCTCAAATGGCCTAGTTGTGTCTGAAGAACGCCGACTTCGCCCCGGAGTTCATTCACCTCTTTCAACAGAGCCACGTTTTCCTGTGACCGCTGAAGCCTCATGGAGGACAGATGGTTCCTAGAAGTTTGCAATTCACCAATAAGCTGCTCGTTTTTCTCCTGGAGACTTTTGTTGGCCAATTCCAAAGCTTTCAGATTCTGAAGCTCACGGGAGAGGCTGGCTTGCTCGTCCCTTGAAGTCTTGAGAGATTTGATAATGAGATGATTAGAATGGGACAAAAACTCTTGTTCATTCAAACTAATCAATAACTCTCTCTGGTAGAACTGCAACTGCGTCCCCGGTCCGGATTCCTCGATCTTGACGTCCGATTCGGTCGATGAGCTCAAAGACTCGTCAATATTCTCCGGAATGGACTGAACAGACATCCTTCTCAGATATTCATTTCCAGAAGAAGGTTGATCAGAGTTCGAGAACAGGAGTCTGTGTGTGTTCAATAACCCGTTGAGATCGTTTTGTGAGGTGGGTTGGGAATCATAGTATTCAGACGATGATTTGGAAAACGGATGTATGTCATCTGGTATTGAGGGAGACTCTGTCTTGAGCTCGTAATTTGGGGTTTTGAATGCCAGTCCTGAGACCAAAGAGTCCTCGCGACTTTTCATTCTTGACAAACTGAAGCTTCCTTTTTTCATATCGCGGATCGGCATAGGACCCGAAACTTGAGGGTCCAGCGACATTACGTACATAGCCAAATCCTCAGCGGTCGCCTCACCATATCGGGTTTTGTCTGAAATCTCATCCTCTGCAGTTCTATACTTGAGCAGAGCTTGGTTGAACAAAAATGATTGCACCAATTTCTGCGAAGTAGACTCGATTTTAGGCCTCTTTTCCGAAAGTTTTCGCACCGTGTCTGCTGGGAATCGGAACAGACCGTCAATAGAAGCAGCATCTCCTACAAAATCACACACTGTTCTTGGAAAGAGACCATACAGGACCAGGAACAGTTTTTTGAACTCTGGAGAATAAATGTCGTTCTCCTCAATGCCATCCTCAAGCGGCTCCCATGTTGGCTGGAGGTAATTGGGCTCATCCTTCTCCAGTTTTGGCGTAGATTCATCGTAAACCAGCTCGGGAAACTGAATGCCGAGGTCCCAGCACACCAGTCTAGAGTATATGGCAAAAAGCTGCGGCAGATACTGGTCTATGCATTTGGCAATATGAGGTATGATGAGACACAGTAGCGATACAGACACCGAAACCACCTGCACCGGCCTATCTAGCAACGCACAATTCAGAATATGAGTGAACAAACTTGTTTCGGCAATGATTTTCAGATTCTCGGAATATGGCTTTGCAACGGATGCCAGAAGCACCAAAGCAGCCAGTCTGGATTGAGGGTTCCTGACATAACTATCCATCATTTCCAGGTGTGTTCTCAGATCTTTTTCGTAAAACACCTCAATTAGCTGCCTGCAGTTGAGTCTGATAAATCTCTGGCGTTCTTCTGTCTCTTGAGAGTCGGAGTTGCTTGTCACCTTTTTCCCAGAATCAGGCAGTATCAGACATGTGTCCAGGAGTCTTTTCAGTAGAATCTCCGCGTGTTCTTTCCTGATCGCCTGCAATTGCTGATCTGAAGATTCTTTCACTACCAGAATGCTCTTCAAAAACTGGCGACAAGCAGAAACAAACTTGGAGTCTCTGCCTGCTGAGTTGACTGCTGGCGTATAGTATCTGTCTATCCACAGCATAAGCTCTTTGGTCTCTACTATGAACGGGGAAAGAGTAGCCAAAATTTGCAAGAATCCAAGCTCTTTGGCACTGTCATCAACTACAAACTCCTTGTATATGTGGTACAACTCGTCACTGAGTTTGTTGTTGTTCATAGATGTGAATGTGTCATGTCTCTCAATGTACTCGTCGAGGGTGGTCACTGTGGCTGGCGGTACTGACAACACGGACTTGGAGTCCCGAAACAACTGTTCCAGAGACCTAATCAAGCTCCGTGAGGATCCCTTAGACATGGTGAGAAGAACCGTTTGTACAGTTAAAAGTACAATTGGTGGACATTGGTGGCCAAAAGAATGCAAGGCAGGAAGGCTGGGGAACTGATGAGGCGGTGAAATGATGATGATGAGGCTGGGGAATGCTTATCAGTTTTTCACCCAGCCACGGATCCTTGAAGATTACGAGGAGAGGACTTGTCCGATAATGTCCGGGTCTTTTCTGAAGTGGATTACGTGTGTGGATGTGGCTCCGTACCCACATGAAGGTGATGAATATTTGGTCCAATCGCGCTCGACGTACGTGCTGAAGTCGCACGATGGTGGAATGTCTCTTGGCCTGTTACTACCCATAGTGGTGGATAAGCTGAGACAGTTTGATGAGTTTTTGGTGGATGATCGGCAGAGAGTTTTGAAACTCAGCTCAGAGCTTAACACTTTGGACAAGAGAAACCAGGCAATTGCACGTGTTGCAGGCACGTTGAGACAACAGGATGCTTTCGATACTTTGAGAGGATGGAGAGACGAGTTGTACGTCGTGTATGACGACCGGAAGGCCCCGTATTTCATGGCCGAAAGGGCCTTTTGTCCTCTTCTGGGGGTCGTAATGTATGGAGTCCATATAATTGGATATGTTCCACCAAATGTGTCGAGCAACGGTGTGCTCAAAATTTGGGTCCCAAGGAGATCAGCTACGAAGCAGACCTATCCAGGAATGCTTGATAACACTGTTGCTGGTGGACTTGGATATCCTTATGGACTTCAAGAGACTTGTTTGAAAGAATGCTACGAAGAAGCAGGTTTGGATCCCGAGTTCGTGAAACAAAATTGCAAGTCTGCTGGTGTTCTGTCCTACATGTACCAACATGCCAGGGAATATGAAACTGAGGCTGGTCTCATTCAACCAGAGGTTGAGTACGTCTACGACTTGACTATGGATGAGGAGAATAACATACCACATCCGGTTGACAATGAGGCTGAGGACTTCAAGCTGATGCCCGTGGACGAAGTGTTAAAAAGGTTAGAGGCAGGAGAATTCAAGCCCAACTGTGGAGCTGTGATTATAGATTTTTTGATCAGAAAGGGGTTTATCACTCCCGAGCAGGAACCAAACTATCACGAGATAGTGGCCCGTTTGCACAGACTTTTGCCGTTTCCTACCATGTAAAAGATCGAGGATAACAAATAAGTTTCCAAGAATCATTCAAAAGTTTCTTCGTGAGGTCCTGATAATATTGAAAACTAAACTATTCATTGTATGGTGATCTAGATTACACACGCGTCATATATTTCCCGAATGGCCAAAAATATGCATTGACATGCATTGTTTGTCAATCATGCATATATTTGATAAAGACAGACTCGTTTTTTCAGTGATAGGAAATTTACACTAATGTAATAATTGTTTGTTATTCGGGTTTCCGGTATGCATTATTTATCTCTTTTCTGGTCTCTGACATCATTTTGTTTAAGAACGGAACTTGGGGTAGAGTTGGAGCGTGAAGATGCCGGTTGTCTCCAATCGCTCACCACTTGACAGATACTCTCCACCACCAAAACATCCATAGCGTTTTCGAACTTTATTTTATTTCATTTTATACAGATCTATTTCACACTAGCGTTCAACCAGCCACTTCGAGTTCTTTTTTTTAACTCATTTTCGACTCATTTCGCAAAGTGCAATTTGATGTCCAACCATTGTCTCTGAACGATCTCATCGGGACTGAGACCCTTGTTTCCATATGTCAATGGAGCATAGAACACAAAACAGGTCACAAGGATGGAAACCAATAGCACCAATGTAGATACATAAGGCAAGACAGCCAGCTTGTTGGAGCTTTCCTCGCCTGAAGAGGCTACCGCCTTGATCTCCGCGTCAGATTTCATGTCGTTCGATCTGTTGTCAGAGAAAATGAACTCCAACAGACCAGCACTAAACAGAGCAGCAATCAAATGCGCTGGCAAGTAGTGGTGTAGAAACTTCTGTCTGCTCATCAAGAAGAATGGTAAGTAATGGCAACACCAACCAATAAACAAGAATCCAAGGTTATGGTAGAGTCTGGCTCTAGCCTTGTCATTGAGAATATAGACTGCTCTTCTGCGGGAAAGCTGATCGGCCAAAAGTAATGCCACATAACAAAATATGAGTGCTATCTCCAACCACCATCCAAAGATATTACCGATGAAGTAGATCTGTTCCCTGGTATCGTTCTTGGTCCAGAAAGAGACACCTCCCAGAGTAACCGGCCACGTAATGGGGTCAGAGGCAAAGGGATGCTCGCTGGTCAACTTGTTGTTCTGCTCAAACATGGTTCCCTGGAGCTCCCACCATTTCTTTAAGAAAGGCATCTTTTTCACCGTCTTTGGGACATAAATACTTCTGGCATCGTTCAAACCAACGATCTGATCTACGTACCAATAGTTGTCATTGTCCTGAACTTTCTTGTTACCGTTCACTTCCTGCTGGTTGAAAGCCCAATCTGGCAAAAGCTCGTCATCATGGGTCCACATAGCAACAACGGTGGGGACATGGAGGAACTTGACCACCGAAGACTTGGTGTGCAAGACATTTGACTTCTTCTTGTCATAGGGGTCCAGTCTAAAAAGAGTGTCGTTAAACCTGCCTGCTTGAGCCTGTTCCAAGTCAATCACCGTGAACTCCTCGTTGGTTGGAAATAATGGAGAAGCCACATCGTGAGCCAGCAAATAACCGTTAGTGCCCAAATGTCTTAATCTGATGACATCTCCCTGAAGAACAGGACGGCCCAGTTTGTTGTTCTCGTCAGGAATGACTGGAGGAACAATCTCCCATTGATTGTTCTCGTCATCAACGGTGTGGCAGGTAACTTGTTGGCCCTGAGACGACACTCTGCCGTCATCGTAACGCAAAGGATACTGATAAGGGTGCGAGTGGAGAAAACATTGGGTATCCTTGTGTTTAATGGTGATGATATCATGGTAGTTCACCTGTCTGGCCTCTCTAGCCAAAGGTGAATCACCCAGAGTCTCCTGAAACTCGGAGGTCATGAACCCATCACCAGGTCCAGACTTGGTCAGGATCGCAAAATGGATGTAGAACCAGCCCAGATAGATGAAGAATGGCAAAACAATCAAAGAATAGAGTCTGGCAATAAAGTGTCTGAAGAAAAGGCGCATACTGAGTCCCTTTTTCACATCTAGCAATTGCCAGAGGTCGAACAAAACACCAACACCAATTGTCAGATACGTGAAAACACCGACATATTTGGTGGAAATGACACAAGACAACGATACACCAGTCAGCAGAAGCCATTTCCACCACAATTTGGAGAAAGGCGAATCTCTCTGCTTGGTGAATCTGACATAGCACAGGATGGATGCGGCAACCGAAATGATCAGCGTAGCGTCCAGAAGAATGAGTCTGGTCTCAGCAACATGAGCAGTGTCAAATAAAATCAAAAGGGCAGCAAATGCAGCAGTAGGAACACTGTATCCGCTTTCCTTCATGGTAGCAAACACTATGGGCACAGTTAAAGTGCCCAGAATAGCAGACAAAGCTCTCAGAGGAATATAAGGCACCGAGTTTTCAATATAGCTATCTCCAATATTGTCGAATTTAAAATCTCCCTTAAACCCGACAATATAACCGACAAACGCGATTAACAGTTTCGCGAAAGGAGGGTGGAGATCAAAGAAGTAGGTCCTCTGAATGTAGTAACTGGCAAATTTGCCAAAATGCACTTCATCAAAAACAACTTCGTTGGGGTAATTAATCGAGTAAAATCTGGTCGCAAATGCCAAAGCAGTAAGAACCAACGAGGTCAACTTGTACCACTTTTCATCGCTCGCATCAATGGTGGAGTTAGACTTCACCACAGGCAGATACGAGTCATCAAGATCAATTCCACTGGGACTTTTACTTGATTTTCCACGACTAGAACTGTCCACTTCCTTCTTACCTTTTAGCTTTGCGGCAGCCATATTTGACAGAAATTTGGTGAAAAGTACCAAATCTAGTTGTTGCAGTAGTTTCAAACTTATTAAGACAACACGTAGTCTTGCCAGCCTCATTACGTGTCAGTAACTTAGCCCGCCTTGAAATTTCAATTCTTGAGATGAGTGACACACGTCCCGACGCGAAGTCTGGTACGCATCAAGTCGCGCTTCTCTCAGTGGCAATTCCCTGCTTTCACGCAGTATTTTTTCCAAGCACATTGCATCATGATCTTGGCACGTACTCTCAGAATTCGGCCGGGCCGTTCAAGTTTGGTGAGAGCTTTTGCAGACTGGGGTGCCATGAGAGAAGCGTTTGACTCAGCTCCACCCTCATCCAAGCCTTCTGCCCCCACGCCAGTTTCAAAACAAGCTGCGGCGGTGCCATCTACAGCGGCAAATTCTGCTGCTCCGAAGAATGGAGCAGTTACGATGAAGGATTACTTCCAAGGAGGAGACTTGGGAGATTCCCCACCCGGTGCCTTGGACGAATCGCTCAACTGGTCTTCCTCCTTTCACGGCCTAGGTAATGCTGCTTTTGGCAAAGAGGCCCAGGAGATTCTCGCCTCGGAAATTGAGCCAAACGACGTAGAAATTACTCCAGATGGACTCTTGTATCTCCCAGAGATCAAATACCGAAGAATTCTGAATCGTGCCTTTGGTGCTGGTGGTTGGGGACTGGCCCCCAGATCAGAGACGTTGATAAGCAAACAGGGATTAGGTGGTCAGTTGACTAGGGAGTACGCATTGGTCGTGAACGGAAGACTTGTGTCGATCGCGAGGGGTGAACAACAGTTTTTTGCAGACAAAGGAATACCTACTGCCACCGAAGGGTGCAAGTCCAACGCTCTCATGAGGTGCTGTAAAGACCTGGGTATAGCGTCTGAGTTGTGGGATCCCAGGTTCATCCGCACCTTCAAAAGGAAATATTGCGAAGACATTTTTGTTGAGCATGTTCCTACTAAGAAGAAGAAGAAGATCTGGAAGAGAAAGGATGAGACCGTTGAGTATCCTTTCAAGCAGTGATTTGGGCGAACTAGTGAGGCTGTATATAGTTTTAGAGGATTCAACTTAAAGATCAGATTCAAACCTTGTCGATATGTGATTGACATTTTTGTATGGGCATTGAGTTCATGTAAGTTCAGATTTGCACCTTTGACCGACTGATTGCCCTACACATACCCAGCTTATAATTTTTCACTTTCGGCCTGTCACCTGCTTTGTACTTCCTCTCTCAACTTTCCGAATAATACTCTACTATCTCGCCTCTGTACTTAAATTTTTCGTTGTTTCAAGTTACAAAAACTAACTAGTATTAATGGAAATGGCAAAGGGACATGACAAAATCTGTAAGTTTAAATTTACAAACCTTGTTGAGCACGTCTTCTGTCACGCTCCTCGGCAATACTCAACTTAAGACCCTTACCCTTTGGCAAGGAGATGTATGGCTTACCAACTTCACCAATGACGAAAACGTTACCCAATCTGGTGACGAAGTCATTGTCCAAAGTGTCCTTCAAGTGGACCAAGTCGAAACCACCCTCGTGTCTCTCACGGTGGGTGATAACACCGACTCTTCCCAAGTTACGACCACCGGTGATCATGGCCAACTTACCAGTGTCAAATTTGATGGAGTCAGTGATCTTACCAGAGGCAAGGTCAATCTTGACGGTGTCGTTGACCTTGATGTTTGGGTCTGGGTATCTGATGGTTCTACCGTCGTGGGTGACAGCGTATGGGATACCCTTCTTTCCGAGTTGGACTCTCTTGACCTTACCAAGCTTGTAAGAGGCCTCCTCGGCAGTGATTCTGTGGACGGTGAATCTACCCTTGACGTCGTACACCAATCTGAAGTTCTCATCGGTGGCATCCAAAGTGATGACATCCATGAATCCAGCTGGGAAGGTGGCGTCAGTTCTAACCTTACCGTCAACCTTGACGTGTCTCTGCATGAGGATAGCCTTGACTTCACGACCGTTCAAGGCGTACTTGAGACGGTTTCTGAGGAAGACAACCAATGGCAGACACTCTCTCAACTTGTGTGGACCTGGAGATGGTCTTGGAGCGTAGACACCTGACAACTTGTCAAGCATCCAGTGGCTTGGAGCTGCGAGACGCTTGAGATGCTTCTTTCTATAAAAAGGTAATCAGTTAGTAACTTTGTCTTGTTGGAAGAGTCTCCATGAGGAAATCGTTGGTATGTCGGATGAAAAAAACGTTTGTTCGGTGTCCAAACAGGTCATAAATTTGCAGCACAGTTCATGTGTTTTCATGTGGTAGTGTTTTTTAGTGCCCAAGTCTTGAATCCCAGACTGAAACGTTTCCATATGACTTTTTCTTGGTCTCTATGTTCGAGGCCTCTGTCAGAACCATGATGATTCTCAAATCCAAGGATTGGCACCCGGCAAGTTATTCCAACGAGTTTCCTCATGCAGCTTTGTGTGTGATTTCTGTAGTAACATACGGTCCTCTACCCATTTTGTAATGTTTTTGTTCAAACTTAACGGATTCAAAGTGTAGAAGTAAGAGAAGATGTAATTGTTAGGCCTCTACTGGAAAATTGGAAAAAGAGATCCCTCATCGAGATGGGACCTACAAATCAAGGGTTCATGCCCTGAGATTAGTCACGTGGATAAATGCCCTCCGTAAATCTGTGAACGTGTGCGGCTAAACATTAGTACTCTACACGAATATTTCATATATAATCCCATAACACAGCAAATATATAAAACCCCAATAAGGTCGGAATATATAAATACACAAACCAGCCAATCAACTGCTGGTATTATTGTTGCCTAATATCCGTGTTGCTCGCGCACGTAACCAGCCAAGAGTTCGCCCACGTTGTACTCGTCCGAATGATCGTTGTACATTGTTATCTTCTCCAAGTAACCAGCATAGCTCTCGGTGTCACCTTCAATTTGCTTCAGTGCAAAAAGAATATAAGGCTCTATGAAGTCATAATACACCACATCCACCAGCTCGTCGTGTGAATCACCCATTATCACGTCCAGCAAATATCCCACAGTTGAGTTGTACGTTTTCTCGTAGGACTGGATCACGTTTGGTACGGGGTGGTAGGGCAAAGGCTTATGCAATGTATCATCACCACCTGTTCCAAGATCATCGCGAGTGACATAACCGTAAGACATGGACTTCCAGGTGAAATAGTCGAGCCAATGTCCCACCTTTTGCTGTTCATCGTCTGGTAAAAATGGCTTCTGTTTTGCCAACGCTCCTCTAGTCAGTGTTCCTTCTGTAGATGAGTCGGACATCGACTTGGAGTAGAGAGAGAACTGATAGGGTGACTGTAACTGAGTGAAATCAGGTTCAGAGACCGAAGCCGATGAAGCAGCTCTTTCAGCACTTTCCTGCAAAATATACGTCCTGTTATTAAGAATCGGCATTATCTGAAAAGCCACGGGCTTTGGGACCCCTGGGATCACTTTCCATTTGTTCTGGAACGGAGATACCACGTATTTGGAGTTCTCAGTGAATTCGCCCTTGTAGAGATCGTACCTGATGGAGCCAGTGTTGATAAGGATGATTCTAGAATTGTTTGTGACCAATCGCGAAGAGTCCCCATGAACCTTAGGCCTCAATCTTGTGAGAATGTCTCTTTCCAAGAGCGACAGCAAACTGTTGTCGCTTGGATATGGAGCCCCCTCTAAATAATAATTCTTCTTGACGTATCCATAAGACTTGGAGATCCCCAGTTCCACCCCATATTTGCATATCTCGTTGGAAACATTGAGGCCGTAATCAGTATTGAAGTCTTCAATTGAGCTGATATTGGAATGGAACATGAACGAGTGCAAATTGAAGTCGATATAGCTTCTTGAGACGTGATTTTCTATCCAGTCGTTCGCTCCAAAATAATGCTGGATGGAATTGTCGTGTTCAACCTCGTAGGATTTTAGTGAACCCAAAGAGAGGAAGCCCACTGTTTCGCAGTATCTTCCACTCTGCAAACCAGTAGATCTTTCATCATAAATCGCAAAGTCTCGTATATGGGAATGCCCTCCAAAGTACTGGATAACAGTTGAGGGAAAAAAGGATCTCAGCGTAGAATGCAAAAGCTCCAACTCTTTCCAATCGTGCGACACAGGTATGTGCCCAAACACCACGACGACATCTGGACTTTGCTCTTTATTCAGCTGAAGCAATTCCAAAAACCAGCTTTGGGTAACAATATCAGCAATGGGAGTTACCTTGACCTTTGAATTGGCACCATAACGAAAATCGAACAGAAAGGCTAAACTGAACACCTTCAAACCCTGGTTCTTAGTAATGAAAGTCCGAGACCTATTTCCGAAAGGCACGAATTCGTCCTCGAGAAGAAATTCTACGTTGGTAGAAACAAACCTCTCACCGAAATGAGAAATAACAGTTTCAAACTCGAAAGCACTGATGTTCTCAACGTATAGTTCGTGGTTTCCCACGGTCACCAGGTCATAATCTTGGTACATGAAAATCTTGTTTGAAAAGACCCCATTCGGCACTGTTAAGTCGCTGAGCCCGTTACCATCATGCTTGTCACCAGTATCCACCAATAACAGATCTACCCCCAGCAAATCCGCCTTTTGATGTAGATGGGAGGCGAAACTGATGTAGTCTCCCCAGTCGGAAGAGTACTGCCGCTGATTAATGTGCCCCGCATACCAACCATGCGTATCAGTAGTATGCAAAAAATTAAGCCTTCCCCAGTTCAAGGGTGTTACCTGGTCATTGAAGTTTGGAAACTTGGAATGGAGCTGTTGCCTGGTTTCTATCTCACGATAATGACTCAGATACGGATGTTGCGGGATGTTTTCTGAGGCCTTGTCCGAAGCCCCAAAAGAGTTCGACAAATTCGCCAGAATTAGTGTCGCCACAAACACCAAAGATACCACTTGCAACAATGTAATCATCGTGCAAAACGAGGTATCAACGGGAGACAAGACAATGAGTTCAGCCCCTTGGTTCTTAAGCTGTCAAGTCAATCACAGAAGACAAGGGCCCAAATGTGATGAGTACAATGCTTCCGGATTGGGAATAATTAGAGGATCTACACGACCTTTTTTTGTCACTGGAAGGGCAGTTTAAGTGCGAAGATGAAAGGAGGGTCTGGAGCTTCTGGATAGACATAATTAATGCCGTAAATCGATATTTTCGAGGACGAATATAAATAGAAACAGTGTGTGTTGCAGGGGTGTGGTTTTGTAGTTAGTGGGTAGAAATTTCAGGCAGAAACACGTTACTAGCGTTTTCTCCAGTTTCCAACCTCGAATTGTGAGGCGTTTTTCAAGAAGATTGAGTCTGGCAACCTGAGGAGTATTACATCTACGCAGAGCATGACAAGCTTGTAAGTCTGGGAAAATTCAAAAAAAGAAAGCGAGTAGTCTATTCGTTGAGGCAAGGCGGGGAATTTGCTTTGCGCAACCTTTCAGCCCTCTCTGTCAACTGGATTGAAAAACAGTTGTCAAACAGTTTTTCAGTCGTCAGCTTTGAAATCTACCTCTTTTGCATATATATGTATAATCTTCCAGAAGACTCGCTAAATAACACTAATAAAAATAAACAAGTTGCAAAATGAAAATATAACAATGGGATGGAAACGGAGATCCACTCGGATCTGCCATCTCTCCATGCTGTCCTTGCAGATTATAACACAAAAGGTATTTTACACCTTACATGATAATTTGAGGAGTCTCGACGTTGGCAGAGATCGACTTGTGAGGTAACACCTTACCACCGTTGACGTAGACCTCGTCCTTGACGGTGACATCCTCACCCAAGACGGTAACACCCTCGAGTCTGGCCCATCTACCGACAGTAGAGTTCCAGCCAACGATGGTGGACTTGATCCAGGCATGGTCCTTGATCTGACAGTTCTTCAACACAACAGATCTCTGGATTCTGACACCGTCACCAACAACAACGTTAGGACCAATGACCACGTTAGGGCCAATCTTACAGTCCTTACCGATCTTTGCAGATGGGTCAATCAAGACGTTTCCACCGTTAACAAATGGCTCGGAGATTGGAGTCAAAGCCTTGCTCTCCTTCTTGGCGAGGGAGGAGAGGTAGAGACAGGTTCCGGACAAAAAGTCCTTTGGCTGTCCGACGTCCATCCAGTAACCTGGCAAGTCAAACGAGTACAGCTGCTTCTTCTCAACAAGCTGAGGGAAGGTTTCGTGCTCGATAGAGGTTGGTCTCATCTCGATGAGGTCGATGACGCTTGGGTTCAAGACGTAAAGACCAGCGTTGATTCTGTTACCGACAAACTCAACTGGCTTCTCAACGAATCTGTCGATGAGGTTTGGAACGGCAAGGTCATGGACGATGACACCATACTTGGATGGCTCGTCAACCTTGGTAGCAACGATGGTGGCCTCACCACCGTGCTTCTGGTGGAAGTCCAACAACTCCTTGAATGGGTAGTCGCAGATAACGTCCGAGTTCAAAACGAAAATTGGCGATTCATCCTTTCTCAAGACCTTCTCGGCGAGCTTCAGAGGACCAGCGGTTCCCAAAGGCTCCTCCTCAACAGAGAAGGTGATGTTAACACCGTACTCGGCCTCGTAGCTCTTAAGCGCGGCAACCATGACTTCTGGCTTGTAGTTGACGGCCAACACGATATCAGTGACACCGGCAGCAGCAAGGGCCTCGACCTGGTGCAAGATCATTGGCTTGTTACCAAACTCCACGAGTGGCTTTGGCAACGAGAGAGTGAGTGGTCTGAGACGAGTACCGTAACCACCGACGAGAATAAGACCTTTCATTTTGTAATTGTTTGAATTTTGCTGGCGAAGCGAATGGAGGAAGTGCTCAAGCGAAAGCGAAGCGACAACAAGTTTTTAAGAAAAAATATAAACCTAGATAAGGTCAAAGATCAAAGAGGTCAAATCCTTCACGAAAAAAAGGACACGGCGATCCCTTTTTATAAAAAAAAACCACAAACAGAACACGTTGCTTTTGGAGGGCGTGGGACGGAAAATTTCTTATAGGAGGGGGTGCAGTCTGTAGAGCTGTGTCAACGGGACGATTTCGGCCTGTTCAGAAGGGTCAATGTAAATCTGGGAACATATAGGTATGTACGAAATACTGGGAAGGATTGGAGCGAGAAGTAGGTATTAGAAATTTGTGGATGAAGTAACGAGCGTGGTACTCGGGACTAAGAACAGATGGCCAATGAATACAACATGGTGCACCCGTTGATCCAACGATCGCTCAAGTTTACCTACACCCTGAAATCCTATATCCCGGGTCCTGATACCAGAGCGCGATTACAGGGTACCATTGAAGGATCAGCCATGCGTCTTAGCGCTGAGGCAGGCCGATCGCTGGCACCGGACCGTTTCAGCATTGGTCTAATTATGGCGGCTCGAGGTAGTGCCGATGAGACCTTTGAGCTCCGTTATGTAAATATTCTCCTTAATATATGGATTGATTTTAAGATTTAATTTTTTAAATGCGTGTCTCAAGGGTCTTTCGCTTTAGTTTCCAATTTTACTCCATTTTCTTGCACTTGCAACACGCTCGACTAAGGTAACACCTCCAGCCACTTTTTCTGGTAGTGGCTGCCCCTTTTTTTCGGCCAGGGGTGATCCCAGCCATTCCCGATTCTGTCGGATTCTAGCCTTAACGGGCAAGAGATGCGATTATTTTCGTTACCAGGATTTCACGGCGCGCGCAAACTTTAAGGGACCTTCGTTAAATGCACAGAGATCATCATTGAAAGAGCAGATCAGTGATTTACCCGGATTTGGTTGGGTGCAAATCCTTGGTGCTCCTAGTTAATCCGACGATGCACGTTTGACAATTGCCCACAAGCTTAGAAAGCCACTGGACCAGGGTTTAGCCGGGAGATCTACCCCGATGATCTACAGAAAGTTACAGCTCAGAAACATCCCGTTCTGATGTCTGGTTTTTGTCATTATATGCTCGTAACTTCATGCTGTATATCTTGATATATCGTGTACTAATAATATAGGCTGGTTGGCTTCATGCCATTTAGTGTTCCAACTTTCTAGTCAATTCACCCAGCAAATCCCGATTCTTCACACCCTTTCCATTGGAAAACTTCCCGGTTGTCCACGAGTCACCATTTGACACCTTCAACACTTTGACTGAGGCGCTTGGGTCTCTTTTCAGCGAAACGGACTTCTGGTACACACGGTCGTACCTTTCTTTCAAGAATTGGGCCACCTCATCTCTATTGAACCCGTTAACGGGCCTATAGGCTCGGGATACCGGTTTTGATGGGAGTTCCAGTTTCTTGCCTGACATTTTGGTGGACTGAAGAAGCTGGAGTAGGCGCTTACAGAGTAGATCACGCTGTTGTATCTGGGTTAGTTAGTCTATGGGTATCACCAGTGGAGCATAACCAAGAAAATCATTCGTAGTGGTCGACCCAATATGACTTCGAAGCGGCTCGGCCCAGCGCATTAGAAACTTACGTCAAAGGCAAGGCCTAGAAACCTTGATATTACCCAAGGAATTTTCAGTAGTCAACGGGCCAGATTGTGGATTCTTGTGCAAAAACAGCGCGGAGAAACTTTTTCTGAAAAATGGCCAGACTCAGGGTCTGCGCCCGTGGTGTAGCAATGTGGAACACTCCAGACTTTCATTTAAAAGCCAAACTATACACACCTACAAAAAGCTGAAATAAACACAAAAACTCAAGATCAATACCAAATCAGCCGATATCTACGCTCGCTTAGTAGACATAGATTAATAACGATTAATAACGGTCTCCAGGTCACACCGAAATGGCGGGTCATTAATCCAACTACCCCGGAGTTTCCGCGCCCCGGGGCCCCATCTACCCGGTCCGGTGCCTCCCCCCACAAGCCAGGTAGCCTATTTAAGACTGAAGCTAGCCGTCATCAACGAAATATATTCCAAATCATAAGAAAAATTCGCATTTGATAGTCCCATAGGTTTAAACTGCTCTTTATTCCACCAAAACCGAGGAAGAACGGCCCGATTCAAACCCAGTCCAGCTCATCACCATCGCCCACATTTAGCTACTCCAGTTTTTTGGTGCGCCCCCACTTCAAACCCGAGCATCGCTTAACGGATAGACTACGGATTAATAAGTCCCGGCAAAAAGACTATAAGATAGGTTGCTTCCCCTTTGTTTTCGATCAACCATATATTTTCACAACTGAGGCTTGACACACCAATTTGCTCCCTCATATTTCGACTCTCTGCTATCATCTATAACACCCACTCATACAATCGCAATGGCCGACAATGGAGCAGGAACGGTCCAGACGGACCTCATCACCTTGACCAGATTCATTCTACAAGAACAACAAAAAGTTGGACCCAAGGCCACAGGTGAACTCACTTTGTTGCTGAATGCTCTGCAATTCGCCTTCAAATTTATAGCACACACCATTCGCCGTGCCGAGCTGGTGAACCTGATTGGACTGGCTGGTGTTCAGAATGCCACCGGCGATGACCAGAAGAAGCTGGATGTGATCGGAGACGAGATCTTCATCAATGCCATGAAAGCGAGTGGAAATGTGAAGCTTTTGGTCTCGGAGGAGCAGGAGGACCTGATCGTGTTTGAGTCCAGCAATGGTAATTACGCAGTTGTCTGCGATCCCATTGACGGAAGTTCCAACCTGGATGCGGGTGTTTCTGTCGGAACCATTTTCGGTGTCTATAGGCTTCTTCCCGGCTCTTCCGGCACTATCAAGGATGTTCTCAGATCAGGAACCGAGATGGTGAGCGCCGGTTACACCATGTATGGTGCTTCTGCCCATTTGATGCTTACCACCGGTCATGGTGTCAACGGTTTCACTCTTGACACCCATTTGGGAGAGTTCATTCTGACTTACCCAGATCTGAGGATCCCCCATTCCAGGGCAATTTACTCCGTCAACGAGGGAAACTCGTTCTATTGGTCAGACGAAATCAAGGCATACCTCGCATCTCTCAAGGAACCCCAGTCAAATGGAAAACCCTATTCTGCAAGGTATATCGGATCCATGGTGGCTGATGTCCATCGTACCCTGCTTTATGGTGGTATCTTCGGTTACCCGGGTGATTCGAAGTCCAAGAACGGAAAACTGAGAGTGCTCTATGAATGCTTTCCAATGGCATTTTTGCTGGAACAAGCTGGTGGGTTGGCAGTTAACGATCGTGGAGAACAGATCTCCCACATAGTTCCCAAGCAGATACACGAGAGAAGTGGTATCTGGCTAGGATCAAAGGGCGAGATCGAGAAGCTTCTGACGTTTATCAAGCCATGATGATGACCGTTTCCTTTTTGTTTGTCTAATTAAATGCCAAAGACTTATTCTGTCACATTGTTCATGTAGTATTTACTCCTCCGGATTTCCCCACACACGACCCTACCCGCTGTGATTCGTGCACCAACAAAAATTCACAGGGCGGGCATGAAGGTGACGGGTGAGTTGTTCTTTGAAGGGCTCAACAAGACCTGTTACTGGATCAGCCTATATCAACACAAGCAATCAAGATGAGTGGATGTAAGTGAAACAATAAGAAAGAAGACACACAAGGTTTAGGATGAGTTCAATATTCCTGCAAATTCCTTTGTGTCAAGTCAAATCGTCGGTACTAACCCAAATCATCGAAGTTCGTGTGTTAGATCTGGTCAAGCCGTTCACCCCGTTCTTACCGGAGGTGATCGCGCCAGAGCGCAAAGTTCCGTTCAACCACAAATTGATGTGGACAGGTGTTACTCTGCTCATTTTCTTGGTGATGTCCGAGATTCCACTCTATGGTATTACGTCGTCAGACTCGTCGGACCCATTGTATTGGCTGCGTATGATGCTGGCCTCTAATCGTGGTACTCTCATGGAATTGGGAATTTCGCCCATTGTGACCTCGGGAATGGTGTTCCAGCTTTTACACGGTACCCAACTTCTGGAGGTCAACATGGAACTGAAGTCTGATCGCGAGCAGTTTCAAACCGCCCAGAAGATCTTTGCCATTCTTTTGTCGGTTGGCCAAGCCACCGTCTACGTCCTGACCGGTATGTATGGTCCCCCAAGCGAGCTCGGTACTGGAGTTTGTCTTTTGTTGGTTTTGCAACTGGTTTTCGCGGGTATCGTGGTGATTTTGCTCGACGAGCTGTTGCAGAAGGGCTATGGTCTTGGATCAGGTATCAGTCTGTTCATGGCCACCAACATCTGTGAGTCCATCTTCTGGAAGACCTTTTCGCCTACCACCATCAACCGTGGTAGAGGCAATGAGTTTGAGGGTGCAATCGTTGCATTCTTCCACCTGTTGTCCACCAAAAGAGACAAGAAGAGAGCTCTGTTGGAGGCTTTCTACCGTGACAACTCTCCAAACATGTTCCAGCTTTTGGCCACTCTGTTCGTGTTCTTCGCTGTCGTCTACTTGCAAGGATTCCGCTACGAGATTCCAGTCAAGTCAACCAGACAGAGAGGACCTTACGGACTGTACCCAATTCGTCTGTTCTATACCTCGAACATGCCTATCATGTTGCAGAGTGCTTTGACCTCCAATATCTTCATCATCTCCCAGATGCTGTTTACAAGATTCCCAACCAATCCAGCTGTCAAGTTGCTGGGTACTTGGGAGGCCAGAGCTGGTTCTGCTCAACTTTATGCCGCAGGTGGTATCTCTTACTACATGCAGCCACCACTTTCGGTGACCGAAGCTTTGTTGGACCCAATAAAGACGGTCGTGTACGTCGCTTTTGTGCTTACCACATGTGCTGTCTTTTCTAAAACATGGATTGAGATTTCTGGCTCATCTCCAAGAGATGTTACCAAGCAGTTCAAGGACCAGGGTTTGATCATCGCTGGACACAGAGATCAGCACGTGTACAAGGAACTCAAGAAGATCATCCCAACAGCTGCTGCTTTTGGTGGAGCCACCATCGGCGCCTTGAGTGTTATCAGTGACCTTCTGGGAACTTTGGGCTCGGGCACTTCTATTCTGCTGGCAGTTACCACAATCTATGGATACTACGAGATGGCCGCTAAAGAGGGTGGATTCGGCAAGGCTGCTGTTGGTGGATTCACTGACATTATGTGAGGCGAAAATCTGAAGAGTTACTAAATCCTACCGGAATCCTGAACACGAATTATAATACGATGTACACAACTGAAAAGAACACCTATAACTGGCTTTAAAATGCAGAAGTAGTCATATTTCTCTGAGGTTGTTTTATAGTTAACAAAGACAGCATTAGCCATGTGGGTAGTGCATCCACCCATAGACTTCACGGTTTTGAGGCAGGGCAAGACGCACCAAAACAGGACCCTAAATTCGAATATTTTGATTTCTCCAGACATATCCACTTAAGAAGATCCTGCAAAACTCCTAATATCTTCTCATTTATGCTTACATTTTCTCGTTTTGTGGCAAGATTTTCCAAGGACTCGAAGGTAGTGCGCTCGAGAACATTCAGGTTCCCCACCTAAAAGCGATGAACCTTTTCAACAGTTTTTCATGTATGCTTCTCTGCATATCTGGGAGTTCGCAACAATGTTTAGGAAAATCGTGCCTTTGTTGATCAATGGAGTGGAAAAGAAGACTGTGGAGTCTTTAATATTTCCAGTTCTCTCTCCTTTCAATGAAAACGAGGTGTTGTACCATGCCCAAGGAGCATCTCCATCTGACGTCTTAACGGCTCTCGAGACTGCACAGTCTGGATTTGTTCAATGGAAAGCCACCAATTATTTACAGAGAAGAGAAGTCCTTCAGAATGCAGCGAGACTTCTGGAATCCAGAAAGCCGCAATTCTTGCAAATGATGGAAGAAATGGCAATACCAACCTGGTTTGCCAATGTCAACATTGATACCAGTGTTGGAATGATAAAAGAAGCGGCCAGTCTTACTTCCCAGCCACAGGGCTCGATACCTCAGACTGAAACCAGCGATTCTGTTTCTTTGGTGTTCAATGAGCCAATTGGTCCAGTTTTGAGTATCTCGCCTTGGAATGCCCCGTGTATTCTTTGCACTAGAGCTCTGGTAGCTCCCATTGCTGCTGGATGCAGTGTCATACTGAAAAGCTCTGAGCATTCTCCTCTAATTCACTATGAACTGGTGAAATTGTTTGTGGATGCAGGGCTACCCCCGAACGTGCTCTCTCTGCTGAATTCCTCGAGGGAAACTTCTCCTGCCATAACTGAGACTTTGATCAAAAGCAAGGCGGTGAAGAAGGTGAATTTTACAGGGTCTACGGCCGTGGGAAAAGCAGTGGCCAAAATTGCTGCCGAGAATCTCAAGCCTGTTCTCCTAGAATTGGGAGGTAAAGGAACTGCAATAGTGACAAGAAGTGCCAATCTCGAAGATGCTGCTGGGGCTATCGTCTTTGGAGCCTTTGCCCATAATGGTCAAATCTGCATGAGCACCGAGAGGGTTTTTGTGGATGACGCTGTCTATGATGATTTTGTTGCTATTTTGAAAAATGTAGCAGATTCAGCTTCAAGCTCTGAAGCACTTCCACAGAGAACCTCGACTGCTGCAGCCAGAGCTTCACAACTTGTGGAATCTGCTGTTGAAAACGGTGCCGCTTTCGTGCACGGTTCTTCAAATCGCAACGGCACCTACCTCACTCCGGTAATCTTGCAAGAGGTGAAGTCAGAAGATGAAATATTCGAAAGCGAAACATTTGCTCCAGTATTTTTTTTGAGTCGCTACAAAGACGTACAAGAAGCTATCGACATTGCTAACACAAGTGCTTCTGGCCTGACCAGCTCTGTTTGGTGCAAAGATACGCTAGAGGGTCTTAGCATAGCAAGACAATTAGAATCTGGTGCGGTTCATATTAATGGAGGAACTTTACGGGATGAGCCAGTTCTGCCACATGGAGGTGTCAAACAGAGTGGATCTGGCCGGTTCAATGGTATCTGGGGAATCCGAGAATTTCAGTACCTGAAAACAGTAACGATTAGCTAGGAGGAAATATTTGTTTCCATTCGAGAAGCTACAAATTATTTTACTCAGATTGGTGATACTAAGATTGTCTTCGCTTCTAAAAACCCACTAACCACTCAAAACGATGGTACTCAAATTGTCTAGATTCAAATCGCCAAAACCATCAAACCCGCAAGCCCAATCGAAAATACACAAATGGGACTGTATTTTAACGCACCGTTATCTGACGCAGTGGTCAGTGCGGAGCTATTCATAGCTTCTGAGACCTGTGAGCTCACCAATTCAGTTGTTGCGTTCATTTCATCTCGTTTATGCAGGTCATGCATATCATCTCCATAATGAGCCGCACGCAATGCAGATGGACTGGTGATAGTTGGTCTGGGCAGAGTGAGCACTGCAAGTCCCAATCTCTGGAATAGCCCTTGTAATGCACTACTTTGAGCAGTCATCCTGGTTATTGTTGTAGTTGCATTAAATCTGGTTTCGGTGATGGTAGCAGTCTCAGTAACCGTTTTTGTTGAGGTTACCGTCTTGGTGCCAGCCCAGATCTTGAAAGGCAAAGTGGTTGAGTGAGTCTTTGTAGTGGTGATTTTCAGAAGCTTCTTGTAAATTGTCTCGGTCACTGTGATGATTGGAAGATCGTCGTCACAGTCGTCATCGATATCCGTGAAATTGTCATCACAGTCGGGAGTGCTTGTGGGAGCAGACGTTTCACAATCGTCGCTAATGGAAGTTTCCTCTTCGCAATCATCGGTAGATGTTGAAGTCACATCATCACAATCATCGGTAGGGGTTGGACTAGGAAACGAAGGTTCATCATCACAATCACTTGGAGATGTGGTCGTGCTATCTTCACAGTCACTTGTCGTTGTTTCTTCTCCGTCACAATCACTGGTCGTTGTCACTTCATCGTCGCAATCATCTGCAGTCACAGTGACACTGTCGGCTTTTGCGTGGACCAGTTTGCTTGACTTTCCTACCGTAGCTGATTTAGTCACCTTTGCGGGAGAAATACTCGATGTTTTTTTGTGTTCTTTTGGCTTGTGATTTGACTTTGGTACCGCTTGCGCCATATTTACCGGCGCATTATCCTCAACTATGTCATCTATGATGATCCAATCTCCCTTCCGAGACGTTATGTCTCGTTTGAGAAGCTGCTGATTGCACACCGTATCCACCAGGGACTTCAAAAACCAGATTTCAGGCTGAAAAGTTAGTGGTCAGAAACAATTTGACAAGGAAAACAATATAATAAATCATACATGGGACCCGATTGAACTGGAACACCGCTGGTCTGCGAGCTTCAAAAACGAGCAATGGCAGGCTTCAACACTATCAAAACTGCTACAGCGAAGGTAATCGTTGCCATCCGCAGATTTTGTCTCGAGGTCTCTTGTACACTGGAAAAACTCAGTTCCCTAAAAGCTCCATGTCAGTAATCATCCGCCATTTCATCGAGCTTTTGACTATACCCACATAGACCCCTTTGAATTCATCGGAGAACATCAATATCTGTTCTCCATGTGTGGACGCCTGACTGTGTATAGCGTGGAGAAGGAAAATGAGCCAGAGACTTAATCTCTTGAGTTTTGACATAGCAAATCCTTCTTCAAATCTACACCAATAGTATCTCTTGACCAACTTATTTTAAACAATGTACAGCGTCTAGCTGCTCTTGGATCAAACATCCGCCAGTGCGGCTACTTATTAGATAGTACACTACCGAGCATTATCTTCTGCAGCTTTGCGTGCCAATTCCCGTTGCTTTTTCCTTTTCCGTTTAGCTTCGAATTCATGCCATTCGCCTTTGACATCCTTGAGCATAGTCAGTTTTTCAGGCGACGGAGATTCAGAAAAGTAAGGGTGAGCGAGGGCGTCTTTCGCATTGATTCTCTTTTTCGGGTCGACGGCTAGGAGCTGCTGGGCAAGGTCAAACCCATTCTTGGTCAACATGAAACCGAACTTCTCGTAGAAAGTGTTCTTGATGTGTGCTTTTGGCTTCATCATCTCGTACCAGGGGTACTTATCAGCGTCGGGCCACGACCTCAGCGTAGGGGTACCCATTATGGAGTAAATTGCTAACAATTGGCCAATCTCGTCACTTCCCTGGAAGGTAGCCTTTCTGGTGAAAAGCTCTAACATCAAACACCCAACTCCCCATATATCGATCTCTCTCCCATAGTCAGTTGCTCCCAAAAGCAACTCGGGAGGACGGTACCACAAAGTGATAACTCTGTTGGTGTAATTAGGTGACTCCTTCGAAGAGTTTAAAGTCTTCATAACTCTGGCCAGACCAAAATCTGTGATTTTGAGGTCTCCTTCGCTGTTGAGCAAAATATTCGAGCCCTTGATATCTCTGTGGAGAACACGTTTTGAGTGTAGGTAATTCAGTCCCTCCATAAGCTGAAGGAAGAGAAACTTTCTGTGGCTGTCTTCCAAAACAATTTCTGACTGCTGAAGAACACCAGAAAGATCGTGATCCATGTATGTGAATATCATATACACCGAGTTCTTTTCCACCATCATCTCCTGAAGCCCAACTACGTTGGGATGACGGAATGATTGTAACAGGCCAATTTCTCTAGTTGCGGTGATTGGAAACCCGTCCCTCTCGTTCTCCAGTCTTAGTCTCTTAAGCGCAACTAGCGTTCCAGTCACCACGTTCTTGGCTTTGAAAACCTTTCCATAAGTTCCCTCACCAACTTGTTGAATCTTCTCATACACGGGCGATTGGCGTATGACCTGTTTCATGAATACCCTCTTAGGGCGTTTTCTGAGAAATTGGTCTTCGTCAACGTCGCTATCGGAATGGTTTCCAGCGCGAATTTGGCGCGACTTGGCATTTCTGTGTGGAATGGGAGCTCCTCTCGAAGATTCAGAGAAGTTATTGCGGTTGAACTTGGAATGGGCCTGTTTGAGAGGAATAGGAGCGTTGGACGGGGCATCATCACCACCATGTCTGGGGCCTCTGGGCAGTTCTTTCATGTCCACTCTTTTTGGGCCGTTGGGAAATGCTTCTGACTTTGGGTTTCTGCGAGGATTGGAGTCGATATCTGTGATTCTGATGTTTCTGTCTCTGGTGTCTCTGACATCCTTATTCCGGCTATCCTTGTTTCTGATATCTCTTTCTCTAAAAGCCCTATCTCTCGCCACCCTGCTCTCTCTTTCCCTCTTGTTTCTCGCATCTCTGCTGTCTCTGCTGTCTCTGCTGTCTCTGCTGTCCCTTGGGTCCCTTGGGTCTCTTGGGTCTCTTTCCCAGGTCTCTCTGTTCTCCCGTACATCTCTATTTCCTCTGACATCTCTCACATCTCTGGAATCCCTGGAATCCCTGGAGTCCCTTTTAATATGCTCTTCACCGCCTCTGTTCTTCGATGAATCATAACCTCTAGGGCCCTTGGGCAACTCAGCTGGCTGTCGCTGTCCGTTGAATCGATCATCGGGTTTGGCCCACCGCTTTCTTGGTGGAGGTGGCGACTGCCTGTATCTCTCATCTTCTCTTTCTCTGTCTCTCGGATCCCGCTCTCTTGTACTTCTCTCTCTGTACTCTCTGTCACGGTCTAAACGTCGCCTCTGGTCATACGGCTCTCCACGAGGCGCGCGTTCATCTTGAAATCTCCGTCTGTCAGACATTGAAATCGGCAAAAGACAATCGACCTGCTTGGAAACAAAAAGTTTAAAGGAATTGACAACCGGAACAACTTGTTTGTGCTTCTCAATTGAAATGAAGCCTTTGAGTTCGCCTTTGCAAAAATCCATCTGTTTTGTATCAACACGACCTTTGGACAAAATGACTTTTTAACCAGAAAGCCGGTCGGAACCGGTTTAAACAGCCCGAATCTTCGCCGAAACAAGCAAAACTACGGTTACAGTTACAGAAACGACCCCACTGAGACGGAGTAGGGAGGGAGGGGAGGGAGAGGAGCGGCTCTACCAACAATCACACTGGTAGCAGCACCACGGACATACCCCCTAATCCGTTAAATCATGGAATTAGACCAATTCCTGTTGAAGAACAACACCCTTCAGGATTTTGTTTCTTTCGTTTCATCATTCTAACCGACAATGAGCTAAACTGTCAAAAGTAACATGCTCCAGTATCCTTTTTCAAAGCGTCGATCACGTTCCAATGCAGACGCATCAATCAGATATCCCTAAGGACCTCATAATGTCAAACATCAAACCAAAATCTCAGAAGCACACCCAACTACTACAAAATAACCTCAAGACACACCATCACGACAGAGGCAAAACTCAGTGGAGGGAAAACAGGCAGAAAGGGAGGCCTCAAATTCGAGCCATCAAAAAGTGGGAAATTGGATTGGTGCACGACTTCTAACGCCATCATCGTCTGAGACCCTTTGCAGTATCAAGTCTAATGTTTGATTTGAACGAGGCTTGTTGAGTAGTTGCACTAGACTAACAACAACAAAAACTAGAACTGGCGTCTTGCTTCAAAGGTACACGCCACCTCTCAGTTTCTCACTTTACAGATTTTCAGGTTCACCTCAACACCTTCAAATATGGGTACCGTATGTTTCTCCTAGCGTGGCGTCTCCCTACGCGGACGGATGGTATACTGACCTCTTAGATTGGTAAATTGGTTCATTACTCCGTCGACTTGGCACTGCTTTCCGGACTTCTTGCTGGAGTTAGAAGGTCCACTGGATTGACTCCCAGGCTGGAGGACATTCAGCAGAAGGAGTTGAAAGGTGCCGCACAGCAATATCTGGGGTTTGGCGAATGGCTCATTGATTCGTCTGCTGCCTTTATGAGTGCTTCTACTTACTTTGTGCGCAAATGAACGAGTTTATTATGCGATTAAGTGGATTAGGGATTGAGGATTCGAAACTTCAGAGCCTTCTGCTGGCCTTGGCTGGTTTCGTCAATATCTCGAGACGGCGTTGATACTTTGTGTTTTTCTAAGAGTGAGATCTTATATAATTGTGAGGTATTTATATGATTCTTGCGTTGATTTGTTGAATTTGGAGTTGGGCTCAGTCTCAGGTTCAGTCTCTCCAGTGTGGTTTCTATCCAAATTTCAGCGTGATCCCCGGGTTGGCTCGCTCGGCGCGCTCTTCCCTCACGATGGGTTGAACGGCACGTCGCCCCACGCATTGTCGTCGTAGGATGGGTTGGAGTCATCATCCCCACTGTGTTCTTCTTCGTTCAGCAACGGGTTATAGTTGCCTGAATATACCGGTTTGGGGGCCACGTTCGGCTCAGACTTCTCCATGGCAAAAACACTATAGAACAGCCCGTAGTTGTTTGCGTACGATTCCATTTCCTCTTCTTCGTGGTCCTGATCAGCATCTTGCGTGTAACCTCCTCCAAATGAGAGTGAGGAAGTTGTGACTGGGTTAGACTGGTTCCCACTTCCCGCATTATTGTAAACCGTATTCATAGATGGGAGTTGGTAGTGCAAAGGATGATGCTGCGAAACTGGGTTTCCATTCCCGTTCGAGGGTCTTGCCGTGGTTTTGTTTATCGATTGCACGGATTCCCACATCTCTAGATCCTGGTCCAGCTCCTCCGATATGAAGCCGTTGTTGGCGAGGTGTGACGGGGTCGTAACTCTGTTTCCCAAGGTCGGTTTTACAGGGTTCATGGAGGGACCCTGGGAAAGCGATAGTGGAGGAGGCGAGAGAATGGCGGATCTTCTTCCAGATGGTGCACCGTGCTTTGAGTTTAGAGATCGTATCAGCTCGCTGTCACCCGAATCGTAGACCCTAGCATCGGGACTTGGCGAGGAGGTCAGTTTCGGCACTTCTGCCAACGGCCGCAAGAAGTTGAAATGGTCGTAGCGTTCAGCACGTGCCTCGGGCTCCACTATTGGCTGGTTGGAAGGGACGTAATGGTGGTAAATCTCCTGATGAATGGTGATGCTCAATCCGTTAGCCTTGGCAAGATCTATGAGGTTTTGCGCAAAATCACCTGTATTAGGTGGACCTCTGAAGTTCGACACTTCCTGACCGTTAGGCTTAGACAGAGTGTATGTGTATTCAACTCTGGAGTGCGATAACCTCGAAGTCAGAGGAGGGCTGAACGCAGCCTCGTTCCTTGATTTCTGGATAACAGGCGAAAGTGTTCTCTCCAGAAGTTGTCTGAGTCTCTGTGTGTCGTCTCGTTTCTCTGGTCCCACCTTTTCAGCCTGTGAAGCTCGCGTAGAACTCTGTACCTGGGTCTCCGAACTTGAAACTTCATCCACAGAGTCCTGCGTTTCTGCACTGGCACCGATCTCAGCAGAAAGATCCATATTGCCAACCTCCTTCTTGATCTCTTCGGGCGCACGATTCTTGGCCAGACGGGTAACTATCGATCTCCATCTGTTCCTACAACTCAAGCCAGACCTTCCCTCGAATTCAGCAGCTATCACAGTCCATCTGGTACCGTAATTCTTCACCTTTCTCACCAGTTCTATGTCCTGTTGTGTATCCCAGGGTTTTAGTCTCTCTTTGGCCTTAGGGTTCAGCACGTCGTTGTATCTTTTCGAACACTGCCCAGCACTTCGTCCTTCTAATCTCTTCGCAACGTTTGTCCACGAAGTCCCAAACTCCTTGAATGCCTCGATGAGCATTTCGTCCTCCTCAGCAGTCCAACTTCCCTTTTTCAAACTGGGATCCACGGAAGTGGTCCATCGCCGTCTGCAATCAAACGGTTTTCTCCCTTCAAACTCCTTCGCGATCGTATCCCAGTTGATCCAGTCCAAAGGTATGCTTTCATTGGTATATACAGTCTGTTTCGATCTTGCCAAAAACTGCTCCAGAACCGCAGACTTCAAGCTTTCGTCCTGGTCTCGATCCCATGTCACCCTACACGACTTCCTGAAGGTCTTGTAGCCTAGGGACTGGGTAAGGGCTATAGGGTCCATTCGCTTGGCCTCCAGCACTGACCGTTTAGACACAAGTGTCTCGTCCTTCTTCCTCCGTTTAGTGTTTGACATAGAAAATTCGGCCTTTTTAGTGAGGCTGGTCAGAGTCGCAACCTACAACAAAGAAACATCTAAATGCAGTCATACTTAATGATTAAAAAAAAGACTGCCATCCAAACACCGGGCACGGTCCAAATCGGGGTTCAGGGCTGTGCAGGAAAAAGATGGCTTTGCGATTTAAACAAGACATCGATAGTTGATTAGCGCTTGCATTGACAGGATTCTTGAATTGATTCTAGTTGTTTCTTCTAGCTCTTATTGAGAAGCGGTTAGAGTTTCCGGAGCTAGCGGATGTGGACATGACCTCCTCCGATCTGACCACTCTGTGCTTCGAGGAATGGAACAAAATACGGCACGATCTGGCTCATCTGGTGAGGCGGGATCTGGAGGATGGAGCCAGATTAACAAGGACAAAACTGATAGACAATCTGATGACTGAGGTTTGTGATTGCAGTGATGATTATTACAACCATATAAATGCCGACTGCTATGAGGAGGCCCAGAAGAGCTATGCCAGGGGTTATATATTACTGCGGATGGTGCTATCGGAGCTCAAGTTCAACAAGCTGGAAGACAGGGTGTTATATAATCAAGTCAACGATGCCTTTCTACAGCTGGCCTTTAGTTTTGATTTACTGAAATCGGTGAAGGAGGTGGTAGACGTTATGTCTTCGCAGCCGGAATTCTCGTTTGCCATGGACCCTGCATTGAGGGTGAAGGCCGTGCATAGCCCCGTGGTAGGGCATAATGTTGCGAAGCAGCACGTATCTCGGCATGGAGTGTCATATGATGGTGGTGAAAAGGTTGTAAACCGTCCAATGACAAATGGTTCCGACCCACAGAATATTCCCCCATTACCTCCAAAGGTGCCGGCTTCCAAGATTCAGCCTGCGGATAGAAGCGGAGGTGGATCTGCTTACGACGGGAGATCTGTGGATCAGGCTTATAACATGAGATCCCTCAATCATGCACTGCCTGTTATTCCAGATACGGGCTTGAAACGAACACCCTCCAAGCCGCCTCGTCGCGCTCCGCCAAAGCCACAGAATACTTACCGGGAAGAAGAACTCACACCAAGGCGCATTACCAATGCAGACCTGTCCAGCTTTCTGTTTTCTGAGAAAAACTACCAGAAGCCGAACATGCTTCTGCTGGTTGATATAAGACCTAAGGACGATTTCAATGCCGCGCACATAAACTATGAGAATACAGTCAGTATTGATCCCAGGTTATTGCAAATGTGCGATAGTGACATGGAGTTGGAAGAGAGACTCTTGAAATGGAGCCAGGAAGATTACACCAAGTTCTTCTACCGTGATGACTACAAGCTAATTGCGTTCTACTCTGAGGATTCGAAGCCTTGCGATGCATTGGAGGTTTTCTTCCGGATAATGACATCGCCAGAAGTTGAAAAAAGAGCGTTGAACAATCCCGTGATCGTTTCAGGTGGGTTCTCAGAATGGCTGAAATGGTATGGAAATGATCCGCACAAGACGGTAGGTGTTAATCTGGACAGCACTATTGCGGCACCAGCTTCGAGAAGAGCATCAGTAGCTGACCGTCCATACATGCCTCCTCCGCAGTATGATCTCAATACGCGAAACTACTCTGTTTCGCCCGAGGGGAGAGGGACGCCTTTGAAAAGAGAAGTCTCGGAACCACAAAAGCCAATCGGTAACATTCCACCCATACCGCAAGGAATTCACAGAACAGATACCTCTTTCTCCACCGTCTCCACCCCTGGGTACCAATCGTATCCTCCCCAGGAAACCCCAACTCCACCGAGCCAGTCATACCAGCGCTATGTACATCCTTCCTCGTCGTCAATAGCTCGCCAACAGCCTGAAAGTCCTCATTCTATCAACGCCTGCGGACTCATAAACAACGGAAGCACGTGCTACATTAACAGCATGCTACAGTGTCTCTTCAACTACGCGCCTCTCGAGGAGATGTTCAGAGGTCAATACCTGGAGTTATTGGCAGACCCCAGTAGCTCTGGTACTCTTTCCAGTGCTTTCCATCGTGTTTTCAACTACATGTCGACCCATCCAGGAGCGTACTTTTATCCATCTGAGTTCCTCAAACGTTGCTCATCTTTGAACCCCTCATTAGGAATCCCTCATGAGCAACAGGATACCCAGGAGTTCTTGAATTTTGTTCTCGAGACCTTGAACAAAGAGCTATCCTACGAACAGGCTGTGATCACATACTACCCCGAATCTGTGGAGTTGTACTCGCCTGACCCAGCTTATCTAAAATGGTTTGAGGCAGAGGTTAAACTGGATGGTGTTTCCCCTATAAATGGTTTGTTCCAGGGCCAAGGCCAGAGCACGCTAGTCTGTGGCAGGTGTGGTCACCAATCTTCGAATTACGCTAGATTCAATGTGTTGTCGGTGAACATGCCGAACCGGTCTAGAGCACCTGTTTTGGCGCTGGAAGAGTGTATTGAGTACTACCTGGCAGATGAGATTCTTAGTGAATCAGAAGGAAATGCTTGGAACTGTCCCGAATGTGAAAAGTTACAGAAAATAATTTCCAAAAGCCCAGAGAAGAAGAAGTCAAAGAGGTTTTTCCACTCCTCTAAGAAGGAGAGCAATGGCGATCCAACAGAAACTCCGCCATCACCAGCAACCATCAACCATGCCAAAGAGGTCATTTCACAGGAGAACGTGTCTATGAGAAGGTCCAAGTTTCTTCATTTGCCTCGTCTTCTGGTGGTTCATCTGGCCAGGTTTGGTCCAATGGGTACCAAGCTGAATTATCCGATTTCGTACCCGCTAATACTGGACATTCCAGAGGGATCCAGAATGGTGAGATATAAGCTTCATTCTCTGATCAATCACGAGGGGACACTGAAATCCGGTCATTATACTGCGTTGGTGAATAAGTCTCACCAGCTGAAGAACCCGTTTTGGTGCTACTGTGACGACGAAAGGATCGTCTCCCCCGTGGCACACGGCGATTACAAACACAACGTGAGGAGACTGGAAAGTGAAAAGGTCTACCTACTCTTCTACCAGAAAATTGCCCAAACATAGTCATTTAGCGAGTTTTCGTGATCGTATCGGATTCGGTCTAATACAATTTAAGCTGTGTAACAATAGACGTGCATACCACAACTTTTTTTTCAGATCCCCAAAAATTCATTCAGTCTGTGTATTGTAGACAAGACAATTGTGAAGCCTCTACTACAACCAACGCATATTTACGACTTTTGAGTTGGAATCTTTTGCATAATATCTATACATATGAGTGTTATATCAGTGACAGGGTTTGGCCACCAGAACGTGAGCGTGGACTCAGATTCCGAAGACGATGCGATGGGGGACATTGAGGCCACAGGTTTCAAGAGCTCCATAGTCACACCCGGTGAGCGTATAACCGACGATCCAACTTGGATGAGGGGTCACGGGACGTTCTATTTATCAAACCAAACATATAGTTCTGTGGCGGGCTCAATCTCCAGAGTGAGTAAACTGTTGAGTGTGATTCCGTTTCATGGTCGCTACTCTCCAGAAACGGGTGACCACGTTGTTGGTAGAATTGTGGAAGTGAGTCAAAAACGCTGGAAAGTGGATATTGGTGCTCAGCATGATGCTATATTAATGCTGGGATCTGTGAATTTACCGGGAGGTGTTTTAAGAAGAAAGTCGGAGAGCGATGAGTTGCAGATGAGAAGTTTCTTAAAGGAAGGGGACCTTTTGAATGCCGAGGTTCAGACTGTTTCTCAGGATGGTGCTGCATTTCTTCATACCAGATCGCTGAAGTATGGAAAACTCAGAAACGGGGTGTTTGTGCGGGTTCCCTCGTCGTTAATTGTCAGGGCCAAGAATCATTCTCACGACCTACCAGGAAGCGTGAGTGTCATATTGGGTGTCAACGGGTTTGTGTGGATTTACAGGACCAAGGTTAATGCGAATACAAAGACTGAAAACTCGGCTTCGATAAACAGAGTGTCAGCACAGCTAAGCTCTTCAAGGGATTACACACCCGGCCAGGGATCTGAGTCTATAACGAGACTGGAGGAAGAGTCTTCGTGGAGTATATACAGCGACCAGAACGACGAGGACTTCCCCGAAACCATAAAGTTGAATATTACCAGATATAGGGGATGTATATTAGCTCTGGCTCATTGCGAAATCGGTATCACGGGAAGCCGTCTGGTGAATGCTTACCACGCTAGCATGGTTTATGACAACATTGATGCATTGGTCTCCAACCAAGTCAAAGAAGCAATTGGAAGAGACATTATCGAAGCAGAGAAGATGAGAGGAAAATAAGCCAAATAGAGGGGAAATTTCAACACGGTTATACAGGGTTTACAAGTTTTATCGGCTTTCCATAGAAGCTCAGATGATAGGTAAGTAGGTGATGGATGATAAACATGGAGGAATTTCATATTGGTTTCACAAGTTTACGTTTTCAGGCATTAATAGCAGTTGAGAAGATCAAAAATAGAAAGCACTTTCAAAGCGGTATTTTATACAAGTTGGAGAGTTTCACTGATACTAAAAAATTGACATTGATACTATTACAATATGTGAGGAAGTCTAAGGTAACTCATTACAGTCCAGTTATTCCTCGTCAAGTTCCTCAGTGGTAGAGTTCTCTTCCAGGTCCATTTCAGCATTCTTCTGGGCTTTACGTTCCTCTTCCTCGGCCAGAATGGACTCTCTCATCAGTCTCGTCCTCTCGTCCTTCACTCTTCTCTGGACTTCGACATAGGCACCCAATGGGGTCTTCTCCCAGTCTAGATCTTGCAGGAAGGTGTTGACCTCAACTCTGTTGCTTGGTCCAAACTCCACCTTGGCCCTCTTGTCAGTGATGAACTTGACGTTCTGGTTCAACTTTTCAATGAGGTTTGAGAGCTGTTTGTTGAACCTGACGTTTCTGCTCTTCTTCACAAATCTTCTGAGGTGGATAAGGGCAGGCGCAGCGAGCTCTGGAAAGGCAATATTCTTAGAGTACAGCACGAAAAATTCAGATGCAATTTCCACAAACTGTTCGCAGACACCGTCCTGGTATACCTTGGTGTGCAGGTAAGCCTGGTTGACCTTGATGGCGTACTCGAAGTCAACTGCCGGGAGGTTCGAGGCGTGTGGATTTTTGGTGATGATGGTGGAATTCAAGATCTCCGAAAGCAATGGGAAGATTGGAATGAAGACTCCAGTAGCTTGCGAGATTCTGATCAACGACCTGATGAGGTAAAATCTCAAAGGAAAGAACTGAGCCGTTGGGATCAATCTGATGGTACCCAAAGTGACCTGGACCAGTGGGTAGATCAGTTGAGTCAATGGAGACTCCTTCTTTGAATCACCGTTGTTAGCATGAGCAGCCAGCACTCTCGACCAGAAATCAAGAGAGTGGCAGAACTGCCAATTGTAAACTAACTTCTGGTTAGCCTCAGTGGCATTGTTGAGACAGGTCTTCAAGTGAATAGCCAATTGTCTTATATATTCGAAACCGATCTGGTAGGAGAGTGTGTGGTCGATCTTGAACAGTTCGACAGCGGAGTTCTTCTGGAAGTTAATCATCGGAAGTGTGTGCACATTGGTGACTCTGCATCTTTTCACAAAAGTGGAGTAGGTGGTCTTCAAGCAGATTTCCAGAGTGGCCTTGGGGAATTCATGGGCTGTGTTGTTGATGAATGCAAATGTCGCGATTTGGGTGTCGACATCGTTGGTGGAACTCCACACATTGATGACGGCAACCAGCATCTGCTTTAGCAACTTTCTCCTGGAGATGTAGAAAGGCAAAAGCTCCTGCAAAGAGGAAAGAACCAAGGCAGCAGTCTCAGTGTTGGTGATGTCTGTGAGCAGAGTAATCAGTGAGCCTGCATGACTCTTCAGCACAGAGGAGACACCAGCCAATTTTTTGTTCGAGGAAGGCAGAACTCTGGTTTCACCTGATTTTTTGTATGGAACGATCCTTTGAACGGCAAAGGGGAACTTCTTGAGCACCAATATCATAAGCTGGTTGAAAACCTTCTCGCCGGTAACAGAGTATTTGTAGTCGTTGTCGGAGTTGATGTTCACGGCAGACTTAAATGCGATGACCACGTTCTTAAGTGTAGCGACGGATGGTTTATTAGAGAGTTGGTCACTCCAGTCTTTGACCATTTTCATCGTCACCTCAATTCTCTTGACTTCTGGTTCTTCATCTTCGTCTTGTTCGTGGACAGGGTTGGAAGCTTCATCTTCGTCTTCGTCTTCGTCCTCGCTCATGGCATCCAATGGGTTCACTGGCTTGAAGTCTAATAATTCTTTGTCGTTTTCTTGCAAATATTTGAAGAACTCCGGATCCTTTTCCGCCAGGTTTTTCATGTCATTCTCCAAATCACCTTCGTCTGACTCGGATCCAGATCCGCCATCAGATCCAGCTCCAACTTCCACCTCTGATTCGGACTCAGAATCGGACTCAGAATTGGACTTAGAGTCAGAATCAGACTCAGACTCAGATTCTTTCTTCGATAACTTTGATTTCGAGCCCTTTTTAGTGGAAGCCTTTGGTACCTCAAATCCACCTTCAAAAAACTCTTCCACGTTCATGGCATCGTAGCCATTCTTTGCCTTGCTTTCTTTGGTGTCAGAGTTGGCGGCGTACGCAGCAGAGGCTGATTTTCCCTTTCCCTTGGAAGTGAGCTTGTTGTGTTTCTGCACTTCTCTTCTGTGCTTGATAGTCCTGTCTAAGTGCTTAGACTGGAACTTCTTTGTTTTCTTTGAAACTTTACCCATATTTGCGTTCGTGGTAATTCCAGACGTTATACCACTCGGTGCTAGAGGAATGAAAAAAATTAATTTTTAAGGCCCGTGAATTTTTTTTGAAAAATCGATTGTGCACGACCTGTTGCGGCGCACGTAAACTCGCGAAATTTGAGAGTGTCAAGGGAACTGTGATGTAGAAAAGAAGGAGCCTTTGATATAGGATTCAATAGTTGAAGCAGAATTTTTCGAAGTTTTGAAATATGCAATTTTAACATGTTAAACAACCCGGATCAAGCGAGACCCCTCCATTCCGTGCGCATGGATCATTCACGATTCAGAACGAAGGAACCACTGAAGCGTTTACCGAAATTCACAACAGCCACAAAGCTCTGATAAGAAGAGATGTTAGTCTGATGATACAAGAAGGGCTATTTTGTAATTTGATTTTGAAAAATCAGGTTTTCATCCTACACCAAGACGTTAGCACGTGGCAGAGTTCTGATTGGTTCTCCATCCATGAGAAGTAACACTTTGGTTACCTAGAGCAAAAATGAATATTAGGGAGCATTTAGTGAGACTTAGTTGGCCATCAGAAGTTGTAGCCTGAATAGGACACAAGAAAGCAAACGGGAAAACTGACAAAATGGTTTGTTCAAGCCGGAGAAAGCACAGGAGGGTTGGAGTGTTCAGGATATGAGCTTCACAGCACACACAAAAAAGACAGACCAATCTCATGAGAGGCCATACAAGGCTCTGATTTCTACTCCAAGGCTTTCACATCATAAAGCCAGCCATTTGCGAAACAGATCAAGTACCCAAAGAGAGCCGCACAAAGCAAACTACCAGCTTAGATAAGCACAACTAATTGGGTAGAACACGCCCAAAATCTGACGTCACGGAGAAAGGCAGGGCGGGACTTGGACAAAAAGGGCAGTTGTTGATGGAGGAGACATATACCACAAGGAAACAGCCTTGCTTTTATCTTTACTTGGCTGTCCGTTAATTTATTCATAGTTGCAATGTCACAGGAATTTAGGAGGTGAGTTTCCTGTTCTCAATATTTCCAGCGATGGCTGGATTGCATTGGCGTCGAATGAGCACTAACATAATGGGCTCGCCCCCCCTTCATTGAAGAACTCAGATCTTCGGGACAGTCTTCGAAACCACCAGCAGGTACACTGACCTTAATCCTGTTGGAATGGGAGCATTTGGTCTTGTATGCTCGGCCAAAGATACATTAACTGCACAGAATGTTGCTATCAAGAAAATCATGAAGCCGTTTTCCACGTCAGTCTTGGCCAAGAGAACATATAGAGAACTCAAACTGTTGAACCACTTGAGGCACGAGAACCTCATCAGTCTCGATGATATCTTTTTATCTCCGCTAGAGGACATTTACCTTGTTACAGAGCTACAGGGTACGGATTTGCACAGGTTGTTGACATCGCGTCCGTTGGAGAAGCAGTTCATTCAGTACTTCCTCTACCAAATCCTCAGAGGTCTAAAATATGTGCACTCTGCTGGCGTCATCCACAGAGATTTGAAGCCCAGCAACATTTTGATCAACGAGAATTGTGACTTGAAGATTGCCGATTTCGGGTTGGCCAGAATCCAGGACCCTCAGATGACTGGCTATGTGTCCACCAGATACTACCGTGCACCGGAAATCATGCTGACATGGCAGAAATACGACACTGAGGTTGATATCTGGTCGGCCGGGTGTATTTTGGCGGAGATGTTCGAGGGCAAGCCTCTTTTCCCAGGTAAAGATCACGTGCACCAGTTCTCCATCATAACGGAATTGTTAGGTTCGCCTCCAGCAGATGTCATAGACACAATCTGCTCCGAAAACACGCTGAGGTTCGTCATGTCACTTCCGCACAGAGAGCCCGTTCCGTTGACGGAAAGGTTCAAGGACGTGGAGCCCGATGCCGTTGATCTGCTGTCCAAGATGTTGGTGTTTGATTCCAGAAAGAGAATCACCGCTGAGCAGGCTTTAGCGCACCCATATCTGGCACCATACCACGACCCTTCCGACGAGCCTGTTGCCGAGACGAAATTCGACTGGAGTTTCAACGATGCGGATCTTCCGGTGGATACATGGCGTGTGATGATGTACAGCGAGATCCTGGACTTCCACCAGGTTGAGGGCGAGGCCAATGGGGCTGAATATACAGAGAATTCTCAGCAATCGCAGCCCCAGCACTGAGTGTTGAATGTTGAAGGTGTACTAGTTGATTTGTAAATTATTGTCAATGGCTACGACTGCGTTCATATAGAGATGATGTTTTTTTGATCACCATGAGGTGACGTAAATGGCAACTGTGTTGGTGATAATCACCAAGCTCAACACAATAAGCCGTCTTCTGTCTATTCGACTTCGTAAAAAACTTTTCAAACCTTGACCTTTGGTCAATCTATTCATCTTCAACAAGTCCACCCTGCTCGGCCAACGAGTAGAACAGAGAGTCCTTCTTCTTCAAGAGGTTTGCTGGGGTATCGAATTCAGCAACCTCTCCCTTCTCCAGAACTAGCACCTTATCGCTGTCCATGATGGTGTTAAGACGATGTGCAATTGTCAGGATGGTTCTATCTTTGAACTCTGATCTTATGGTCTCCTGAAGGACCTTATCGGTTTCAACATCAACAGCAGCTGTAGCCTCATCCAGCACCAGCACCTTGGACTCTACAATGAGTGCTCTAGCCAGACAAATGAGTTGCTTCTGACCAACAGACAGGTTGGAGCCTCCTTCGGAAAGTTTCACCTTCAATACATCCGGTTCATTTGCATCGTTGGCCATACTGGTGATATGGTCTTTCAAATGGGCCAGTTCCAAAGCCTTCCACAGCTTCTCGTCTGGGTGCTGATTGGTGGGGTCCAAATTCTCTCTGAGAGTACCTTCGAACACCTGAGAGTCTTGAGGAATAATGGACAATTTGTGTCTGAGATCACCCAGACCAATTGACTCGGTGACGATGTTATCCACTGAAATATCACCCTCGGCAGCCTCGATCATTCTGAAGAGGGCCAGAGTCAGAGACGACTTACCAGCACCGGTCCTTCCAACGATACCAATCTTCTCTTTGGGCTTGATATCCAGGTTGATGTTCTTCAGCACCAGGTTCAGCTCCGGACGGTATCTGGTCGAGTAGTTCTCGAACTTGATAGAGCCTTCGAAGGGCCAGTGGGCTGGTGGTCTATGGTCGTCTATAACCTCTGGGGCCTCGGATGGAAGTTCGGAATATTCAAGAACACGTTCAACAGAGACGATGTTGGTCTCAATCTCGACAGTCATGCGAACGATCCAGTTTAGAGACTGGGTGATTTGCAAGGCATAACTGACAGAAAGACCAACGATACCGGCAGAGACTTTGCCCGAACGAAGCGTGAGCATGAGGAGACCAGCCGACGAAAGAATAATCAGAGATCCCAAAAACTCCAGACGCACGGCTAGCCATCTATTGGCCGAAATAGCAGGGTGGTAAGCACCGATATTGTGGTCCATGTTGTGCTGGTTGAGGAACTTGAAGCGATCAAGCTGGCCATATGCACGAATCGTGGCCACTCCGTTGAGAGTTTCCTGGAAATGAGCATACACAGGAGACCGGGACACAGAATCTAGACGACGCAGTTCTCTCGACGTTCTCAGATAGTACTGCTGGTAGTATCTGTACAGGTACGCCATTGGTAGGATCAACAGCAGGAACTGCCAGGTGGAGTAGCAGATGACCAGGATCGTGAAGGTGACCTTCGCTGTGTTGGCAAAGAACATGGAGAATACCATGGACACGGTCTCGTCGATCTTGTACATATCGTTGGTAAATCTGTTGAGAATTCGCCCAATTGGTGTGGTTTCAAAGAAGGACATTGGTGCTCGCAGTACGCTCTGGATCATGCGGCTGTGCAGGAATCTCGATGCAGCCACACTGCAGAACTGCCACTGGATAATGGACTGGCTGAAAGTGGCACAGGCTGCGGCAATTCCAAAGCCAAAGTATATGGCAAGATATCTCATAGCGTGGGGGTTTTCGCCATGCTCCGTGTTCACTTCAGACCAATGTTTCAACCAGACGTTACCAGCAACACCAAGTGACATCGAGGTAATGGTGAGCAGCAAAAAGGCAATTACAAGCGGAGGTCTGCAGGCTTTAGCATATGCCCAATAGACGTCTCTTTTGACCTGGCCCTGTTGAGATTTCTCCTCGAAACCGGTCTGGTTCGCTAGTTGGTGCGACTCTTTTCTGAGAACTGCACCTTCAAAGGACTCCAAACTAGCACGTCTTGAGATATTTGAGTCTAGCTTGCTCTTGACGTCTTCGTCAAGGATAATGCCCGAGGAAGATGACGATTCAGTAGCTTCCATGGCCAAACTATTGAGCTGGTTCTGAGACCTGCTGGTGTTGTCTTTGCGGCCAAAAGTCTTGATCAAGAGGTCCAATTGGGGAAGCTTTCCCGCCATGACATCGTCATACGAGCCGGACTCGGCCATTTTTCCGCCCTCCATGAGCGTGATGTGGTCTGCTACTGTCAGAGCGTTCAGGTTGTTGGTAGCCAGTACCTTACACTTCGAGTGCAGCAGGCCGTCTGGACCAAGCACATTCTTGATGATGTGCTTTCCAACATGCTCGTCAACAGCACTCAGAGGATCGTCCAGAAGATACACATCTGCACGAGCATACACGGCCCTTGCCAGTGAGACTCTGGCCTTCTGACCACCGGAAAGAGATATACCCTTTTCACCAACGAGAGTGGCATCACCGTCTGGCAAAATGGCAAAGTCAGGGTCCAGCGCACAGGCCTTAACTGTGAGATCGTAAAACACAGGGTCGAATCTGCATCCAAAGAGGATGTTTTCCTTGATTGTCCCGTTCATGACCCATGGAACCTGGGCCACATAGGCCGAAGAACCATGGACGGAGATCAGGCCCTTGGACTTGTGAAGATCTCCCAGAATGGCTTGCATCATGGACGATTTTCCAGAACCAACCTTACCAACAATACAGTTGAGTTCGCCCTTTCTTGCTTCGTAGTTCACATCGTTCAAAGCCACTTTGAGTGGGTGCTTAGACCAGAGTAACTGGGCACCCTCAACCTTGACGGCCACATCGCCAATACGTTTGGCAGCAGGGAGCCTGGAAACAGAAGAATCCTGGATTTCTCCACCAGTCAAAAAGTCGGACAATCTCTGAATTGCAACTCTGGACTCGATCACATTGGAGATCACCATTGGAATAACCGCAAGTGGGAAAGACAGTAGGTTGAACAGAGAGAGGGCAGTGAACACTATGTCTGTAGAGAGCGGCACGTCCTTATTTAGAAGGATGAAAACCAAGAAAGTCGAGCAACTGACCAGATTAGGAGCAGTGTTGAAGATAAACTGAGAAAATCCTCGGAGAAGACCAATCTTCTTCAAGGTCTTGAGCTCTTTCTCGTTTCTCACGTACTCCAGCTTCTCTTTGTAGGGCTCCTCCCAGCCATAAAGCTTCAAAGACTTGATGTTATTCAGAATCTCGGATGTTATTCTGGTTCTCTCATCTTTGTTCTTCATTTGGATTCTCTGTTGGGTCTTTTGGAGCTTGAATAGAAAACTGTTGACCGGGATCATGATCACCATGATCACCACACCGATCCACATGGAGCTCCCCATCAAATTGTAAAGCGACAAAAGACACAATGTGATTTGGTATGGTCCATACCACAACATTTGGAGGTTTTCTGACAGGTCCTGGAGTCTCTGGGTATCAACACTCATGAGGTTTACGATGTCACCAGTAGCCTTGTCCTGCTTGGCCTCCACAGACATGTTCAGAGACTTCTGATAAATACTCGAAATCAGCGCCGATTTGATCTTCATACCGGTCTCGAAAGCCCTTTGGAAATACTGGTGCAAACAAGCGGTCTGAACCACGGAACTGGCGAACATGGCCAGCACGTAGATGAACCCTCTGGTCAGCGGAATCGTATTGTCCTCGTTGTAAGCCGTCACGAACTTGATCAGCTTTCTCAGCAATTGCGGCTGAGAATAGGCAAGACTATCTTGAATGAGCTTGAAACAAGCTCCAATAAAGTACTGCCCACCATAAGCTCTGGCCAAGGCCAAGGCCAAAGAGGGAGATTTCTTCAAGCCAGAAATAGAGTTCTTCTCACGTTCCCATTGAGTCGAAAACCCTTCAAACACCGTCTTGGCTGTGAGATAATGAGGTAATTTGGGCAAATCTGACTGGACCAGGAACTTTCTGTGACCAAGACTCATCAATGGGGTCATCCAGGTAAAGGTGATCTTTCCAAAAATGCTGGAATATTCGTACGGATTCTCTTTCTCGAAGTCCTCATTTTCAGATTTTGGAGGATGAATAGAAAACTCCAATAAAAACACAATGAGAGCATTGAGTGTCAAAAACACAGAAGAGACCATGTACTGGGACCGGTCGCTTCTAAGCCATAGATTGGACAGTCTGAGACTTCCAAAAATCACACTGAAAAACCAGTAGAACAATAGGACTCCACTTGGGATAACCGTCTTGAAGTTTTCCACATAATGGAGCACAAATCCCACACACAGAGACAAGACAGCGAGAACAGCTGACCAGAACTTGATGTCCTGCGTGAAAGACAACGAAGGATCTGGGTAACTGGATTGCGAGATTACTATAGCCTGAAATATTTGGAACGAGACTTGCAGGGCAATGAGAACAAGCTTCAAAGGAAGCGACCAATGAACTTTCATGGTTCTATTCGCAAGTTTGCGGTAAGACAGTATCTGGTAGATACCACCAAACAACAGTAGGGCCGACGCGGCATTCAGAAAAACTCCTGTGATTAGACAGTTCGACAAATCATTAAAAGGAGTATTCAAACTGAAGCCCTCGCCATCCAAACAGCCCAAGAAACATACTTTTTGGGTGTGGTTGGTCGCGTAAACCTCTGTAGACTGAGCCTGTACAGAGGCAATCGGCATGTCCCATAGTAGATTAGTCAGATGCCACGAAGACTTCCACGGCAGATCTACCAATGCGGTATCGCCTGGTAAAAATTCTGCAGACATGGTTTAGTACCAAATTTAACTAGATGGGGTTTATTAAACCACGAGTTCTTTGCGAAGTGGCAAAGGAGGGGGGGAAGATTTCGGATACGAGCCGTAATTTTCAAATCTCAAAAATAGTAGTGGCAACTGGCAAGATTTAAATTTATAATCGCGTGGTGGGGGGTGATGGTGACACGACTGAGCCACATCGGCAAATGGATCATGTCCGTAGATGCATGCGGCGCGTGGCCGCGCAGAAAACGCGACAATAGATTCCGGTTATGAGGAGCTGACCGGGAGTGGAGGGTGGAGGAGACAGATAGATTACGGTGGAGGTTTTTGGCTGGTAATGCTAGTGTGTTGGTCATGCTGTATTGATATAAGTTGGCTGTAGGCTAGATCTACCACAGGAAATATCCACCAAAGGGTTTCTTCTGGGTCTGTCCTTCGAGTCATATATTAGCAAAATAACAGATCTGTTTAGGCTTCCAGTCGACTCATTAACCCACAGAAGCCTGCAGATCTCCAAGTTTTCATTCGCTATCCCTCTGTTCCAGCTACAACTGGGGCATAGTAGCCATTTAGACCAAGCCCATCCAGATCTGTCGGGCTCGTGCTGGGGTTGTGGGCTCAGCTTGAGCTACTGGAATTAGAACAAAACTTTGCTAGCTGAATCCCTCATCTAAATTGCAGATCTCTGGCCCACGTCTATATCGATCTCTCAGTGTCTCCAGAGTACATTCGATCTTGGGCCTAATGCGGCTTTTCACCGCCTTCACGCGCCACGCAGATATCCGTTTGGTTGATACACTATACAAATGCCAGAGAGATCTCATCAACAAGCGATAAACGAAGCCATGTGGAGTCACTTCTCGCTAGAGGGATTGCTATACGAGCAGTTTAGACTCGACAAATGATCACACATGCCATATACAATCAATTGGCTAATGAGTCGATACGAGTTGAGCTTGTGTATGAAAATAGTCCTATGATAGCTGGGAGTGATGAGCTGTCAGCCTTAATCAGGTTTAGGTACATCGGGAAACTGCCTGAGGAATCTGCGGTATTGAACGGTGCAGATTCAAATCAAGATGCCGACACGGAGTCCGAGCCGCAGCTGAAATCTGAGGAACAATCTGGATGGTCTGGATTGAGGAGGATATCTTCCCATTTCTCAAACAATGCTCGTGCTTTGTTTCTGCAAGAGCTGGAGTCTTTGCCCGAAGAACAGGACTCGCTGGAGAATGACCAAACACTGTTGTTGGGCTATGTTCAGGTCCTCAGTTATCTTGTGACAAATCCAGAGATATTGGATGATTCTCAATTCGAAGATCTGCGAAAAAAGAGTATTATCGGAGGGAAGCTGTGTGGTATCAGTGGGCTCGAAATGGGTTCTGAAGGCTCTAAACCAAACGGATTTCTGGGAGGAGTGGCCAATGTGTTTCACACTGAACTAGGATCAGAGAAAAATGACTCCACAAGTGGTTCCGGGCTAAAAAACCTGAAGCCATTCTATTCCTCGTCTCAGTCGATTCTATTCTCAGATCTTACATTTAGACCCTCGACTTATAACACGGCCACTGCATCCCAGGAGATGGTGAGATCATTCTATATTGGTCTGAAACTGCCTGTGGACTTGCCTCCTTCATATGAGAGTGAGAATTTAAAGATCCAACACTCACTCGTGTTGGGGTACCAGCTGACGGAAAACCACAAACTGTCAAATAAGACCATGTTTTTCCCTCTGAAAGTACAGGCATACGTCAATAAACGTGCTCAGCAACCTGTCTACAAATTGACGTCATCGCGTTTGAGCAAGCCAGTGGAAAATGAGAAAATCGTGTTCTTGAACAACAATCTGGAGGGACTCAATAATGGCTTCAGTTTCAACTCACAACAGATTCAGCATCACCAACCGCAGATCAGCAGAAAGATGAGTTTTCGTACAATCAGGCGAAGACTCGGCATGGGCGATAAACGGTCGAGGCGGACTTCTAGTATGACGAGTCTTAACAGCTACACCCAGCGACTTTCGCTGGAAGCAGATTACGGTGAAACCCAGGAAGAGGTCGAAGAGGATCAAAAACAGGCGGATATGTTTGCCAAGTATGTTACAGAGTTGAACACTAAGGATGTCAACGAAGTTGTTCGGGTGCAAGATGCTTTTGAGGCCGAATCAAATTTGAACAAAGAAGCCTCTAACACGCTGACTCCCAGAGAAGAGCTTTTATCTGTTTTTGCGGATCTCAACAGTATCAAAAAGGAATCAACAGAGTCAACTGAACTCGAGGTTCTCATTCCTACAAAGCCTCAGTCCAAGTTTCTGCTGCGTGTCAATGGGGAATACGTCTACAAAGTTTCGTTCAATAAGACGGTGTTCAAGATTGGAGACATCATCTCCATAAACATTCAACTGAACAACGATCTCAGTATTTCGGGTCTGGAAACTTCGCTTAAACAGGTGGAAACGTTTCCAGATGAAGCATACCTGCTGAAGAACGAGTATGGTGACTTCAACCCAGCCATAGCCAAAAACAGAAAGGCGGAAACCACGTTGGTATCCAAATCAGTCTCCACGTTTCAGACCCAAGAAATCAACCAGGATATCCATATTCCCCACTTCATCACGTCACAATTTAGCTCTGATGTGGTCAAAGTGAACTATATCCTCGAAATCACCTGTATCTTTGTCGCTGACCAGAAAGCGACCGAGAATGCTGAAAACGGCGCCGCAAGAAGGCAGTTTGAGCTTGTATCTGTGTTCAACGATAGCAAGGGCATTCTGTATAAGCCTGCGGATTATTTGTCAAACGGCAGAGAGTTGAAGTGCAGGATTCCAGTGATAATTTTGCCCAATTACGAGCAGGACTTTGGGTTCGTGTTGAATAATCATTGAAGAATAGGAGAAGAGGCACATTGGGAAGGACATCGGAGAGAATGTGTAGGAGACGCAATCGCAGAACTTGATAAATAATCACTAGACATTAACCAGGAATAGCATTTCTATGAATTTCATATTACCATTGATCAGATACCCTCTTATTCGCGTTTTCACTGTTTCTTCCACGATTGTGCCCAGGCATTAAACTTCGAATAAGCCGTGTTCTTGGGAGTATCCTCCGTCACATCACCATCCGTGCACTTATCTTGATCTGTTTGCTCGGCTTCCAAACTTTCAGCCTCATTTTCCTTAGTTTCGGCTTCCTTTGGCTTCCTCTTCAAATCCTGTAAGCGTTTATTGAAGAAATCGCCCATGGCCTTGAAATTTTGGCTGAAATAAGAGTTCTTGGAAGAGTCCACCCTGTCGGCCTGGTGGACCGGTTCAAAGAAGTTGAAGCTCTCGTCATCCGTGTATATATTGAAAAACTGGAAGTTTCGGGTCTGCTTCCACCTGTCTACCCATGCAGAGTTGAACTGGGCGATGTTATTGGGCATGAGTAACTCTTGTTTGGATGGGTTGATAAACGATTGAAGCTGGGTATCGGTGGCTCTCTGTAAAAACTGGTCGTATTTCGAACATGCAAGTAATCCAATCAAATAGTCCTCGAAGTTATATCTGATAAAATCGTCCCCACCTTTAAAGGTATTGAGCTTGGGGAAGTCATTGTTATTCAAAACAGACGGCTGCGGTTGAAGCTCTTGCGATTCTTCCAAAATATCCACCTTATCGCACTCCGAAATTAAAAAGCTGATAAACTTCTTATCCTGGTGAGTCAGTGCGAGTTGATCCTTCAATGTGGGATCTATAATCTCCAAATGTCCAAAAGTGTGTGCAGAAGACACCGCTCCACTATTCTGTGGAAAATCAATATAAACGACCACGTCTGCGAGTTTATCTTTCTGTCCAAGCAAAAGGTCATTAGATGCTCCAATCACATACCATTCAGTGTTTGCATTCCTCAGAAAATCCAGCTGCTGTAACGGAAGATACGGCTGGAAAAATCCACCTCTATCGAAAATCTTCAGCGGAAGTCCCAAAAACTCCAGAACTGATTGCCGATCACTCGTGCTCAGCGATGTGATTCTGTTCCTAGCAGATGTCAAGCTCTGGAACATTGGTGAGCCTGAATCTTTTAGGTTCAGCAGCAAACTTGGGATCAGAGACAGCAAAGAGTACTGAAAATTGGACAATTTCATGAGGTTCTTCGAGAAAAAAATAATCCTTTTCTCCAATAGTAATGCTTTGAACAAAACAAGTAGGTTTTTTCCCAAAGTTCGAAGGAGATCCCGCAGATTCAACCCCACATAGAAATCGCTCTCTTTCAACACTTTGACATTTGAGGGCTGAGTCTGATCATGCGATTGTTGCTTTCCTCTTTCACTTTCAAACAGATCGTCATTCTCTACCTTGAATGGGCTGTACAAAATTGACACGTTCTCGAACAACGAGTCGATGATCTCTTTATCGTGGAAGTCCCGTTGGTGAAAGAAGCTGGTGGTGACGATGCTCAGTTTTTCACGTAACTGCACCGTTATTGGATACTTTGTAATCATAACAATCGCCTTCTGAACTATGGATCTCGTCATTCCTTTTTCCACGGTTTTCAGGTCGGAAGTGGGCATTTGTCTAATACAAGAGCATCCAAACAGTGTCTCTCCTCGCACGGCATTGTCCTCCCATTCGGACCTCTTCTCTGCTGGAAGCTCAAAACTGTCCTCAGAAGAGCCATCGTTTAAAATCAAAGTAAAATTTGCAAAAGATTCCTCAAACAGATGGGCTCCATCAGGAAGCGATTGGAAAGGCAAGCTCGGCCACATCTCGTTAATCTGCTTAATTCGATCCGATTGGCCAATTCCATGAAGAGATTGAGAGTCTACCCAATGCTCTATTTCTGGACCTCTTATATGGTGGAAGTCCACGATGCAGATCCCGTAAACAAGTGAGCTTTGAACAGAGTCCTGTAACTGTGGTTTATGTTTTGCGGGAATCTCTGCCTTTTCTTCACTTGTTGCTTCCATATTTTGCCTGATACTGGTGTCTAGGGTTTCTTCACTCGGTGGATTGGACTGCTCTTCAATTTCTGTCTTAACCACATCCTGGGTCTCTTCTTGGGTCTTGTCTTGAGCTGCCTCCTCATTATTGTCGCTTCTCTCCTCGGACTCCAATGGCTGTTGCACCTCCTCGATAGCAATCTCGGCTGGACTTTCCAATAAGCTCCCAATTGAGGCTTCTATATCAACATTACCCTCTTCTATATCATCCCCTTCATCTTTCCACGGGTTTTCGTCCATTGTGTTGATATTGTCCGATATGTACAAGAGTGACATCAATGATAGAGATCGGTTTTAAGAATAGCCGAGATGAGCTTGGGTTTCGCACGCTACCCGAATCAGGATATAGTATTGAAATAGCTGTATTCTTTGACTTGAGCAACTACAGTATATTTAACAAAAATCTGCATACTTTCGAACATAAATTCAATTAAACAAAACTTAAAACCCCAGGTTCGTCAACTAAAGTTTTGCCAACAACTTGTCGGCAGTCGACTCCTTGACCGCTCCACCGTCTTCAATAGCTGCAAACTCAACAATGCCAAACCGGTTGACAATGATGGCCAGTCTGGTCGAACGTTCGCCCAGTCCTACGGAGCTCAAATCAATGGTCTTAGCAAGTTTCTTGGAAAGCTCCAATTTTGTGTCCGAGAGGAATAAGAACTTGTCTTGGCCTTTTGCACCGAGGTAATTCTTGTAGCTTCTCAGCACAAATGGGTCGTTAGCAGTAACGACCAGAACCAGGTCAATTCCCTTTCTCAGAATTTGGGGCAATTTTGCCACGTAACCGGGCAGATGATCATCTGTGCATGGTGGAGTATAAGCTCCGGGAATCGACACTAGAACGAACTTTTTGCCTTTGGTTAGGTCCGATAGATTGACGCTAGTTGGATCTCCACCTGATGGAGCAATATGGTACAGGGTCACGTCCTGTGGAAATTTGTCTCCTCTTTTGATGGCCATTAGAAATTATGTGTTGTGATTGGTTTTGCAAAATTCAGTTGCCAACAAGAAAAACCCTAAAACTGACGGAAATATCGTTTATACTGGGCCTGTTATATATGAATAACCCTGCACAGCCGTGTCCCCACATACGAAGGCTAACTGTCTAAGTTAGCCTACAAATTGGGGCTGGGCTTATTATTTGGAGGCTAGAAGCCTGAAGGCTGTAAAATTGATGCGTACACTCGATACAATTACCAATCGAGTTCTGAGATGGCGACATGGCCGAGGAACATCGTTGGTTTTTCAGCAAAAATTGTAGGGTTATTGGAGGAAGCCGGCTACAAAGGTGGAGGCCTCAGGTTTGCGTCTGGGGAGGATGTGGGGTCTGTTGGCGTCCTGTATTTGATATTGATAGGCGAGCAACGACTACTTTGTCTCATAGAATTTCGGCTCCCTCGGGGTTACTAATACATGCTTTTCACAATATATGGCGGAAATATCCGTCGGCTATTACTGATTTTCACAGCCATAAAATTGACTGCCGCGTATGGTGGTAGTGAATATGATAATTCAGCGCCGCATAAAATAACGAAGCAATAGAACATTGGAATTTCAGAATGCAGAATCATGAGGAAAGGAGGATGTCAGAACATACCGAGTCAGCTAGTGTAAGATTTTCAAAATGGTGGCCTGGGTGTCCTAAAGCTTTGTGCTCTTTGGGCCCTGAAGCCATCTTGAACCCTTTATCAACGCGATGTGATCCACATCTACGGCCTGTTTTGATGACATCTGCGGGTGGCTCCCATTCGCTGCACGGCACGGAAGGGTCATAATCTACCGATCCAAACTGCCGACCTCCAAATTTTTCATTCAAATTGAAGATAATGCGGGTGCCATTTTTGCTGAGATCCTAAATGTATCGTTTTTCAGCGGTCGCTTGGACTATCACAGGTAAATATTCATCTTTTGTAGCCAATTCCAACTGAGCGACACGGTATATGCAGTATATGCCGCTGCTGAATCTTTGAAATGCACCAAACGCAAAACACATATGCCCTGATGCATACTTCGTGATCACCAGCAAGAGTTTGCCATATTCGGATGCCAAAATGTGCGCGGCGCTTTTTGTGCCATCCGATCTACACCGAGTGGCTCTGTCGGACCCATGTTCCTCGGATCGACCTATTAGATACGAGAATTGTTATCAACAGGGGGGTACTTTCCATAAGTTGAAGATTATTGTCAAGGGTTGAACACCCGCCAAGCTCATGCCAAGCCAGCCTCTATTCATCGAGATTGCTTAGCTATGATGGCATATTGTTTGATGCATTAACCTAAAAAATTAAAAGGATCAAGCTTTCTTATGAGTTCTCGGTTTAATTGCCAATCACCACTCAATGAGAGCATGAATAAAATATTAAAAAAATCCCTCTGGCATTGTTTAAAATGCATACTCTGTGGTTTAATCCGTATTCGTATTCCATGTCGTCATTGCATATAGTCAATCCATATATTTTAGCCAGTTCTCCAATGTACTCCCTGCTGCATGATAATTATATCTCTCTCTTTATACCCCCTTTGGGAAATCACTGGGTCTAAAAATAAAACCACAGAGGCGTGTCAAATACCAATCACTTCTCCTTAATCTACTCTTCGCGTTCTGGAACTCGCCATAAACGGAGAAAAGTGCCTGGGACGTTCCCTTTTTTCATTCCAAAGCCGTTCATCTCTGCGGCTCTGCACTTCCCCGGCTATATGCATGTCAAATGCACACATATGGCGTTCCTCGATAACCAATTGGATTGGCTTCAAATTTCCTTTCTGGATGAAAGGGAAGGATGAAATGGTTGCCTGCATATCTATATAGATGTATATATAAGCGGTCCTCCGGATGATATGATTTTAGTGTAGATCGTGAGTAATTCATATCTTCAAAAGTTCAGCCCTACCATCATGAAGTTTCTCAGTTGCATTGCTGCTTTCGCTTTTGTGGACCTCTCGGTCGCTCAAAAAGTTGTGAAACACAACTTTGACATTTTGCGTGGTTCGTCTTTTGAAAAGGCCCAGAAGTACCAGACTCCCCAATTTGTCAAGCGTGACGATGACGAGTATGAGTTCTTTATCAACAACATGGAGACCTACTACCAGATGAACATCTCAGTCGGAACGCCTGGGCAGGACATGGCTGTGTTGTTGGATACCGGATCGTCTGATTTGTGGCTCTATGATTCTGCTGCTAAGTACTGTTCGAAGCTGGCTACCTCCACATCCAGTGTAGCGACTGCATCCACCGATTTGCTATATGGAGCAACTCCTTCGGATTTCATTAACCCAAAATTTGACAATTGTGGTGGTATTGGTGGCTTTGACTCAGACAAGTCGTCAACTTTCCACCGTAATAAGACCGAGTTCTTGATCAAGTACGGTGATAACACCACTGCGGAAGGTTATTGGGGTCGCGATCTGGTCACTATTGGTGATACCAAAATATCAAATCTCACATTTGCGGTTGCAGCATTCACCAACTCAACACCAGTATTTGGAATTGGTTTGCCCGGAGCAGAAACTACGTTTGGTGAGTACTTCATTGCATCTGAGAACTACACCTACGAAAATCTTCCTGCTAAGATGGCTACCGAGGGGTTGATAAACACCCCAGCATACTCTTTGTTTCTTAATGATGTGGATGAAGACGTTGGATCTGTTTTGTTTGGAGGTGTTGATCACTCCAAGTATTCCGGTAACCTCACAACCGTCAAAGTGGTTGACTGGGATGGAGGACTGCAGGTTACTGTTTCCGAAATCGACATTCAAAAGGGCGACAAGGTTGCTGCTTTTGCTCAAGGAAAGTACCTTGCACTGCTTGATAGTGGAACCACTCTGACTTACCTGCCAAACGAATTGTACGAGACCTTCCAGGAGTTCACAAACGCTACCTGGGATGACAACATCGAACAGTACTACTACGACTGTGACGAAATTGCTGACACTACAATTTCATTTGACTTCACAGGAGCAAAGATTGAGGTCCCTCTCAAATCTTTCACCTTTAAACAATTTGGCAAGTGTGTTTCGGGAATTCAACGTTACGATTACGACGACGTGACCTATTTCATCCTCGGTGACAATTTCCTGAGAAACGCATATGTCGTCTACGACCTGGAGAACTTAGAAATTTCACTAGCACAAGCCAAATACAATGGGGGGAAAGAGGATGTTGAAGAGATCACCAAGAAGGGTGTTCCATCCGCTGTCAAGGCCAAATACTATTCCGATACATATATCATTGGTGAACACGATGTCACAGATGCCACTTCATTGCTTTACCATTCGGCTACTCCAGTTGTTTCGGCTACCACCACTTCAAGCAATTCAAAAGCTACTGGCACTGCTAGCTCGTCCTCGGCTTCTAGCTCAAGCAAGGGCTCCGCTTCGTCCAACTCGTTGAGCTCGTCTTTGTTAGTCTCCGTTTTTGGATTGCTTTCCATGTTGTCCTTTGCTTAAGCACCGAGCTGATAAATAAATTCTAGAACTGTAACTGATATGTCTTCTGTGATACTCATGTAGAGAGGCCGCATGGGCTGCATGAGCCGCACGTCGTAGCTTTTTTTGTGTACACACTACTTATCATCGGGCTTCAGAGGATGATGAACCTTCAGTCATGTAACAAGAGATTAGATTCACCTTTCTGCAACACAAGCGTAATGACTGAAGTGATACCGAGGGACACGTGAGTATACTGGCATTTAATTGGTTGTATCTATCAATTGTTGTACTAACTCTTTTGCAGAGTCTATATAAGAAACCTCAACGAGAAGGTTTCCAGGACCAAACTGGTTGCTGAGATACGATCAAAATTCGGCAAGTTTGGCAATGTCACGCACGTTTACGTCTCTCAGCGGAATCTTGGGCTCAAAGGTCAGGCATGGGTTAGTTTTGAACAGGTTGATTCTGCTACAGCAGCACTGTACAGCCTCAACACGGAGTATCTGTTTGATAAACCCATGGACATATACTATGCGAAAGGTGACAGTTATGAACTTCAAAAGAAGTCTCTAGGTGATGCAGAGTTTCAAAAGGTTTTAGACGCGAAGAAAACCTCGAATAGTGTCAAAAGACAGAAGCTTGAAAGTGGCACCAGGACTGGAAAAGCTGATGGCGAGGGCAAAACCAAACCAAGATTTATTGATAACAAGGAGCCCAATAAGACGTTATTGGTTCAAGGTATTCCTAAGGACTTGGCTGAGGAAAAACTGGAATCGACGTTTTCTGCTTTTGGTGGTTTTGTGGAGTTGAAGCTGGTAAGAATCAGAGATGTTGCGTTCGTGGAGTTTTCAAAAGAATCAGATGCTGTCCAGTGTAGGCAAAGTTTGGGTCAGATATTTGAGGTTGATTCCAAGGAGATTTTCATTACTTTTGCGAAGAAATGAAATAAGATGAGAAGGATTTCGTGGGTGTGTTGTGAACTGTGTGAGGTGAAGGTATTCCGAATACCTACTTGTAGTAAAGTTCTATCGTATGAATCTAAAGTGCATATTGTGAGCATTTGTTGTGATTATTCAAAGTAAATAATACTCGGGTCTCAGTCTGGTTGGAGCTCATTCTGGTTCGGGTTGATTGTAAGCATTCTCCGAAAGTGCCCATACTGACCGCTGATATCAACTAACCAAAGTCCGCTTGGACATAAGAACTCCTATTTGACCAGACTCCGTAACTCTTCACTGGAGATTCTACAAAAAAATACATTTCCACAATCACTCAAAACCAAAGTCGTCATTCACTATATACATGCTAGTACTTTCCAGTCACAACAGTCCACATTCCCCTCAAAAAGTTCTCTTTCTTCTCTCCAGTCAGATTGTCTACCAACCTGTCATAGTAATTTGGATTTCCCTTGGGTCTCAACAGCTTGTCGCCAAGAGGGTAGAACTTGGAGTGCTTGTCATTCAAGATGTTCTTTAAAGCAACTATCTGACGATCCAGAACAGGCTCGGTGTACAGGTCGGTCTTGATCGGCCTTGGCTCAGTGACTTCAGTTTGTATGACCGAAGTCTTGACTATATCCGTGATACCTCTTGACCGTTTCTTGGTGGAAGTCGATTGCAGTCCTGCTATTGGGTTGAACTTGTCGATTTGAGTCTGCTTGAAACTGGCAAAGTGCTTGACCCTGTCGTCGGGTAGCTTCTCCAGCAACTTGATGAGCTGTCTTGCCTTCTCTTTGACAGCCATTTGAATCAGAATATATGGAAAAAAACTGCTTAACGGAAGAGGAAAATGGCTAAACCCTTCTGGTTGTATGGAAAGTTCATCCTCTGAAATCTCGATTGGTAAGCACACGATGAAAAATTGGCCTCTACCACAACCATTTCTTATCCTATAAGCTGATAAGCTAGATGTACACGGTGAAGTCTTCAAGAATCAGCACAATGGGAAGTGTTTTTTTACCGCATTTGAAAACAGGATGGTATGTGTAATGCTCTGTGACACTTGTGGCACTTTCAGAACCAATTTGTTGCTTTTACTAACACCTCGCAGGCACGTGGACCAGGCCATTCTATCAGAGGATGACAGATTAGTGGTGATCCGTTTTGGAAGGGATAGCGACCGCGATTGCATGATCATGGACGAGCAGTTGTTTGCTATTTCTGAGAAGATCGTCAAGTTCGCGGTGGTTTATTTGTGTGACATCGACCAGGTCCCGGACTTCAACACCATGTACGAGCTGTATGATCCGATGACCATCATGTTCTTCTTCAGAAACAAACACATGATGTGCGATTTTGGAACAGGCAACAACAACAAGCTGAATTTTGTGCTGGACACCAAACAAGAGCTGGTGGACATTATCGAGACGATATACCGTGGAGCAGTTAAGGGCAAGGGTCTTGTGATCAGTCCGAAGGACTACAGTGGTAAGGTTCATGGCCAGTGAAAAACTACAGATACTCAGTCCAGCGCGCGAATTAATTTTATTGATCATTGACTCCATCAGTTTCCCCTTCTATGCATCTGATACCCGCAATTTTATCCTTGCTTCTGGTAACAGCCTCTGCAGTTTGGAACGACATCTTGCCAGGTCCATCTCGTTGGAGATACTCATTTCCAGCATCTCCAAGTTCGGAAACTTATCTTTGAAAACTGCATCAAGATCACCCAAACTGTTCAGTTTCCAGCCTAGCAGTTTCAAAGTTGTGAGTCCGGCGCAAGGCGCTTGCAGCCAGTTGCAGAACGGCTGGTACTTGCCCTTGACCTCGATCTCGAGATGCTTCAAATGAGAGTAATACTCTTCGTTACACGTTCTGTCTTTGTGAAATTTCAAGAGGGATAGAAACCGCTCCGAGAGAGTGAAATTTGAATGCGAATCGTCCAGTTGTATAACCAGCTTTTGCAACTTGCACGGGAAGATAAGATGAAGCCCAACTGGGAACTCCCAAGTGCAATTGGCCAACTGCAGCGAAGTCAGGTTTGGAAACCGATAGTCCTGAAAGTCAAACATGTCTTTACATATCTGAAAGTTTTGCAGCGAAAGCGATGAGATCTGGGGGAAACAACGAAGGTGGGAAATCTCAAACTTGGCAAAGCGAAACTGCGATACCAACGATAGGTCTGCCACCTTGCCCGTTTGTTTTTCGTCAAGAGGCTGGTACTTCAGAAATATCGACGAAGATGATGTTTCCAAAACAAGAGAGCGCAGTTCCTTCAGTTTCGATAGCAGTTTGTACAAATCGTTCCACTCGGCCTTCTTGGAGTTCGTAAGGTTTGTAGAGAGATACAGTCTGACCTGTTCGCACTGAGATTTGTCCAACGATGACTCCAAAAACGTATCAATCGCATCCCAGGGGATCTTGCACTCCTGGAAACAATTTCCCTCGAGTTTTCTGCGATGCGAACGAGATGTTGAACTGCAGTTGACCAAATCAGTCTTGGAGATTCTGGGGATGATCAACTGGTATATCTCCAGAGGGAGTAGCGCTAATAAATCCGACGAATCGGACAATTTCTTTCGCTTGGATGTAGACATCGATGATTGTAATTTGAATGTGAATACCTCGAAAAACGCTAGTTGTAAGAGACAACAAAGTGTGTTGGGGTTTGACTCATATACAAACGGGGGGAGGATGCGATGCCCCTTCGAGGAGTGGCATGGGGACGATATCGGACACTACAAAACTGGCAGTTTATTGGTCAGTTTTACATTAAAAAACGAAGGAATTTCGACAAAATAATGATGGAACATATAGGACAATCGGTGCTTTGATTTGTTGCATTTTATTTTTGATATATTTGTGAATTGATAGAGTATGTCACACCTATGCGATATTTTTCATTATATGCAGGTCTGGGACGCAGCAATAGGTAGATGCTTGAATGATAATCAGCAGTATGGATTTTTCTACAATTTGTGAAATTTCTGCGAAATTCCCTGGGTGTTGTGAAACACCAAACCATTTATTCTTCTATGAACTGTTCAGGTAAATTTTGGTAAGATTCCCCAGGCTTATCGCTTTTCTTCTCTATCTCTCAACGCGCTATTGAGTTACTCCATGATAGCGTCGTTGATATCGTTCCATTCGCTCAACTTTTTGCTCCAGCCACCATCCCAATCCACGGTCTTGTTCAAATTTCCCACAGTCTGGTATGTGCCATTGGTGTTCTTCAATAGATATCCTTTCGTGGCTAGCGTCTCGCACTTCAAATGTCTCCCACGCAAATAGCTCTCGGATTCGTTACGCGACCATGTCGTGAGATCGATGTGAGCGGTAGAGCGTATTCTGCACGGCAGAATGTGCAATTTTTGATCTTTACCGTCTTTTAGCTCGTAGCTCATTGTGAGATAATATAACCAAAAAATCTGGGGTTTTGGGTATATAATAAAGGCCTCTAGAATGCAAAGATCGTCTGAACGTGGATGCAGCTACTCGTGAAGTCGTGCAATAAACAGTTTAATCGCAGGGCTCCCTCTTTTGAAGAGAATGGAGAAGCCAATGGATTATTCTGAGCCATATCTCCGACTCCATTATACCTTGGCAAACACGAGATGAAGTACCTGATTTCAAAGTAAGCATCTTTGGAGCTGCCTTATTGCCAAATCATTTTGACTAACACAACCAGAACCTTGGATCCCTTATTCGGGATATCTGTAGGTGTCATCTCATACTACGCATATGAAAGAAGGGTCGGGAGGCAGGAGGGCCACACTTTGAACGAGCTGGTGTGGAAGAAAGTGAATAAGATAGTTCAATAGGTGTTTTTGGAGCGGTATCAATAAATATCTCATTAGACTGAAATCAAAACCTGTCGCTTTTACTACTTTGTTAAAGATACGAATCTCCCCTGTATAAATATTGGATAGTGTAAGCACTCAAAAATATCACCATACGCTAAGGAGTACTTGTAGGCTACTTGCTTGTCCTGCTCACCAGTGTTTCTTCCTGAAAGAACAAGACCAGATTTTTCCGCTTCCTCTATTCTCAATATGAATTCGCAAAACAGAGTGATACAGCTAGACTCGCAATTGCTAGATGATGAATTAGGGAGTCTTCTTAACAAACAATTGGATGACTCGATTTCCATTCTAAAGTTATCCCAGTGGAAGGATGAATTTCAGCTAGGACTATCTCTGCTTCTATTTAGATTGACTACATGGAGAGGATCCACATACGGCCTAAAACTTCACAATTTGGCTCTTATGGGCTCAAAAAACGGACTCGGACTCAAGAAGAAGATCTTCCTGTTAGGGCTGATTCTGGGGAAGTACGGCTACAGCAAATTCAACTCATATCTCTACCGCGAAAATGGAAAGGAAAAAGTGAAAGAGGCTATCGAAAAGCTGACTAAGCTATACCAACTACTCGATTTCTACAATTTCGTGAGTTTTCTGGTGGGGGGCCGTTTCCCAAATTTGGCCTATCGTATCTCTCAAATAGAGCTGAAGAAAACGAAACTTGTTCAAGAACAATCGGAAACGATTTCTTTCGAGTTCCAGAATAGACAACTGATATGGAATACTTTGACAGAGTTCCTGATGTTCATAATGCCCAAACTGAACCTAAGCTACTTCCTGAAGTCCGATGCGAAGATTGACCCTAATCTGAGGTTCCTGCCTGAAAGAGTGTGTTTGATATGTTACTCCAAGGACTCAAACGAAAAGAAAGATGATTCACTGGACAATCACCTGGTGACAAATCCTCACGAGACCAACTGTGGCCATGTCTACTGCTACACGTGCATATGCAACCAACTGGAGCTCGGAAAGAGGGAAGGCAAGTTATGGGCATGTGCTAGGTGTGGCGAGGAGGTCGAATATGCTAAACCTGTGTGAAACAGTTCGGTTAATGATCAATAATGAAGTTTTAAACGAGGCAAATGAGGAACGAAACAACCAAACGATATCGGATTATATCACTAATTGTACTACTTCCATTTACGGTATGCTTACATATCACTGCGTAGTCCGCAGCCGGCTCGTGTAACTCCATAGTCCTTAATTCTGGCAACTACCAACTTGAATTATCATACACGCTGCCTTTGGGCACCCCTTTCAGCACTCCACTTTGCCTGACTCTTCAAGAGCTCTTGCAGTAATCCCTGTGACGGCTGTTTCACGTGCATGAAGTTACACAGTCCACCGCGATCGCACTCGTTGGATCTGAACATCTTGCAAATGGCATCCTCAAACGACCTGACTCCACAAAACTCGGCGAAAACTGGCCTTGAATCGAAATACCTATCCTGAAAGTCTGCCTGTGCCGCTATCGCAGAGTCCAGATCTCTAAATTTGATATACACGTTTCCACTGAGATGGGGATTGGTGTTTTCGCAAACAACCATATCTTCAACTATCCCATGCTTGAGCGAACACTCTAGGAACACGTCTTTGAAGACCAGGTCAAAATTTTCCTTGTCCTCTGGTGTCTCCACATACGCCACTTCCTCTTTGGTGTCGTTGTTGCTATTCGAATTTGGCCCGCTCTCCTCCAGTCGCTGTAAAAACTTTGGGTTATTCCACATCCCGTAGCACACTATGGTCCTTGATCTCGTGGGTTTGACGTGTCTGCGGGAGCACTTGTCTCCGTGTCTGCATGCTCCTATCTTGGTGAAAAATTGACTTTTGAGGTTAGTAATAGACTTGAGATGGATAACGAAAGAATACTACCTACCATGAATCTCTGTCATCCTGATAATCCTGACGGTTATACCTTGACATTATTGCGATATGCGTGGCTTGAAGAAAATGTAGAATAGATGTAATTAATCAGAAAGCTCGTTAAGTGAGCTTCGAAATTACAATTATTACAAGTTAGTGTATCTACCATAGTTTAGCCGCACAACTCTTCCTCTCAAAGTTGGCTCAAACGGTTCAATCGCCCATGACCCAAATCAGTCTCGCTTGAATCGAGCAAGTTGGCAAAATCCGCTTCCCAAGTAGAACTACCACAGAACTAGTGAGAACCTAAAAGGGTGGAACAATTAAATTTGGCACCTACTTATCTAGAACCAGGATCAGTACTCCTGCCATCTTCCATGCAACGCTACAGAATGCTACGGCCCCGACAATAAAACCCTGACATTTTATTCATGCCTGAAAATTTGAGGCAGGGCATTGTCTTGTTGGGCCGTTTAGTTCCTGGGAGCAAAGGCAGAGTGAACAGCACTATACCAGTGCAGCGGCTATTTGCACCCAGAGAACCCGACATTGGATTCTGGACCTGGAATTAGGAAATGCTGCTGTAGATCTACTATGATAGGACCCCGAGCAGGCCATCTTGTCTCAAAAGGTTATTGGATAGCATCTCATTTCAGTTACTCTGAAATGAGATTGTTCAATCTCAAACTTGAATTCTGGATTTGCTCACAGTCCGGTAAAATTCTCGAAAAGGGTTCAAGGTACCTTCTGAGATGCATGAAGTGTGCATGCCACAACCGCGGATGGAAAGTTATTTTAAGAGAAGCTCGGTTAAAATGGATATTGTTCAGAGGCTTGAAGGATGTCAAAATCTTAATCAATACTCTCGCAATGTTCAGAGTCGAATGCTGAATTAGTTTACCGGACAACTGCTCGCTTTGAAGTCTCTGATTTTGACTAATAAGGGTTCTTTATGGTCACCTACTCTAGATTCTCCGACATAGAAAATCCCAATACGTGGAATACCAAAACGTTCGATTTCCAAATGAAGCAATAGTCACTCACTTTGTTGTCCAGGTACAATACGCCTTGTATGCGTAGTGCAGTCATAGTTTTGCAGGAGCACCGAATAAGCTTATGGAAGCAGGGGAGGCAAGTGAAGAAAACTTATCCGGGCTTAGCTCGATATTGCGTCTCGTAAACGTTCCCAGGCGCTCAAACATTCGGCGTTTCTAACATCTTGGTTGCTAAAATTTAACTTTAAGAAATATTTTCTGGAGCCGCCATGCGAGATAATCGAAGGTTGCGATCTTCTCTGCTGAGATCAATCCATAATACAAGCATAATCACGCTTCGAATTATGGGTGAGCGATAGGCGAGCAATCTGTGGCGATCTGTTGTGATTATGGACGAAAATATTGCATTATTGATCCAAAGCCCTTTCGCAGGCAGCGTCTTTAGCCGAAATTAAACAGCCTTCTGCCACAATATGCGGCTACATTCCGCTTTTCGGGCGGGTGAAGCAGACGCATGGGCGTCTAATTTTCTGATGGACACTACTGCAATCTAGCTCGACTAAACCCCCTAAACTGACGTAGTGCTCAAAGAGTGCACCCATTAGAGGCCTTGCGGATCGGTTATCCACGGCTTCTAGAACGATCACATCGAACGCTGTGAATCAAAATTTTAATCGTTGTCAACCGCCTCAAGTTGGGTCTGAATAAGCACGTCGTCTTCAAGCGGAGCTCGGGGGGACCAAAAGACATTTGGCCCTTTGAGAAAGTAAACCTGGCGCCCTCGGTTTTCCTCCCCTCACCTTACAAACCGTTTATATAGACGTGGGACTCTCAGAGCGGGCCAAAGTGGGATTTTTGAATTTTTGCGATCAAGAGTTTACGCTAGAAGGTGAAAACTTTGTCTTGCGCAGATATCTCTCGATTTAGCCTTTGAGCACCGGTTTACCCCTGTTTTTGCTACCTTTTTGCTACCGATTTAGCTATTTATTCCTATCCAGGCACATCCACTGACGCTTGCCCCAGCATCTCCAACACTTTAGTTGCCACCATGTTCGCTGCGGGAAGCCCAATATCTCCACATCTCTCCACCAAAAGGGCCTATTCCAAGTCCGGCTGCAAGGAGTGCAAGAGACGCAAAGTCAAGTGTGACGAGGGAAAACCTTTTTGCTGGAACTGTCAGCGCTTAAAGAGAGATTGTGAATATCCAGCGGTTAAGTCTCAGAAGAAAGCCAAGCCAGATGCCACGGTCACTTACGAACTAAACACACTAGCTGGTGTTGGCTACGGCTTGGTTCCACCTATTCTGGGACCATTGCCTATAAGCTACGATGATCCCGCCTTGGCAGGTAATGTCTCTGATTTGAACAAACCGAACGTTTTGGACGAAGACGAAATGATCAATGCGAATTCTTTGAAGGCCAATCTGAATGATTTGGTCAACTTGCGTTTGGTTGAAGTGGGAGGTGTCTCGTACAATGAGAACGGTGAAGCCACTGTTGTGGACCAGTCTCTATGGCAGCACAATTTGATCAAGACCAAGTATGAATTTCCTCTGACCCCACCCACTTCTGTTCCAGACGTTGCCCTGCAAAAAGTGGAGCTGGAGTCTTATCCTGTTGAGGAAGAACACAAGAGATATCTCACGTTCTTCTACAAGGAGTTTGCACCCATCCTGTTGCCTTTCACACCCATGGAGGACTTGAATCCGGTGAGAGATATTCTTTTGACATATGGCCAGGGATGTCCGTATCTGTTGAGTGCCATTCTGGCGTGCGGTGCTTTTTCGGCGTACAGGGCCACTCCCACTGTGGAGGATGAACAGTCCTACAGACAGTATCTGTCCAACTGTCTCCGTCTTCTGAGTTCGGGTCTTGCTGACGAAAGAAGGCTCGCTGAGAACGTGGATGCACTGCTGCTGACGATTCTATTGTTGACTTCGTACAATGCCACGTCCACTTCGCAAACCTGGAGGCCCCATTTGAAGGGAGCCAGGGACCTGCTGAGTGTATATGGGACCGAATCGGAAAGTGCCAAAGATTCGCTGGTTATCTCTTTCTGTAGAGCTTGGTACATCGCCATCGAGACTTTGGCCGGTTTGGGTGCTTCTTTAGGTGGAACCTTGCATACTCAGGAAGAGATCGGTGCTTTGCTCGTTCCCTCGGATGTTCCCAAGTTCAAGAACGATCTGGAGGCTTTGTGGCTGTTGCGTTCGGATGGCTTCAATTTGCTTTATGGATATACTGAGAACTTGTCTCGTTGTTTGCAGTCCCTGATTGGTCTGCTGCGTAGAGTCAAGGCCAAGAAGTGGAAGCGTGGAGAGAACTGGTGTACTGAGCGTGGGTCCAAGGTGAAGTACTTCGAGGTTCTTCCTTTACTTTCCGAGCTTTATGGCGAGTCCAATTTCCAGATCATCTCCAACACGGGAATCGTGCCTGTTGACCATTTTATGCACCCGGAAAACGACAGGGCCCCTCCCGCAGATTTCCAGCCACTGCCTCACAACGCTATTGGTACTGTGATCAATGCAGACGGCTCGGTGGATTACATCTCATGGTTTGACATCTCTCAACAGGCCTATGCCACTGCTTCTGTGCTCACCATTCTCACACAGCTGTTGAGAATGCCTTCGCACTGTCCAGCCGTTCAAAGTGTGCTCAAACGGGTTCTGGGTCTGATGCACTTCCTGCGTTCCGTTGAGCGCGAGAGTTCTACCAGTCTCTCCATGCTGCATTGGCCCATGTACATCGTTGGGCTCAACTGTGTTGAAAAAGAAGACAGGGAGTCCACTCAATTGTTTTTTAACTTACTGGCCGATACCGGTGCCGAAGCTGCAGACAAGATCCTGAACCGTATCAAGCACAACTGGACCAAGGTGGACCAGGTGAAATACGACTATGGTTTGATTGAGAAGGAACAGAATGATAGTGAGGACGAGGAGGATATTCTGCTTTATTAGAGAGGCTGATGTTCTTTGCCTGACTTCTCTTGGTGGTTCGCTGTTTTCTGTCTTTATCTTCTTTTCTCGTCTTTAATTTCAATATCTGACCAAATGGTCTCGCGCTTTTTTCAATGCTTTTTCAGTTGCTTCAAAAAATCTATCTTTTTTCCTAATGCGATGTTTATACTTGTTCCTCAATAACCCAAATCAATATTCATGTATGTCTTAAAGTCTGGTTTCATACTTCTCCCAACTTGTTACCTCATTTGCCTTTCGTAAAGGTCGGCTAGTTGTAAAACCTTAGCCCCGCGAATTGGTACTTTCTTAGTGTCTGTAGTGTCTCTGGCCTCCTTGAGCTGCTGCTCAGTCTGCTGCTGGATGATCAGATCACGCTCTGTGTATCTCTTAAGCAGCCTTCCGTGCTCACTGGGCTTTCTAAATATCACCTTTGCTTCCTGCTTCTTCCTCGTTTTCTTGCCGTTGAGCTCGTATTGTCTCAGCTTGATCGGAGTGAGGGTTCCACGTAACTTTGTCACCTTGATGGAATCCGGAGTGGAGACTGCTGATGCTCTAGGTTTTGTGGGGGTACCATGGGCTGCCCCCAGGCTCTTGATCGAGCCCAAAACGTCCTTTGGTTTGGGTACAAAAGGCTCCGAAGAGACTGATTGGGTAACGCCATCGGGAGTCGATATCTGCCCGCTTGGTTTTTGTTCCTCGATTTCTTCGCGTTCTTGAGGTTGTCCCTGTTCCTGTACCTCTTCTTCTTCTTCTTCTTCTTCTTCTTCTTCTTCTTCTTCTTCTTCTTCTTC